TGACGCGACATTTACTACGGTTTTTTACTTATGCACTTGTTGTTGTTTTTCTTGCCCTTTTTGCTTTTCACCACTTGTACTTAATCACATTTTTTGGTAATTCTTATAGTTACCAACTTTATTCACAGATAAAACTTTTTTTGCAACAATTTGTATTCTAGTTTTTATATCATCTTAAAGTTTACAATTTTCTCTTTAATTTGTTACTAATTTTATTAAATTTGATGCACTTTTACTAATTTAATTATTTAAATAACAATTGGAATTTGCATTTTACTTGTTGACCGTTCACAAAAAAGAAAGAAACTGAAAAAGAAGATGAATGAAATAATTGATTGATGCTTGTGCCCTATGAATGAAGTTAATGTTGTTGTTGTTTTTTTGAGTTATTTGCATTCTCACTAGTGACGTCAGATTTGTTTTGCTTTTGCAGGAATTAATGCATGTTTTTTTTGGGTGTTTGTTATTGTATTGCTAGTATGAATGAGGAGGTGTATTTGTTTTTGTTTTTCTGTTTATTTACATTTTTTGTTTATGTTTTTAGTAATTATCACAATTGTTTTGATGCTTTGTTTACAATAGAGTTTCTATATATAATATAATTTTCCGACCCTATAAAGTATATATATTCTGGATCCTTATAGATAGCGGAGTCGATTTAGCCATGTCCGTCTGTCTGTCTGTGGGTATGTTGAAATCAGTTTTCAGAAGACCCCAGATATCTGCGAGATCCGAATTTTCAATAGTTCTATCGGAAATACGATCGAATAGAACGCTATTTAAATCAGCCCAATCGGCCCATAAGTAACGAAGATATGATTAAAAATCCGAGACCACCTCTGAAAATTTCATCAAAAATTATTTTTTTCGTGCATGCTCATACAAAACAATAAACAATCAAAAACAAAACACAGTATCAAACGGTAAATTTTTTTGTTATTGTAATTCTTTTTTATGAACACAAAGCAAATAACGTTGTTATTGGATAGAAACATGAAATTTAGAGTCTGACCGAACTCAAAATTTCGTTCGGTACCGAACACCGAACCCGAACTTTGTTCGGTTTTCAAAGTTCGGTGAACACGCCCTTTTTTTAAATGAAAAATAATGTTTTTTTATTTTTGGTTTTTAAACGATTTATTGACAATGATGAAAAAACATGATTGTGATAACCATGTTCTAAAAGCAACATATTATGATTAAAAATATGATTGTAGTCTAAACATATTATCGTTATTGTAACAATTTTAAAATATCATATGATTAAATACCGTCAAAATATTTCATCATAATATTTTTGTATTTATCATAACATTGTTATACATGATATTATGATCCAATGTGATCAAAATTTCGTTTTAAATATGTATCGAAATCAAAATGAATTTTATCGAATCAGTAAAATTAGTTTTTAAAAAAATAAAAAATATATATACAATACTTAACACAATTCGCAAATTTCAATTTGCCAATTTATATGAAATTTTGGTTCATAAAAAAATTTAAGTATAATTTCATAAAAATACTAGTATTTTTAAGCCTGTTATGAACGTTAGTAATTTTCTAAAGCGAACATTATATGGAGCTCATGTCCAAATGTAGACCGATTTTGTCCATTTTGAATACCAATCAAACTGCAACAATAGTTTAGGTCCTATCGTTCTTTCAAGAGACTGACAGACTGACTGACTGACAGACATGTCTAGATCGTTTGAGAATAATAACCTAGAAAATTTCGATGTTACAAATGAAATCAAAGATTTATAATCGAAAGTAGATAATTCAAATTAAATGTTTCACTTTTCTTAGCTTCTTAATCAGTTTCTGGTTAACAGTTTTTCAAATCAGCCGAAAAAACGAACGGTTAAAAAGGCGTTTTGTACCTATGTATATCCGAAATTTATTGTACAGCCAGGATGTATGATAACTTTTGTAAACAGATTTTCAGCATTTTTAAATCTTTTTGATGATATAAAAATATGATAAAAAAAAAACATTTTATAAAAAGTTCGGCGTTCGGTCAAAATTTCGCAGAACACCGAACATTGACCGAACCTCACTTTTTACCAAACTCCGAACCCATACCCGAACATTCGGTCGGACACTAATGAAATTAAGTAGGTATGTAGAGCCTGGATTAGGCGAAAACACATTAAAGGGCACTTTTTGGTACTTTTTCGTTCTACAAAAGGTACTTTTTGAATTTTCTATAATATTGAACCTAGAAATATGAAATTTAGCATGTAGGACCTTGACTAGGAAAGAACCAATAAAAAGGGACTTTTTGGTACTTTTTCGTTCTACAAAAGGTACTTTTTGAATTTTCTATAATATTGAACCTAGAAACATGAAATTTAGCATGTAGGGTCTTGACTAGGTAAGAACCTATAAAAGGGGACTTTTTGGTACTTTTTCGTTCTACACAAGGTACTTTTTGAATTTTCTATAATATTAAACTTAGAAATATGAAATTTGGCATGTAGGGCCTTGACTAGGTAAGAACCTATAAAAGGGGACTTTTTGGTACTTTTTCGTTCTACAAAAGGTACTTGTTGAATTTTCTATAATATTGAACCTAGAAACAAAAAATTAAGCAAATAGAGTTCTGTATAAATGTTCAACTAGTACTTTTTGATATTTCTATAATATTAAACTCGTAAACATGAAATTAAACCGACATAGTTTGGTGGAAGGGATTTTTGGTACTTTTAAATTCTTCATTGAAGGAAAACAATAAAGGTTATAGGTATTTTTTTTTATAAGGAGGATTTAAAATTCCTTAACTATTTATTCGAAAACATAGGTAAAACCTCTACATATGTATAAGAGAAGAAGATAAGTGACTTACCTTTTGAACTCAGGAAATGATAGTTTCTTAATTTCAAATCATTAAATTTTCAACACAAAAAAATTGTTAATGTAATTTAATTTCACTTTTATGTTAGACAATTTTTTATTATTTATGGCCGATTTTTACAATTCTCCGTAAAGGAAGAAAATATACTGATGTACATCCATATGTACATTTTTAAAATTATTGCATGCTTTTAAAGTTCTGCCTAGGAAAGAAATTATACTTAAGTTTAGAAATTTCTATGAAATTTTAAACTTAAGTTAATTTTTTTCCCTTAGAAGTAACTATAAAACAAGTAAGAAATTATAGTCGGGCGTGGCCGACCATATGATACCCTACACCAGTTATGAATATTAAATGTGATTTATTTTTCATAATAAATCATTTATCTTCAATATTCCCTTGTTCCGATACATTTAAGCAATTTATGGATGAAAAACTAATTTTCCGAAAGAGGCTTTATATGGGGGTTAGGGGCAGATATGGACCAAGCCCGATAAAATTTTGTGAATATATTTATATTGACATAATATTTTATTGTGCTGAATTTCATCGCGATATTTGTGTTTATAAGCTAATTTGGGACATTCAAGTAATTTTCTGAAGGGGACTTTGTATGGGAGCTAGGGTCAAATGTAGCCCGATCTTTATGAAATTTGGCAGGGTCATCAAGACTTCTATAAAACTTAGTTGTGCCGTATTTTATCGATATATCTGTATATTTAACATAATTATGAGCTCAGAAGCCCTTTTCGGGGGGTTCTGTTGTATGGGGGCTAGGTGAAATAATGGACCGATTTTAACCATTTTCAATAGGCTTCGTCCTTAGGTCAAATAAAACGTGCGTGCCAAATTTCATCCAATTATCTTGCGCACAAGGTTTACATGGACAGCCAGCCAGCCAGCCAGACGGACGGACGGACGGACATAGCTTAATCGACTCAGAAAACGATTCTAAGCCGATTGGTATACTTTAAGGTGGGTCTAGGACGAATATTTTTGTATGTTACAAACATCAGCACAAATCCAATATACCCTCCCCACTAAAGTGGTGTAGGGTATAAATAGCCCTATTATCAATTATACAAAACTTAAGTATATTCAATTCCCTTAAAGTAAACTATAAAACCAGCCCTGACACTTTTTATAAAATTTTATTATTATGTATTTAATTATGTACTTTATTTTCTATTTTAAATTATTATATTTTTTCTATTTAACACTTTTGTTTTATTACTTTATATTTTTTTGGCAAATCTATTTTATTTACATTTTAATGATATTTATTAACACTTTAATTGACACATTATTTAGCGTGGACACAAGAACAACAATTACTCTTGCACAGTTTTGTCTTAAATATTGTTATTGCTTTTTGTTTTATGTTTGAATGTCATACAAATGTGACGCGACATTTACTACGGTTCTTTATTTATGCACTTGTTGTTGTTTTTCTTGCCCTTTTTGCTTTTCACCACTTGTACTTAATCACATTTTTTGGTAATTCTTATAGTTACCAACTTTATTCACAGATAAAGCTTTTTTTGCAACAATTTGCATTATAATTTTTATATCATCTTAAAGTTTACAATTTTCTCTTTAATTTGTTACTAATTTTATTAAATTTGATGCACTTTTACTAATTTAATTATTTAAATAACAATTGCAATTTGCATTTTACTTGTTGACCGTTCACAAAAAAGAAAGAAACTGAAAAAGAAAGATGAATGAAATAATTGATTGATGCTTGTTCTCTATGAATGAAGTTAATGTTGTTGTTGTTTTTTTTGAGTTATTTGCATTCTCACTAGTGACGTCAGATTTGTTTTGCTCTTGCAGGAATTAATGTATGTTTTGTTTTTGGTGTGTTTGTTATTGTTTTGCTAGTATGGGGAGGTGTATTTGTTTTTGTTTTTCTGTTTATTTACATTTTTTGTTGGTGTTTTCAGTAATTTTGATGTCACAATTGTTTTGATGCTTTGTTTGCAATAGAGTTTTCAAAGCTAATTTAATAATTCAAGTTTTTTGTACTTTTTGTTAATGAAATTAAAGTATTAGTTGTTGTAATTAAACAGATTTTTTACAATTTATTAATAGGTTTATTATAAATAATAAATTAAAACATTTTTTCTCGTTAAATTAGGAATTGTGTGAAAAGTTTTTAAAAGAAAACTGAAGCTGGAGCAGCAGCATAACTCAAGGGAGCAGAGTAGGCCAAAGGATGAGAATAAGCTAAGGGTGAAGAATAGGCAGCAGCGTATTTGGCAACAACAGGAGCAGTATAAGCAGCAGCTACAGGGGCAGTGTAAGCAATAGTTTTGGCAACAACTGGCGCAGCTACAGGAGCAACAACAGGCGTGGAGACAATACCATTGTGATTGCGGGCAATATATTGACTACTGGTGGCAGTAACAACACCAGCAGGGGCAGCAACTACAGCAGCGGCTGGAGCAGTATAAGCCAAAGGAGCACCAATCAAACCAGGTTTGGCAGCAGCACAGGCAATCAAAGCGAAGATGACAACAGCCTTTTGAAGAATAATCGAAAATAATTATAGATTGGAAATCCAAAAGTTTTTTCCAAATATAAACTTACGAATTTGAACATGTTGATTAAAATTGTTGAAATGTAAAGTTTACCGTTAGAAGATAGAGACGTGTTTGATACAAATTTAAACCTTAAGCCAAACTATTTATAATGTTTAAGTTTAAAACACAAATTGCAACAATTTAGAATGTAGTAAAATCAAAACATAGACTAAAAATTACAATTTAAACTAAAAATTATTTCAAATGTTTAAATATTTTTAAAAAATTTTAATGTAAATCATGATTTTATCATGCACAAAGCATACAACCATCAAAATTATTCAAACTATCTATATACTAAGCATGTTATAAATTTAACGGTAATGTTTATAAATGTAAACAAAAGCTAGGTCAGTTTTAACCTTTAAAATAATGAATTTGTTGTTGTAAATGTGAACAGCTGTTGCTGGTTAAATTGGTTAAAATAAAATTATATTGATTAAAAATACCAGTATAACAGTATTAAACAAAATTCTTACAACAATTTCCATTCAAGAACAGGGTCATTTTTATATGACGACCAATTTAGTGTTAACTAGATATTGTTTAAAGTAATAGTATAAATACTAAAGACTTTCAAGCACTTAACATCAGTTATCATATACGATTTACTAAATCACATTAAAATTTCCACAAAATGTTTAAATTCATCACTGTTATCTTCGCCTTGATTGCCTGTGCTGCTGCCAAACCCGGTTTGATTGGTGCTCCTTTGGCTTATACTGCTCCCGCTGCTGCTGTAGTTGCTGCCCCCGCCGGTGTTGTTACCGCCACCAGTAGCCAATATATTGCTCGTAACCACAATGGTATTGTCTCCACTCCTGTTGTTGCTCCAGTAGCTGCTCCTGTTGTTGCCAAGACTGTTGCCTACACTGCTCCTGTAGCTGCTGCTTACACCGCCCCAGTTGTAGCCAAATACGCTGCTGCCTACACTCATCCTTTGGCCTACTCTGCTCCTGTAGTTGCCAAATATGCCGCCGCTTACTCTCATCCTTTGGCCTATTCAGCTCCTTTGACTTATGCTGCTGCCCCAGCTCCAGTTTTGTTTTAAAAACTGTTTTCCGAAATGGATAATTGATATGATTTTATGAATAAAATAAAAATAATAACTTATTAAGAAAAAAATCTAAATTTTGTGCATAATTGGTTAAGATATAAGTAATATCCCCAGAACCCATTCTTTGACCATATTTTCGCATATACATACATACATATTTTTCACATATGTATAATAATTTCCCAAAACATTCTGCATATTAAATGAAAGGTCTTCAGCTAACTATTCTAATCAAAATTCTGAAAAAATAAACTCTTTCGGAACTTTGTTCATATCTTCGTTATTAATAGAACGATTTTTTCTGTGTATAGAAAGATCCTCGAAAGCAAGTCTGAGAGATATCTGGAGTCCTGAGAAATTGGATTTTAACAAACAAACAAACAGATTGATCATAGCCTAATCGCCACCATTATCTGTTGATGAAAATTTGAAGTAATGTACCAAAATTTTTCTCCATAGTCAGTTCAACAGTGTCTGTATGTATGTCGAAATCGCCAGAAAACGAAGGTTCCGATCTTTATACACACTATGAAGAACATCACTAGTATAGCAAACTATAGTAAATTTTGACAAGTAAGCGTCTTATATTCGGCTATGCCGGATCTTATTTACCACAGCGTATGTTGAAAATCAAAGTTAGTTTTCAACAAATAAGAAATTATAGTCGGGCGAGGCCAACCATATAATGCCCTACACCAGCTATAGTAATAAAATGTTATTTAGTTTTCATAGTAAAGCATTTAAGTTGAATGGTACCTTGTCTCAGATATACTTAAGCCATTCATTGTCGAATAAAATTGTGGATATTTAAGTCATATTTTGAAGGAGGCTTTGTATAGGGACTAGGGTCAAATGAAGCCCTATCATTATTCAAATCATCAGGGTCATCAAGGCTGGTATAGAACTCGGTTTTGCAGCATTTTGTCGAGATACGAGTATATTAAATATAATTATGAGCTTAAGAGCCCTATTCGGGGGGTTCAGTTGTATGGGGGCTAGCTGAAATAATGGACCGTTCTTAACCGATTTGAAAAGGCTTCATCCCTGGGACAATAGAAGATCATGTACCAAATATCATTGAATTATCTTTAAAATTGCGACCTGTAGTATGATTACAAGGTTTACATGGACGGATGGTCAGACGAACGGACAGACGAACGGACATTAAAAAATGATTCTAACCCGATTAGTACACTTTAAGGTGGGTATAGGAACAATATTATTGTGCGTTACAAACATCAGCACAAACCCAATATACCCTCCTCACTAAAGTGATGTAGGTTATAAAAACGGTCCCATTTAAGGGCTTAGATCTGAGTACAATTTGAAATTTTGAGAATTTCAAAAAGTGTATAATATATTCTAAATTTTGATATAGAACTTTTGGTTTCTATATAGCGAATTTCATAGCTATACTTGAATTTTTAAGCCTATTATAAGCATTAAAGTAATTTTCTAAAGGAGATTTGACAAGGTAATCGAGTCGAAGGGTTAATTTTTCCCTACACTTTTATTTTGAAGCCAGTTATGAGCCATAAAGACATTTTCTCAACAAGACTTCTTATGGGGGGTAGGGTCAATTCTAGTCATGTGTTAGAAACACAATGACGAAATCAATTTTTGATGGCAAAAAAATTTAAACAATTTTAAAAATAGTATTTTGTTTTAATAAATTAGTTTTATTTTGTTCATAAAATCAAATCAGTTATCAGTCTTGCGGAACAGTTTTTAAAAGAAAACTGGAGCAGGAGCAGCAGCATAAGTCAAAGGAGCTGAATAGGCCAAAGGATGAGAGTAAGCGGCGGCATATTTGGCAACTACAGGAGCAGAGTAGGCCAAAGGATGAGTGTAGGCAGCAGCGTATTTAGCTACAACTGGGGCGGTGTAAGCAGCAACAGGGGCAGCTACTGGGGCAACAACGGGAGCGGTGGCAATACCATTGTGGTTACGGGCAACAAATTGGCTACTGGTGGCAGTAACAACACCAGCAGGAGCAGCAACAACGGCAGCGGGAGCGGTGTAAGCCAAAGGAGCACCAATCAAACCGGGCTGGGCAGCAGCACAGGCAATCAAGGCGAAGATAACAGTGATGAATTTGAACATTTTGTTGAAATTTTAATGTGATTTAGTAAATCGTAAATGATAACTGATGTTAAGTGCTTGAAAGTCTTTAGTATTTATACTAATTTTTTAAACAATATATAGTTAACACTAAGTTGGCCCTCATATAAAAATGACCATGTTCTTCAATTAAAACAGTTATAAGAATTTTTGTTTAATACAGTTATGTCGCTATTTTTAATCAATATAATTTTATTAAATCATTTAAAACGCAACAGCTGTTCACAGTACAACAAAAAATTTACAGTTAAAAGTTAAAACTGACCTAGCCCACTTAAAAATACTCATGAGTAGTATGTTTTGAATTGATGGTGTTATGCTTAAAGCATAATTAAACCATGATTTACATTGTAAATCATAGTTTAAATATGCGTTAAGCATAACACCATCAATTCAAAACATACTGCTTATGGGTACTTTTTAATGGACTAGGTCAGTTTTAACTTTTAACTGTGAGTTTTATGTTGTAGCTGTGAACAGCTGTTGCTTCGTTAAATTGTTTAAAATAAAATTATATTGATTAAAAATACCAGTATAACTGTATTAAGCAAAATTCTTACAACAATTCGCATTCAAGAACAGGGTCATTTTTATATGACGGCCAACTTAGGGTTAACTATTGTTTAACAATAAGTATAAATTCTAAAGACTTTCAGACACTTCATATCAGTTATCTTTAACGATTCACAAAATCACATTAAAATTTCCACAAAATGTTCAAATTCATCACTGTTATCTTCGCCTTGATTGCCTGCGCTGCTGCCAAACCCGGTTTGATTGGTGCTCCTTTGGCTTATACTGCTCCCGCTGCTGTTGTAGCTGCCCCCGCCGGTGTTGTTACTGCCACCAGTAGCCAATATATTTCCCGTAACCATAATGGTATTGTCTCCACCCCTATTGTTGGTCCAGTAGCTGCTCCTGTTGTTGCCAAGACTGTTGCCTACGCTGCTCCTGTAGCTGCTGCTTACACCGCCCCTGTTGTAGCCAAATACGCTGCTGCTTACACTCATCCTTTGGCCTATTCTGCTCCTGTAGTTGCCAAATATGCCGCCGCTTACTCTCATCCTTTGGCCTACTCTGCTCCTTTGACTTATGCTGCTGCTCCAGCTCCAGTTTTGTTTTAAAAACTGTTTCCCGTGATAGATAATTGTTGTGATTTTATGAATAAAATAAAAATAATTTATTAAAACAAAATATTAATTAATCTGTTTAAATCTTCTTGGATATTTTTAAAATTATATTAACACATGGCACTTATACAAATCGGAGCCTATTAAGCTATGTCCGTCTGAAGGTCTGTAAATAAATATTCCAAAGACCCCAGATGTGTTCGGCGGCTAAATTTTCAATAATTTTATCACAAATGCTTTGGTGAGCTTTGCTATTTAAGAGCAGTGAAATCGGTCTATATATAATGGTCATATAAGCAAAATTTTTTCACTACAACAACAACATATACACATGTTTTATTACATAGAACATTTAACACAGTTAACAGCTGTAATCAGGGATGGAAACAATTTATAAATGAAATAAATTTTAATTAAAAACAAGTAGGAAAGTATAGTCGGGCATGACCGACCATATGATACCCTACACCACTGAATATGTTAAAAATTTGGATTATATTTAATAACAAAGCATTTAAGTTGTTTACCTTAATTCCGAAATATTTTAACAATTTGTTCAAAAAAGTTGGTCCGAAAAACACGTATTGTCCAAATTTCATCAAAATATCTCGAAAATTGCGACCCGTTTTTTGTTAAATAAAATTGTGTACATTTAAGTCATATTTCGAAGGGGACTTTGTATAGGAGCAAGCGTTAAATGAGACCCTATTTTCAAAAAATTCATCAGGGTCATGAAGGCAACTATAGAACTTGCTTTTGCAGCTTTTTGTCGAGATACGAGTATATTGAACATAATTATTAACTTAAAAGCCCTATATTCGGAGGGTTCAGTTAAATGGGGGCTAGGTCAAATATTGGACCGATGTTATCCATATTCAACAGGATTCGTCTCTAGTACAATAGAAGATAATTTCATTGAATTATCCGCAAACTTGCGACCTGTACTTTGATTACAAGGTTTACAAGCCTTTTTCGGGATTCAGTTGTATGGGGGCTAGGTGTAATAATGGACCGATCATAACCATTTTCAATAGGGTTCGTCACTGAGACAATAAAAGATCATGTACTAAAATTCATGCAATTATCCTCAAAAATGTATTTTGATTACAAGGACAAGGACGGACATAGCTAAATCGACTCAGAAAATGATTCTAAGCCGATTGATATAAGTACTTTATGTTGGGTATAGAAACAATATTATTGTGCGTTACAAACATCACCACAAACCCAATAAACCCTCCCCCACTAAGGTGGTGTAGGGTATAACAAGTAGAAATCAATAGACGGGCAGGGCAGAACATGTTATATCCTGCACCATTGAGTGCAGGGTACCTTAATTTCGACATTTTTTAACAATTTTACAAAGAAGTGTTTTTCTGAAAGAGGGTTAAGAGGGGGGGGGGGGGGGGGGCAAGGTTAAATAAGTGCCCATCTTTATACATTATGGTAAAGAGATTTATATTTACAAATAGGGTGGGGTTGTATGAAGACTAAATTTAAAAAAAATAGAATTTCGATTTTCTTTCTTTAAATTCTTTCTAGACAGAATGTTTGTATATCCACTGAAAGGTCCTTCGAATATTTTTCTTTTGATATGCATATTGTTAGACATACAAAACATTTACGATACTTTTTCGACTCTTAAATATTAATTTCAAATACTTTTTTTGAGTGCTATCTATTAACAAACTAATTTTAATCATATTTTGTTTTAATAAATTATTTTTATTTTATTCATAAAATCACAACAACTATTTATCTGGAGAAGCAGTTTTTAAAATAAAACTGGAGCTGGGGCGGCAGCATAAGTCAAAGGAGCTGAGTAGGCCAAAGGATGAGAGTAAGCGGCGGCATATTTGGCAACAACGGGAGCAGAGTAAGCCAAAGGATGGCTATAGGCAGCAGCGTATTTGGCTACCACAGGGGCGGTGTAAGCAGCAGCTACAGGAGCAGTGTAGGCAACAGTCTTGGCAACAACAGGGGCAGCTACTGGAGCTACAATGGGAGCGGTAGCAATACCATTGTGGTTACGGGCAATATATTGGCTACTGGTGGCAGTAACAACACCAGCAGGGGCAGCTACTACAGCAGCGGCGGGAGCAGTATAAGCCAAAGGAGCACCAATCAAACCGGGTTTGGCAGCAGCGCACGCAATCAAGGCGAAGATAACAGTGATGAATTTGAACATTTTGTTGAAATTTAAATTTGATTTAGTAAATCGTAAATGATAACTGATGTTAAGTGTCTAAAAGTCTTAAGTATTTATACCATTTTTTTTTTTAAATATTTAGTTAACACTAAATTGGTCTTCATATAAAAATGACCCTTATCTTGAATTGAAATTATTGAAAGAATTTTGTTTAATACAGTATTGGTATTTTGAATCAATATAATTTTATTTTAACCAATTTAACCAACAACAGCTGTTCACAGTTACAACAAAAAACTGTATAGTTAAAATTAAAAAACTGACCAGCCCACTTAACAATACTCATGAGCAGTGTGTTTTGAATTGATGGTGTTATGCTTAAAGCATAATTAAACCATGATTTACATTTCTTTAAAATAAGTGTAAAATTATTTGTTTAAATTAGCAAGTAAGCCAATAAACCCCTCAGTATTAATAAAAAAGTGTTATTTTATACACTATTAAATTTTCTTAATTTTTATCAAAAACATTTCTATGCTCATAACTAACTAACTAACTAACTAACTAACTAACTAACTAACTAACTACTAACTAACTAACTAACTAACTAACTAACTAACTAACTAACTAACTAACTAACTAACTAACTAACTAACTACTAACTAACTAACTAACTAACTACTAACTAACTAACTAACTAACTAACTAACTAACTACTAACTAACTAACTAACTAACTAACTAACTAACTAACTAACTAACTAACTAACTAACTAACTAACTAACTAACTAACTACTAACTAACTAACTAACTAACTAACTAACTAACTAACTAACTAACTAACTAACTAACTAACTAACTAACTAACTAACTAACTAACTAACTAACTAACTAACTAACTAACTAACTAACTAACTACTAACTAACTACTACTAACTAACTAACTAACTAACTAACTAACTAACTAACTAACTAACTAACTAACTAACTAACTAACTAACTAACTAACTAACTAACTAACTACTAACTAACTAACTAACTAACTACTAACTAACTAACTAACTAACTAACTAACTAACTAACTAACTAACTAACTAACTAACTAACTAACTAACTAACTAACTAACTAACTAACTAACTAACTAACTAACTAACTAACTAACTAACTACTAACTAACTAACTAACTAACTAACTAACTAACTAACTAACTAACTAACTAACTAACTAACTAACTAACTAACTAACTAACTAACTAACTAACTAACTAACTAACTAACTAACTAACTAACTAACTAACTACTAACTAACTACTAACTAACTAACTAACTAACTAACTAACTAACTAACTAACTAACTACTAACTAACTAACTAACTAACTAACTAACTAACTAACTAACTAACTAACTAACTAACTAACTAACTAACTAACTAACTAACTAACTAACTAACTAACTAACTAACTAACTAACTAACTAACTAACTAACTAACTAACTAACTAACTAACTAACTAACTAACTAACTAACTAACTAACTAACTAACTAACTAACTACTAACTAACTAACTAACTAACTAACTAACTAACTAACTAACTAACTAACTAACTAACTAACTAACTACTAACTAACTACTAACTAACTAACTAACTAACTAACTAACTAACTAACTAACTAACTAACTAACTAACTAACTACTAACTAACTAACTAACTAACTAACTAACTAACTAACTAACTAACTAACTAACTAACTAACTAACTAACTAACTAACTAACTAACTAACTAACTAACTAACTAACTAACTACTAACTAACTAACTAACTAACTAACTAACTAACTAACTAACTAACTAACTAACTAACTAACTAACTAACTAACTAACTAACTAACTAACTAACTAACTAACTAACTAACTAACTAACTAACTAACTAACTAACTAACTAACTAACTAACTAACTAACTAACTAACTAACTAACTAACTAACTAACTAACTAACTAACTAACTAACTAACTAACTAACTAACTAACTAACTAACTAACTAACTAACTACTAACTAACTAACTAACTACTAACTACTAACTAACTAACTAACTAACTACTAACTACTAACTAACTAACTAACTAACTAACTAACTACTAACTAACTAACTAAATAACTAACTAACTAACTACTAACTAACTAACTAACTAACTAACTACTAACTGACTAACTAACTAACTAACTAACTAACTAACTAACTAACTAACTAACTAACTAACTACTAACTAACTAACTTACTAACTAACTAAACTAATTAACTAACTAACTAACTAACTAACTAACTAACTTACTTAACTAACTAACTAATTAACTAACTAACTTACTAACTAACTAACTGACTGACTAAGTACGTAAAAGTACCAAAAAGTTCCCTTTCATAGATTTTTCATTAACTATGGTCCCTATGGGCTCAATTTTATATTTCTAAGTTAATTATTAAACAAAATTCAAAAAGTCATTTTCTGAAGGAGGGTTTGCATGGGAAGTCAAACAAGGTTCGATCAATACAAAAATCGGTATAAATAAGTTTGCGGTAATCCTTAGTGATACTGGTAATTCTTTAAACAATAGGCCTTATTTGACCCCATACCAACCCTTCTTCAGAAAATGACTTCAATTCCATATTTTCTTAATTATAAGAATATCACTATGAAATTCTGCATAAATAACTTTTACTCCAGACAATCAGTTTTTGAACAATTTTGTATTAAGAAAATGATCAATCACGTCGCCAATTGCTATTCATGCGTTTTACTCATGAATAGACATGGTTTTCTAATCAATTAATAAATGGTACAGTTCCTATATAAAATACTTCCAAAAAACATCTCCAAACTTGAAAAACGGTGCTAAACTAAAATCGAAAATATGTTTGCCGATGAAATGCACACATATTTCCCCAGGCTACTTAAACATCATATATGTCATTATAAAGGCCTCAGCTTCTGCTTTCTAAATCCATGGAGAAACTTAAAATCGGTTGCTGACTTAAAGGTACAAAAACACGAGTTTTTATCCGTATCTCAAGATGTTGGAGGTGCTTGATAAATTTCAAAAACAGAATGTTATTCTACTCGCATCATCCTTTCAGAAAAATAGTATCACTTCCCAGGTACTTATTTTTATCGCATAGTGTTATTCCAAGCTTAGTAATTTTAACGAAAGTGAATTGGAATATATTATTTCTTCGATTTCTGTTAATAGAAATACAAATATTTGAACTAAATTTTTGAAATATTTTAGCAAGGTCAAGTTTAAAACGAATTTATAACTTTCAGTTTAAGGTTAAACTAAAGGTATTTTTATGACAACCATATATAACCTAAATAAAAAATTTATTTTACGTCATTGCTGGACATGAAGCAATATTATAAGAACCAACAATTCTTGTATATGACGAAATTCATATAGTCTTAATAACGAATTTAACACCTACAATCGAAACTATATTCTCATTCACATCACGTATGAACAAGTAGTAGTTTACAAAAAAAAAATTACGTTTACCAGCTAATAACGTTTAGAGTAGTAATAACATAAACTATAGTTAATAGTCCCCAAAATATATATAAAACTCGTGCAGTATCTAGCAAACATCATTTCATTTACTGTATTTCAACAGCAAACAAGAAATTTTAAAAATCCTCAAAAAAATGGCCAAATTCGTAAGTTCAAGAGAGAAAAACTCATCTAAAGAAAAAAATTAACAAAATCTATTTTCATTATACAGATCATTGTCTTGTGCGCTTTCATTGCCTGCGCTGCTGCTAAACCCGGTGTTGTAGCTCCCTTGGCTTATACCGCTCCCCTTGCTGCTGCTACTCCTTTGGCTTACTCTGCTCCTTTGACCTACGCCGCCACTCCTTTGGCTTATGCTAATGCACATTTGGATGCCGCTTATGCCAGCAGCCGTGTTGATATCAAGCAAAACTACAATGCTGCCGTTGTCCCGGCCACTTATGCTGCAGCCCCTGTAGCTACTCATTTCGCTGCTCCCGTTGCCCCAGTAGCTCCTCTTAAATACACTGCTGCCCCTGTTTTGTTGTAAATTTAGAGTTCCTTGATGTTGTTACGAAATAAACTATATAGTCTGTGATTTATCGTATAATACAAATGTATGTTTTATTAATTAATAGAATGTAACCTACTAAGAAATAGCTATCTAAAGTCCTTTGGAGAATTTTTGCTAGGACCAATAGGTGAAAAGTTAAACTCTAGTGTAACCTCTAGTTGAGTTCTAGTTCAATTCTAGTTCACTTCTAGTTCAGTTCTAGTGCAGTTCTAGTTCAGTTCTAGTTCAGTTCTAGTTCAGATCTAGTTCAGTTCTAGTTCAGTTCTAGTTCAGTTCTAGTTTAGTTCAGTTCTAGTTCAGCTCTAGTTCAGTTCTAGTTCGGTTCTAGTTCAGTTCTAGTTCGGTTCTAGTTCAGTTCTAGTTCAGCTCTAGTTCAGTTCTAGTTCAGTTCTAGTTCAGTTCTAGTTCAGTTCTAGTTCAGTTCTAGTTCAGTTCTAGTTGAATTCTAGTTTAGTTCTAGTTCAGTTCTAGTTCATGTTCTAGTTCAGTTCTAGTTCAGTTCTAGTTCAGTTCTAGTTCAGTTCTAGTTCAGTTCTAGTTCAGTTCTAGTTCAGTTCTAGTTCAGTTCTAGTTCAGTTCTAGTTCAGTTCTAGTTCAGTTCTAGTTCAGTTCTAGTTCAGTTCTAGTTCAGTTCTAGTTCTAGTTCAGTTCTAGTTCAGTTCTAGTTCAGTTCTAGTTCAGTTCTAGTTCAGTTCTAGTTCAGTTCTAGTTCAGTTCTAGTTCAGTTCTAGTTCAGTTCTAGTTCAGTTCTAGTTCAGTTCTAGTTCAGTTCTAGTTCAGTTCTAGTTCAGTTCTAGTTCAGTTCTAGTTCAGTTCTAGTTCAGTTCTAGTTCAGTTCTAGTTCAGTTCTAGTTCAGTTCTAGTTCAGTTCTAGTTCAGTTCTAGTTCAGTTCTAGTTCAGTTCTAGTTCAGTTCTAGTTCAGTTCTAGTTCAGTTCTAGTTCAGTTCTAGTTCAGTTCTAGTTCAGTTCTAGTTCAGTTCTAGTTCAGTTCTAGTTCAGTTCTAGTTCAGTTCTAGTTCAGTTCTAGTTCAGTTCTAGTTCAGTTCTAGTTCAGTTCTAGTTCAGTTCTAGTTCAGTTCTAGTTCAGTTCTAGTTCAGTTCTAGTTCAGTTCTAGTTCAGTTCTAGTTCAGTTCTAGTTCAGTTCTAGTTCAGTTCTAGTTCAGTTCTAGTTCAGTTCTAGTTCAGTTCTAGTTCAGTTCTAGTTCAGTTCTAGTTCAGTTCTAGTTCAGTTCTAGTTCAGTTCTAGTTCAGTTCTAGTTCAGTTCTAGTTCAGTTCTAGTTCAGTTCTAGTTCAGTTCAGTTCAGTTCTAGTTCAGTTCTAGTTCAGTTCTAGTTCAGTTCTAGTTCAGTTCTAGTTCAGTTCTAGTTCAGTTCTAGTTCAGTTCTAGTTCAGTTCTAGTTCAGTTCTAGTTCAGTTCTAGTTCAGTTCTAGTTCAGTTCTAGTTCAGTTCTAGTTCAGTTCAAGTTCAGTTCTAGTTCAGTTCTAGTTCAGTTCTAGTTCAGTTCTAGTTCAGTTCTAGTTCAGTTCTAGTTCAGTTCTAGTTCAGTTCTAGTTCAGTTCTAGTTCAGTTCTAGTTCAGTTCTAGTTCAGTTCTAGTTCAGTTCTAGTTCAGTTCTAGTTCAGTTCTAGTTCAGTTCTAGTTCAGTTCTAGTTCAGTTCTAGTTCAGTTCTAGTTCAGTTCTAGTTCAGTTCTAGTTCAGTTCTAGTTCAGTTCTAGTTCAGTTCTAGTTCAGTTCTAGTTCAGTTCTAGTTCAGTTCTAGTTCAGTTCTAGTTCAGTTCTAGTTCAGTTCTAGTTCAGTTCTAGTTCAGTTCTAGTTCAGTTCTAGTTTCAGTTCTAGTTCAGTTCTAGTTCAGTTCTAGTTCAGTTCTAGTTCAGTTCTAGTTCAGTTCTAGTTCAGTTCTAGTTCAGTTCTAGTTCAGTTCAGTTTAGTTCAGTTCTAGTTCAGTTCTAGTTCAGTTCTAGTTCAGTTCTAGTTCAGTTCTAGTTCAGTTCTAGTTCAGTTCTAGTTCAGTTCTAGTTCAGTTCAGTTCAGTTCTAGTTCAGTTCTAGTTCAGTTCTAGTTCAGTTCTAGTTCAGTTCTAGTTCAGTTTCTAGTTCAGTTCTAGTTCAGTTCTAGTTCAGTTCAGTTCAGTTCTAGTTCAGTTTAGTTCAGTTCTTAGTTCAGTTCTGTTCAGTTCTAGTTCAGTTCTAGTTCAGTTCTAGTTCAGTTCTAGTTCAGTTCTAGTTCGTTCTAGTTCATTCTAGTTCAGTTCTAGTTCAGTTCTAGTTCAGTTCTAGTTCAGTTCTAGTTCTTTCTATTGTCAGTTCTAGTTCAGTTCTAGTTCAGTTCTAGTTCAGTTCTAGTTCAGTTTCTAGTTCAGTTCTAGTTCAGTTCTAGTTCAGTTCTTTCAGTTCTAGTTCAGTTCTAGTTCAGTTCTAGTTCAGTTCTAGTTCAGTTCTAGTTCAGTTCTAGTTCAGTTCTAGTTCAGTTCTAGTTCAGTTCTAGTTCAGTTCTAGTTCAGTTCTAGTTCAGTTCTAGTTCAGTTCTAGTTCAGTTCTAGTTCAGTTCTAGTTCAGTTCTAGTTCAGTTCTAGTTCAGTTCTAGTTCAGTTCTAGTTCAGTTCTAGTTCAGTTCTAGTTCAGTTCTAGTTCAGTTCTAGTTCAGTTCTAGTTCAGTTCTAGTTCAGTTCTAGTTCAGTTCTAGTTCAGTTCTAGTTCAGTTCTAGTTCAGTTCTAGTTCAGTTCTAGTTCAGTTCTAGTTCAGTTCTAGTTCAGTTCTAGTTCAGTTCTAGTTCAGTTCTAGTTCAGTTCTAGTTCAGTTCTAGTTCAGTTCTAGTTCAGTTCTAGTTGTTCAGTTCTAGTTCAGTTCTAGTACAGTTCTAGTTCAGTTCTAGTTCAGTTCTAGTTCAGTTCTAGTTCAGTTCTAGTACAGTTCTAGTCAGTTCTAGTTCAGTTCTAGTTCAGTTCTAGTTCAGTTCTAGTTCAGTTCTAGTTCAGTTCTAGTTCAGTTCTAGTTCAGTTCTAGTTCAGTTCTAGTTCAGTTCTAGTTCAGTTCTAGTTCAGTTCTAGTTCAGTTCTAGTTCAGTTCTAGTTCAGTTCTAGTTCAGTTCTAGTTCAGTTCTAGTTCAGTTCTAGTTCAGTTCTAGTTCAGTTCTAGTGCAGTATTAGGGCAGTACTAGTTTAGTTCTAGCTCAGTTTAAAACGTTATTTAGGAAACAATTGTGATGAATGTAACGGGAAAAAGTTCTGTAAAACATAGCGAGTCTAGATCCATAATTGACCTTACTTCCCATAAAAGGTCTCATTCGGAAAATTGTTTTACCGATGGCTTAAAATACCACTATATAAAAAAACATTGACATAAACAAGTTTTATAGGAACTAAAATCTTCCTTTTAAATTTTATGAGAATTGGTGCATAATTGATCCTACTCCCCCATAAAAAGTAGGTATAGCTTTAAAATTTGAGATTAACAAGATAAATAGGAACTAAAACCTTTCTTTCAAGTTTTATAAGGATTGATCCATAATTGATCCTACTCCTTCAAAACCAGTTTCATAGAAACTGAAATCTTTCTACCAAATTTCATGAGAATCGGTCGATAAATGACCCTACTTTTTATTTAAGGTCCGCTTTAGAAAATTACTTTTACGCTCATTACTGTCTTAAAATGCTAGTATAGAGATGAAATTCGATATAAAAATGTTGCACGCTAGTTAGCGAGTTCAATTTTAGGCCTTGTGGCCCATTGTCGTACCCTTAGAATTACCATTCCCTTATGTTGAGAGTTTATTTCGTGAGAACCAGCCGATCATATTTACTATTGACACATCTCTGAGACAGTTCATATCATGCATCTTGTACGGCTGGGCAGTCATACAGAAGGCGTTGTACCGATTCCTCTTCTTTCTCATCCAAACAACTTCTGCAATAGCTATAACGTGGGTAGCCCATATGTACCGACATATGTCCAATCATACAGTGCCCAGTAATTATATCCATGAGAAGCCTAATCGAGTTCTTACTAAAAGACAGGGGAGTCCTGCTCCTATCCTTTGTCGGAGTGGGCCAGAGCAATGTGGATATTCTATATGTGGTGATATTTGAGCACCTAAGTTCTGTCTCATTATAAAACTAAATAGTAAAAACATTTACTAAAATCACTTAACACATTTTGCATATAAACTCTTACATTTTCAACTGATTTTATATGTAAATCATGTTTGAAATATGCACAAAGCATACAACCAGCAAACGATTCGTACTGCTTAGTAATTTCAAGTGAGTAATGCTTAAATTTTTGTTGTAAGTGTGAACAGCTGTTGATATGAATTGATTTAATAAAATTAGTGTTTTTTTATGGGGAATTCTTGTGTTTTATCACAAGAACATGGTTATTTTCTATGATGGTCATTTCACTTTTAAACCGTTATTAATATGTAAACTTTAAAACCAATTTTTAGTATAAATATGTTCACATCAATTGCTAAAAGTATCATTAACAATTCTTAACTTGTTAACGTTAAATCTAAATCAAAACAAAATGTTCAAATACGTAAGTTTATTAGACTTCCATTTTCAACTCGAAAGATAACTAATAATTTTGAATTTATCCTTTTAGGCCGTTGTCATCTTCGCTGTCATTGCTTGTGCCGCTGCCAAACCCGGTTTTGTAGCTCCTTTGGCTTATGCTGCTCCCGCTGCCGTTGTTGCTGCCCCCGCCGGTGTTGTCACCGCCACCAGCAGCCAATTTGTTGCCCGTAACCACAATGGTATTGCCACCGCTCCCGTTGTTGCTCCAGTAGCTGCCCCTGTTGCTGCCTACACTGCTCCTGTAGCTGCCGCCTACACTGCCCCAGTTGTAGCCAAATACGCTGCTGCTTACTCTACTCCTTTGGCCTACTCTGCTCCTGTTGCTGCTGCTTACAGCGCTCCTTTGACTTATGCAGCCACTCCTTTGGCTTATGCTAATGCTCATTTGGATGCCGCTTATGCCAGCAGCCGTGTTGACCTTAAGCAAAACTACAACGCTGCCGTTGTCCCCGCCACTTATGCTGCTGCCGTAGCTCCTCTTAAATACACTGCTGCCCCCGTTTTGTTGTAAATTTAGATTTTGTTAATGATGCTTACGAAATAAAATAAATGATCTGTGATATTCCTATTTTAAAATTATTTAGTTTTTTTCTTTCTTAAGACAATTTCAGTTTTATCTTTTTAAATTAATAATTATAATCAAAACTCTCTATCTTAAAATACATATCTAAGATCGAACAAAGTTGTTTATATACAAAATCGGTCCATAAGCCACGATTATATAAGCAAAATTCCGAAACTACTTATTAAAATATTAAGTAGATTTTTTGTTAAATACTCCCTCTAGAATATTGCTATTAGCTGGAAAATAACTCGCAAACAGTTTTTTTATTTTTTCCAAAAGATCGAAAAATATCAAACTTGACCCTCTATTACTCATAAGTTCATGGCCGATCTAGTTGAAACATCTAGTCTATAGTCTAGCCTATAGTCTAGTCTATAGACTAGTCTATAGTCTAGTCTATAGTCTAGTCTATAGTCTAGTCTATAGTCTAGTCTATAGTCTAGTTATAGTCTAGTCTATAGTCTAGTCTATAGTCTAGGTCCATAGTCTAGTCTATAGTCTAGTCTATAGTCTAGTCTATAGTCTAGTCTATAGTCTAGTCTATAGTCTGGTCTATAGTCTAGTCTATAGTCTAGTCTATAGTCTAGTCTATAGTCTAGTCATAGTTAGTCTATAGTCTAGTCTATAGTCTAGTCTATAGTCTAGTCTATAGTCTAGTCTATAGTCTAGTCTATAGTCTAGTCTATAGTCTAGTCTATAGTCTAGTCTATAGTCTAGTCTATAGTTAGTCTATAGTCTAGTCTATAGTCTAGTCTATAGTCTAGTCTATAGTCTAGTCTATAGTCTAGTCTATAGTCTAGTCTATAGTCTAGTCTATAGTCTAGTCTATAGTCTAGTCTATAGTCTAGTCTATAGTCTAGTCTATAGTCTAGTCTATAATCTAGTCTATAGTCTAGTCTATAGTCTAGTCTATAGTCTAGTCTATAGTCTAGTCTATAGTCTAGTCTATAGTCTAGTCTATAGTCTAGTCTATAGTCTAGTCTATAGTCTAGTCTATAGTCTAGTCTATAGTCTAGTCTATAGTCTAGTCTATAGTCTAGTCTATAGTCTAGTCTATAGTCTAGTCTATAGTCTAGTCTATAGTCTAGTCTATAGTCTAGTCTATAGTCTAGTCTATAGTCTATATAGTCTAGTCTATAGTCTAGTCTATAGTCTAGTCTATAGTCTAGTCTATAGTCTAGTCTATAGTCTAGTCTATAGTCTAGTCTATAGTCTATAGTCTATAGTCTAGTCTATAGTCTAGTCTAGTCTAGTCTATAGTCTAGTCTATAGTCTAGTCTATAGTCTAGTCTATAGTCTAGTCTATAGTCTAGTCTATAGTCTAGTCTATTGTCTAGTCTATAGTCTAGTCTATAGTCTAGTCTATAGTCTAGTCTATAGTCTAGTCTATAGTCTAGTCTATAGTCTAGTCTATAGTCTAGTCTATAGTCTAGTCTATAGTCTAGTCTATAGTCTAGTCTATAGTCTAGTCTATAGTCTAGTCTATAGTCTAGTCTATAGTCTAGTCTATAGTCTAGTCTATAGTCTAGTCTATAGTCTAGTCTATAGTCTAGTCTATAGTCTAGTCTATAGTCTAGTCTATAGTCTAGTCTATAGTCTAGTCTATAGTCTAGTCTATAGTCTAGTCTATAGTCTAGTCTATAGTCTAGTCTATAGTCTAGTCTATAGTCTAGTCTATAGTCTAGTCTATAGTCTAGTCTATAGTCTAGTCTATAGTCTAGTCTATAGTCTAGTCTATAGTCTAGTCTATAGTCTAGTCTATAGTCTATAGTCTAGTCTATAGTCTAGTCTATAGTCTAGTCTAGTTTAGTCTATAGTCTAGTCTATAGTCTAGTCTATAGTCTAGCCTATAGTCTAGTCTATAGTCTAGTCTATAGTCTAGCCTATAGTCTAGTCTATAGTCTAGTCTATAGTTTAGTCTATAGTCTAGTCTATAGTCTAGTCTATAGTCTAGTCTATATAGTCTAGTCTATTGTCTAAATTAGTCCAGTCTATCGTTTAGACTAAGTCTTGCCTATAACCTATAGTCTAGTGGAAAATTAGTTTAGTACTTTAAAACACAAACGGTACTCTTCTTGTTTTAAGTTCTACTAAAATACTATTCTAAATTTTCAAATTCCCCTGCCTGAAATAGGTCATAAAAAGTAGGAAAGACACAGAAAGACAAAGAAATTATTTTAAAAACATTAGATCAGAGATCATATATTTTAGATCGAAATATCATTAACAAAATCTAGATTTACAACAAAACGGGGGCAGCTGTGTATTTAAGAGGAGCTACGGCAGCAGCATAAGTGGCAGGAACGACGGCAGCATTGTAGTTTTGCTTAAGGTCAACACGGCTGCTGGCATAAGCGGCATCCAAATGAGCATTAGCATAAGCCAAAGGAGTGGCGGCATAAGTCAAAGGAGCGCTGTAAGCAGCGGCAACGGGAGCAGAGTAGGCCAAAGGAGTAGAGTAAGCAGCAGCGTATTTGGCTACAACTGGGGCGGTGTAAGCAGCGGCAACAGGGGCAGTGTAGGCAGCAACGGGGGCAGCTACTGGAGCAACAACGGGAGCGGTGGCAATACCATTGTAGTTACGAGCAATAACTTGGCTGCTGGTGGCGGTAACAACACCGGCGGGAGCAGTGTAAGCTAAAGGAGCTACAAAACCGGGTTTAGCAGCAGCACAGGCAATGACAGCGAAGATCACAACGGCCTAAAAGAATAAATACAAAATTATTAGTTTTCTTATTAAGTGAAAAGCAGATTTCAATTAACTTACGTATTTGAACATTTTGTTTTGATTTAGATTTACTTTAGTGAGAAATTGTTAATGATACTTTTAGCAATTGATGTAAACCTATTTATACTAAATTTGATTTGAAATTTTACATATTAATAACGGTTTAAAAGTAAAATGACCATCATAGTAGCAAAACCATGTTCTTGAGATAAAATACAAGAATTCCCCATAAAATAACGCTAAACATTAACAGCTGTTCACACTTACAACAAAAAACTAAAGCATTACTCAGTTGGAATTACTAAGCAGTATGAATAATTTGATAGTTGTATGCTTAGTGCATAATTCAAACATGTTTTATATAAAATCAATTGAAATTTTAAATGCTTATATGCAAAATGTATTAAGTAGCTTTGATGATATTATCTCTACTCCCGATATTGCTTTTGTAGCTGCTTCTATATTTCGAAAAACGAAGGGATTTACTCAAGCAAATTTTATCTGTGAGTTGGTTTAACAATTACACAGAAAAAAGTTTCAATACAAATACTATGAAATGTTGCATTGTTTCAAGTTCATACTATTTAAGAATAATTTCATTAATAGTATGAAATTTTTCATTATATAGTTTTCTTAAACTAAATCTAGAAGCCTTTTGTTGAAAAATTTTGGAAATTTTCTTTACAATAACGATTTTTTATGATTTTCACACTAAAAATTGGGACACATGAGTGTTATTTTTAGAATTTTATGAAAATTTAGATTTTCAGTTTTTGTTTTTCATCTTTTCTAGATTTTTTTCTATTTTTCTACAAAATTGCAATATATGTTTATTTTAAGAAATTATATAATCAGTTTAATATATAATGGACATTTATTGGAACTTTTTGTAATGTAATATCAAAGCAAATAAATAAATTACATACTATTTATGAAATTTTCATATTCTCAATGAAAATGTTTTGTGGGAGAAAAAGTCATGTTCTATTCGAGGTTAGATTAGGTTACGTGGGTTGCTCGCTAGCAAGCGAGTTTACTCGGAGGCCTTGTGGCCCATTGTGATACCCTTAGAATAACCATTCCCTAATACTGAGAGAATGGTTTCCCTCCCTAATTTCATTGAGTACTTGATTCGTTCGGTCTCCGTGAAAACTAGCCGGTGCTTCTAATAAAACCGATCGATCATGTTTATTAGTGACGCATCTCTGAGACAGTCCAGATCATGAAAAAGAGCTTTACCAAGATAGAGTAGTCTGTGATCTTGTAAGCCTGGGCAGTCACATAGAAGGTATTATACCGATTCCATTCTTCTTCGTCAAAGCAGCTTCTGGTAGCCCATACTTTCCGACATATGTCCAATTATACAGTGCCCAGTAATCATACCAGTTAGAAGCCTAATCGAGTTCTTAATAAGAGACAAGAGAGTCCTATCTGTTGTCCGAGTGGGACAGATCATTCTCGATATTCTACATGTGGTGATATTTGACCACCTGAGTTTCGCCTCACTCAAAGCCCATTCATCTATCAATTTTGATAGGATCGTCAGGGGAGTGTGAATATCCTTTTGCTCATGGATTAAGTCCGGGGACGATCCTTTGGTTGCGCATTCATCAGATAGTTCATTTCCGCAGATGTCCTCATGTCATGGAACCCATATCAACTCAACGTGATGTTGTGTCAGTTGTGCTTGAATGATTGAATACAATTGAGAAGACATTTCCACTTAATAACATTGGAGTTAAGAGCCTTCATTGATGCAAGGCTGTCCAAGTATATATGTATAGTCAATTTTTCAAATTTAGTTCCCGGCTTTTTCTCGCGGCTGTATAGATGACATGTATCTCTGCCTGAAGGACCGTGCGGGTGTTAGGTAGTCGCAGAGACAGTAGAAAATTTAATTTTTCGGAGAAGATTCCCAATATTTGAGCTATCAGTATAGATTGAGATCACGTCGTCCCTAAGGACAGTGTTCGCGGCCCATTCTGGTCTGGTTGGTATTAAAATTCAGTGTAGATAGAATGTAGTCTGTTTCCTGTCCCATGATTGATCTGCTTATCTTTTGTAGGATGGTGCCATGACCTATGCGGTCGTGCTTCAGTCCGTTCGACTGTTCGATTAGAACTATTTATAAAATTGAAATTTAATTTCGACTTTAGAATTTGTCTTTATGTATCAAAACAATGACATTTATATAATCATTAGGATAGGTTTAACTATGGACCGAGTTCTATAGAATTCAAAGAGTAAATTATGTATATTTTTAAGACATTTCAGAAGGAAATCTTAAACTACTCTGTCAAGCGCTGCAAGCTTCGTTTCATAATTGACCTAAGCCACCATAAATGGACTTTATTAAAAAATCTATCTGAGGCTTAAAAAATGTATGTTTAAGGCAACCTTCAGTAATGTCAATTATGGGACTTGGACCCTCATATTAAAGACATACAAAAATCACTTATGACTTTTAACAAACTTTTGGGATGTTATACGCTTTCAAATATTAAAAATCCACCAGTTTTGTCAAAACTTAAGTTATCTGACAAGATTTTCCTTACTTTCAATAGAGAACTAAAAATCGTATAATTTAGAACAAAAAAATATATTATTTAAAATTCGCTAGATCACAGATCTTTTATTTCGATTCGTAACAAGATGATTAACAAAATCTAAATTTACAACAAAACTGGAGAAGCAGTGTATTTAATGGGAGCTACAGGGGCAACTGGGGCTACGGGAGCAGCCAAAGGAGTAGCTACGGGAACAGCAGCGGCGGCAGCATAAGTGGCAGGGACGACGGCAGCGTTGTAGTTTTGCTTAATATCAACACGGCTGCTGGCATAAGCGGCATCCAAATGAGCGTTAGCATAAGCCAAAGGAGTGGCGGCATAAGTCAAAGGAGCGCTGTAGGCAGCGGCAAGGGGAGCAGAGTAAGCCAAAGGAGTAGAGTAAGCAGCAGCGTATTTGGCTACAACTGGGGCGGTATAGGCGGCAGCAACAGGGGCAGCTACTGGAGCAACAACGGGAGCGGTGGCAATACCATTATGGTTACGGGCAATATATTGGCTGCTGGTGGCGGTGACAACACCGGCGGGGGCAGCAACAACAGCAGCGGAAGCAGTGTAAGCCAAAGGAGCTACAAGACCGGGTTTGGCAGCAGCGCAGGCAATGGCAGCAAAGATAACAACGGCCTAAAAGGATAATTTAAAAGTTATTATTTGTCTTTTCTGTTTAAAGGATAATCCAATTAACTTACGTATTTGAACATTTTGTTTTGCTTTAGATTTACTTTAACAAGTTAGAAATTGTTAATGATATTTTAAGCAATTGATGTGACCATATTTATACAAAAAAAATTTAATTCAAATTAATGAATTTTCAATAAAACTAAACTAACCTCAGAAATAAGGTTTATGTTCTTGAATTAAAAATTTTAAAAGAATTTCATATAAATATAAAATAGCTGTTCACACTTACCTATAACAAAATGACTTGGTTTACATTAAATAATACTAAGCAGTATGCAGAGTTTGAGAGTGTTATGCTTAAAGCATAATTTATACATGTTTTACATAAAAATTAGCTCAAACTGTTAAATTTATTTAAAATTTTTAACCAGTACATAAATAAAGGTATTGTTATTGTTTTAATTGTAAATTATTTTATTAACAAAATCAAATTATTAGAAATAGTTTTTGTTTAAAACAAAAAAGTACCAAAGAGTTCCCTTATATATGTACATATGACTCATTCAATCGGTACCAATTATGTTGAAATTTTTGTAATTGCATTTTATACCCTACACCACTTTAGTGGGGAGGGTATGTTAGGATTATGCTGATGTTTGTAACACACAAAAATTTGTGTCCTATAAATGAATAAGAATAATTTTCTGAATAGATTTAGCTATGTCCGCTCGTCTGTGTGTCTGTCAGTCAGTCTGTCTGTCTGTCCACCCATGTAAACCTTGTAATCCAAATAAAGGTCGCAATTTTCAAGATAATTTGATGAAATTTGGCACATAAGGGCGAAGCTTATTAAAAATGGTTAAAATCGGTTCATTATTTCACCTAGCCCCCATACAATCGTACCTCCCAAATAGAGCTTTTGAGTCCATAATTATGTTAAAGGTTCTAGTATCTCTATAAAAATCAGTAAGACATTGTTTTATATAAGTCTAAATGATGCTGTCGATTTTCGTTATGATCGGGCTTCATTTGATCATAGCCCCCATAAAAAGTCCCCTTCAGCAAATGACTTGAAGTTCAATAATTAACTTATAAACACTAGTATTACGATGAAATTTTGCATAATTAACTTTAATGTTAGTGATAAATCCCTCTATGAACATTTATAAGGATAGGCTTATATTTCCCTTGTCACCCATATAACCTCTCTTCTATAAAATAGTCAGCCATGACCGACTATACATTCTGACTTATTATTACTACAAAGTCATTTGTACAAAAAGAACGTTTTTTAAAACAGGTTCCAAATTATTTACCCGAATTTGATTGGAATCGAAATTTTAAAATTAAATCCAAATTTGATCAATAAGTGAAGAGAAAGTGTTGACAAGTTTAGGTTTAGAATTTGATCCGCAAAGTAGGACACATCGGTTAGGTTACATTTTTAAAACAATCTTATTTCTTCGTTTGTATTCCGATTAAAGATATCATTTATATAATCTCTTTTTCGATCACTATAAGCAGCTATCAGTTATCTCATATAGCTTAGGAGATATTCGCATTTGAAAATTACATTTTTATACCCACCTTCTAAAAGATGTTTATGTCATTCCGTTTATTACACATTGGAATATTGGTCATAGATTAGGGGTCCTTATTAAATTCTAAGAAGATCTGCCCATGTCCGTTTGTCTGTCGTCTGTCTAGCTGTATATCTCTCTGTCCGTCTGTTTGTTGAAAGCACGATTGTGTCCGAACGGAAAGATCTAGAGAGTTGAACATTTAACACAAATACCTATTCCTTATAGGTACGGTTTGAAAATGGGCAATATCGGTCCACGTTTTCGCATAGCCCCCTTACAAATTGTTTTAACAGTCATAATTGTTTGAAAAGATGAATATGGCGATGAAATTTGACACAAATAAGTTTCATATGAGCCAAAATCTCTCTAACAAATTTTTTTAAGGAGCGGTCCATAATTGACTCTACCCCCCATATAGGGTCCCCTGCAGCAAATGACCTTAACGCTCATTTATTACCGGCTTTTAAAATACGAATGCAGAAGATAAATATAAACCAAAATTTCTGTACAAATTTTTATGAGTGCAGGTCCATTATTTACTCTACCCCCCTTGTAAGGTCCCCTTAAGAAAATAAGTCATTATTGGCTTAAAAATACGAGTACAGTTATCTTCTTACCGAATGCTAATTACTGGCATACAAATTCGATTACAGCGATGATATTCGATATAAACAAGTTTTATATGATTCAAAAACAGTCTACAAAATGTTATGGGGATCGGTCAGTAATTGACCCATCCCTAATTACTGGCTTCTAAATACAGTAAAGCGATAAATTTAGACATAAACATGTTTAATATAAACCAAAATCGGTCTATAAATTTTTATGAGGATCGGTCCAGAATTGAACCTTCCCTTCATATATACAACCAGCTGCAGATTACGACAATGAATTTCAACATAAAAAGGAACATCATTTTTCATTCCGATTTTGATGAGGATTTATCTATAACTGATCACAGACCCTATATAAGGTTCCCTTTAGGAGAGGGATTTACTTAAAATTCGAGTATTTCTTATTTAAAAAAAAATACGAGAATAGCGATGAAATTCGACATAAATAAGTTCAACGATGAAATTCGAAACAAATAAATGTTATAAATACCGAAATCTTTCTACCAAATTTTACGACTACCGGTTTTTAGTTGACCCTACCGCTCATTTATGTATGTATGGGAAGAATACAAGAAATTTGAATAAAAATACATTCATTTCTTTTAAATCGCTTAATCACAGATCATATTTTTATTTCGCTAATATCGTTTAACAAAATCTAAATTTACAATAAAACGGGGGCAGCTGTGTATTTAAGAGGAGCTACGGCGGCAGCATAAGTGGCAGGAACGACGGCAGCATTGTAGTTTTGCTTGAGGTCAACACGGCTGCTGGCATAAGCGGCATCCAAATGAGCATTAGCATAAGCCAAAGGAGTGGCGGCATAAGTCAAAGGAGCGCTGTAAGCAGCGGCAACGGGAGCAGAGTAGGCCAAAGGAGTAGAGTAAGCAGCAGCATATTTGGCTACAACTGGGGCGGTGTAAGCAGCGGCAACATGGGCAGTGTAGGCGGCAACGGGGGCAGCTACTGGAGCAACAACGGGAGCGGTGGCAATACCATTGTAGTTACGAGCAATAACTTGACTGCTGGTGGCGGTAACAACACCGGCGGGAGCAGTGTAAGCTAAAGGAGCTACAAAACCGGGTTTAGCAGCAGCACAGGCAATCAAGGCGAAGATAACAACGGTCTAAAAGGATAAATTAAAAATTTTTAGTTTTCTTATTAAGTGAAAAGAAGATTTCAATTAACTTACGTATTTGAACATTTTGTTTTGATTTTGATTTACTTTAACAAGTAAGAAATTGTTAATGATACTTTAAGCAATTGATGTAAACCTATTTATACTAAAATTAGTTTGAAATTGTTTATAATAATAACGGTTTAAAAGTAAAATGACCATCATAGAAATAAACCATGTTCTTGACATAAAATACAAGAATTCCCCATAAAATAAGATTGATTTTATTAAATCAATTGACATTAACAGCTGTGTTCACACTTACAACAAATATTGAAGCATTACTCACCTAAAATTACTAAGCAGTACGAATCGTTTCATGGTTGGTATGCTTAGTGCATAATTCAAATATGATTTACATAAATTCAACTGAAAATATTAAAGGTTTATAGGCAAAATGTATTAAGTGTTATTGATTAATAATTATAATAAAACAATTACTATAAATAGTTTAAATTTACTTGAAGTTAACATCAAACTTGTTTTAACTGTTTCTTGAAACAAATCAATCTCATAGAAAATGTTCAAAATCGTAAGTATTTTGCAAGAGTTTTGAAAATCAATATTGTTAATAATTAAAGAAAATTTCCCTAGGCTGTTGTCATCTTCGCTGTCATTGCCTGTGCTGCTGCTAAACCCGGTTTGATTGGTGCTCCTTTGGCTTACACTGCTCCCGCCGCTGTAGTAGCTGCCCCCGCCGGTGTTGTTACTGCCACCAGTAGTCAATTTATTGCCCGCAACCACAATGGTATTGTCTCCACTCCTGTTGTAGCTCCAGTAGCTGCCCCTGTTGTTGCCAAAACTTTAGCCTACACTGCTCCTGTAGCTGCTGCTTACACCGCCCCAGTTGTAGCCAAATACGCTGCTGCCTACACTCATCCTTTGTCTTATTCCGCCCCTGTTGTAGCCAAATATGCCTCTGCTTACTCTCATCCTCTGGCTTACTCAGCTCCTTTGACTTATGCTGCTGCCCCAGTTTTGTTTTAAAAACTGATGTATTGTTAAAAAATATGAGATTTTGATATGATTTTAAAGAACTAATAAATATTATATATTTATTTAAAAATTTGTTTTTTCTTGAATAGTATTGCATCAATAGTCTATATCATTTGAAGACATTTTATATTATGATTATTGTTAATTGGTTTTAACGATTTTAGAATCGGTTTGAAATATCGAAAGTTAACAAGTTGAAGTTATACTAAGTTTGGCATGAGTTCGTCGATATCTCCATGTTTTCATGATATAATTGATGTTGATAACTCGATAACCATATTATTAAAATTGGTTAATATATGAATGATTTTGTCATTCCGTTTGTAACACATCGAAATATTGGTCATTGTCCAAGTCAGTTATACAAAACCATGAGTTCAAAATATCGTCATGTCATTACTGGTCCGATTCCCAAACAGTTTTGCAATGGATTTATTCCAAGGAACGTCGTTTCAAAGCTTATGTAAGTCATAGAGTTGCGAAAATCATAAAAAATACAAAGCCTGATCAGTGGAACTGGGTTCCTACTCAACTTAATGTAGCAGACGCTGGAACACGAACAAAATACCCGCCAAAGTTCAATCCAGAAAGTAAATGGATAGTCGGTCCCTCTTTCCTGAAGCATGATGAAACCGATTGACCTAAATCCACAATTTATGTACCAAGTCACCTTATAGAAGAAGAACTGAAACCATCCCTTGTTATTACCGAAAGGAATTTTTTCAGATTTTGGACTATAACCGGTTTTCATTTTCCTAGTATTTTTACACAAGATTTTGTTTGTGTAAATTTGTTCAGAAAATTCTATTATTGAAGGGAACGGCTTAATTCTCATAGCAACACGCGTCCAATCAAACTGTTTATCAGCTGGAAGTTTGTTGACTAACTCTTCCAGTAACGTGGCATTCATCAAATGGTGGGCGCAGTTTGCAGAATTGAGAAAGGTCACAACATTCTTAACTTTTGTAGAAAATTCGATAAATTGACTCAACTTCTTTGAATTTATTGGCGGAAATTGTTGTATTTTCATCAATTGGGAACGAATTAATATGTCTGCCCTTCCATAACGAAATTCCAATTCGTCCATGACTTGTGGAACACTATCGGGATATATTAACATTGAAATAACAGCGTCTCTGGCCTGACCTTGTAGACATTTTTGTAAACGCATTAAATTTTGGCGATTGCTGTACTTATACATATTAGTAGTGTCCTTGAAATTAGCGATGAATAAACCGCAATCTTCAGCGACTCCAGAAAATTGTGACAAATCATATCATTTTTGGGCTGAATCACAAGGGACTATAGGGGATTCTTGAGGCACCATCTGTGGCTGAGGTATCTCTTCAACATTTCTATTCATGGCAGGAATTTCTGGTTCTTGCGGATTTTGATTAGCTGCTATCTGATTTCTAAGAATAGCCATTTCTTTGCGGTTATCAGCTACTGACTTGGCTAGTTCTTCAATGCAGGAAAGTATTTCATTTAACTGGCTTTGGTTTATTGCGGGCTGCTCTTCTACATCCGTTATTGTAGAATTTAGATCTTCTGCTGATCCAGCTTGGCTTCTCAAATCGTATCGTTTAGACATTTTCAAACTTTATTCACAAATCTCACGGTCATAGACCCACAAAAGTACATATATTCTGGGTCCTTATTAAATTCTAAGACGATCTAACCATGTTTGTCAGTCCGTCCGTCCGTCTGTCTGTCTGTCTGTTGAAAACACAATAGAGACGAAACGAAATGAGATAGAGGGTTGAAATTTACCCCAAATATTCTCTATAGGTAGGGCTTGTTTGGTATTGAAAATGGGCGATATCAGTTCACAATTTCGGATAGCCCCCACACAAGTGGATACCCGAAAAACCGCTTTAACGAGCATATCTGTTTTAAAAGTTCGAGCATATGAGAAAAAATCTCCCTGACAAATTTTTTGAGAATCGGTCCATAATTGACCCTACTACCCCTCATATAAGGTCCCCTTCTGAAAATGATCATAATGCCCATTTCTGGCTTAAAAATACTAGTATAGCGATGAAATTTCACATAAGTTAACCTCTTACAAGCCAAAATCTCTCTACAACATTTTGTGTGGATCGGTCCATAATTGACCCTACCCCCATATAAGGTCCGCTTCAGAAAATTACTTTAACGCTCATTAAAAATGAATGAGTAGAGCGTTAATATTCGAAACGTATAAGTATTGCACGAACCGAAACCTTTCTATCAAATTTGACGACAATCGGTCAATAATTGTCCCTATACATATACTTGATAATGAAAGTTTTTGCTGGGTAATTAACTTCTTAAAGAAGTCCTTTCAAAGAAAAATTATTTCAATAAAATAGTTAAAAATTGTGTATTAATAAATTAATTCGTTTATTTTTCAACAACATCACATCATTTCAAATTCGCCGTAAGACAGTTTTTTAAAACGAAATTGGAGCTGGAGCAGCAGCATAGGTCAAAGGTGCAGAGTAGGCCAAAGGATGAGAGTAAGCAGCAGCGTATTTGGCAACAACAGGGGTGGAGTAGGCCAAAGGATGAGAGTAAGCAGTAGCGTATTTGGCAACAACAGGAGAGGAGTAGGCCAAAGGATGAGAGTAAGCAGCAGCGTATTTGGCTACAACGGGAGCGGTATAAGCAGCAGCCACGGGAGCAGTGTAAGCAACACTCTTGGCAACAACAGGGGCAGCTACTGGAGCTACAACGGGAGCGGTGGCAATACCGTTGTGGTTGCGGGCAATATATTGGCTACTGGTGGCAGTAACAACACCAGCAGGGCCAGCTACTACAGCGGCGGGAGCAGTGTAAGCCAAGGGAGCAACTAAACCGGGTTTGGCAGCAGCGCAGGCAATGACAGCGAAGATGACAACAGCCTAAAAAAATTTAACTTTATAAACATCTTTGATACTTTTTGAAAAATCACAAAGAAAAACTTACGAATTTGAACATTTTGTTTAAGTTTGCAGAAGTGATTGGTTTAACGAAACAGATGAAACAAGTTTGATGAAAATTTTAAAAACACAAAACCTATTTATAACAAATTAATTTATTATATCTTGTACTAATTTATAAAACAAACATTGTATATACTGTATTATACGCTACTGTATACATATGTATGTAAATCATGTTTGAATTATGCACTAATCAAACAACTAATAAACGTTTCATACTGCTTAGTAATATCACATGAGTAATGCTTTAATTTTTGTTGTAAGTGTGAACACAGCTGTTATTGATTTAACGATATTAGCATTATTTCGTAGGGAATTCAATTATTTCATTTCTTTCAAGAACATGGGCATAATTTTGAGGGTTGTTATAAACTTTTCAGAAAAACCCGTTATTATTATAAACAATTTCAAACTAATTTTAGTATAAATAAGTTTACATCAATTGCTAAAAGTATCATTAACAATTTCTCACTTGTTAAAGTAAATCAAAATCAAAACAAAATGTTCAAATACGTAAGTTAATTGAAATCTTCTTTTCACTTAATAAGAAAACTAATAATTTTGTATCTATCCTTTTAGGCCATTGTTATCTTCGCTGTCATTGCCTGTGCTGCTGCTAAACCCGGTTTTGTAGCTCCTTTAGCTTACACTGCTCCCGCCGGTGTTGTTACCGCCACCAGCAGCCAAGTTATTGCTCGTAACTACAATGGTATTGCCACCGCTCCCGTTGTTGCTCCAGTAGCTGCCCCTGTTGCCGCCTACACTGCTCCTGTAGCTGCCGCCTACACCGCCCCAGTTGTAGCCAAATACGCTGCTGCCTACTCTACTCCTTTGGCCTACTCTGCTCCCGTTGCTGCTGCTTACAGCGCTCCTTTGACTTATGCCGCCACTCCTTTGGCTTATGCTAACGCTCATTTGGATGCCGCTTATGCCAGCAGTCGTGTTGACCTCAAGCAAAACTACAATGCTGCCGTCGTTCCTGCCACTTATGCTGCTGCTGTAGCTCCTCTTAAATACACAGCTGCCCCCGTTTTGTTGTAAATTTAGTTTTTGTTAAATGATATTAGCGAAATAAAAGAAAAATTATCTGTGATTAAGCGATTTTAAAGAAAAACTTTGTGATTTTATTTAAAAAATATATTTTTGTATTCTCGGTAAGTTAAACGACCTTAACCAACTATTGGTAATAGCCAAGCAGAATACAAACAAGTGAGATTTTTATATTCGGCTGTGCCGAGTCTCGTATACCCACCATCAAACCGTATGCCGAAAACGGAATGCTCCCCTGTAAACTAAAGGGTGATACTTGGAATATATCTTAAGTCAATTATTGACCGAACTCTTTTGAATTAACATAATATTTATTTTTAGAAATAAAATTTGATAGAAAGATTTCGGTTCGTGCAATACTTATTCGTTTCAAATTTCAACGCACTACTCGTATTTTTAATGAGTGTTAAAGTAATTTTCTGAAGGGGACCTTATATGGGGGGTAGGGTCAATAATGGACCGAACCACATACAATTTCGTAGAGAGGTTGTAGCTCGTCAGAAACTTACTTATGTGAAATTTCGCTATACTAGTAATGATTGTTAAAGTAATTTTCTGAAGGGGACCTTATATGGGGGGTAGGGTCATTTATGGACCGATCCACATAAAATTTGGCGGTGAAGTTTTGGCTTATCAGAAAATCAGTTATGTGAAATTTCATCGATATACTCGTATTTGTAAGCCAGTGATGAGCATTAATGTAATTTTCTGAAGGGAACCTTATATGGGGGTAGGGTCAATTATGGACCGATCCTCAAAAAATTTGGCAGGGAGATTTTTTTTTCATATGGAACTTATTTATGACGAATTTCATCGTTATATTCGAACTTTTGAAACAGATATGCTGTTTTTCGGTTGTCCACTTGTATGGACCTATAGCGAATATTTGTGGAAAATTTCAACCCTCTATCTCATTCTATTCGGACTCTATCGTGTTTTCAACAGACAGACAGACGGACATGGCTATATTAATATAGATGATAGATGTGTTACAAAGGAGATATCGTCACCTAAAGCATGATATAACAATAAATAGACAAAAACTGATTTTTTTTGTACATTTCTGCTGTAATTGCTGAGAGGGTATGATACCTGAAGTTGATGGACGGACAGACATCGTTAAATCGAATCGGAAAGTGATTTTGAGTAGATTGAAACATAGGTGTGGATCCAGCAGTTTTGTTCGTTATAAACTATATTTATAAAGCATAATATCCTTCGCACTATAGTAGTGTAAACTCTACAGTGTAGAGTATAAATACAATGAATACCGAAAACTATGAGATTTCAAGCTTTAGGTGAAGATATCTCGAAAAACAAAGATGATATGTCTGATGTTAAGGCTTTATTTGAAAGTTGACAAAATTAACTTTCTGATGGTATACAACATCTTGGTGCTGTAATAACGTCTCAAAAAGGGTCAAAAATGGATTTTTTTTTTTTAATTTCAAATCCCAGATGTAATGGAGAAAATCTGATTCGGATTCAGCGAGGCTTTCGATTCTATTCTTTCATTTTGCACACAACGTATGGTTTTGTGACTAAACATTCGCGAATAATCCCGGAGTTATTTTTGGCAAAAAAAATTTTAGAACATTTTTGTATTTAGAATCGAAGAAAAAAACTGCTCGTCTTTTGAAGTCAAGAACGCATCGGGACTATTTCAGTTTCTTTCTTCTTAAGTTAAGCTTATCCCAGACAGAGTGTTCTGCATCGATTGCAGAAATATATACTATAGTCGTCGGATGGGGCAAGGTCTGAACTATAGGGCGGGTGAAGCAAAGCTTTCCAATAACTTCATGTGCCTAACTTTGTCATAATGTTATATTACTTCGTAATGATTACTACTCCCAAGATACCAACGTGTTAAATTAATGACTAAAATGCTATTGTATAAGTAAATGTTCGCATTTGAACCCCTTACTAAGCAATGAAAGCTTTTGATGGATAATAAACTTTTTAAAAGAAGTTATTTTAAAGAAAAATTATTTAAATAAAAAAGTTAAAAATTGTATATTAATAAATTAATTCGTTTATTTTTCACAACACCATTTCGAATTCGCAATAAGACAGTTTTTTAAAACAAAACTGGAGCTGGAGCAGCAGCATAGGTCAAAGGAGCAGAATAGGCCAAAGGATGAGAGTAAGCGGCGGCGTATTTGGCAACAACAGGGGTGGAGTAGGCCAAAGGATGAGAGTAAGCAGTAGCGTATTTGGCTACAACGGGAGCAGAGTAAGCCAAGGGATGAGTGTAGGCAGCAGCATATTTAGCTACAACGGGAGCGGTATAAGCAGCAGCTACGGGAGCTGTGTAAGCAACAGTCTTGGCAACAACAGGGGCAGCTACTGGAGCAACAACGGGAGCAGTGGCAATACCATTGTAGTTGCGAGCAATAACTTGGCTACTGGTGGCAGTAACAACACCAGCAGGGGCAGCTACTACAGCGGCGGGAGCAGTGTAAGCCAAAGGAGCAACTAAACCGGGTTTGGCAGCAGCACAGGCAATGACAGCAAAGATGACAACAGCCTAAAGTAAATCAAGTTAATTAGTAAAGTAAATTATTTCAAAATTCTTTCAGAAATATGAACTTACGAATTTGAACATATTGATTTGTTTAACGAAACAGTTGTAAAACGTTTGATAAAAATTGTAACTAAACTCAAACTATTTATACAGATTTTATGCTAAAGTTAATAATTTCGCCAATATACGTAAATATTAACTATAACTTAAGGGTTAAAGCAATTTTAGTATTCAAATTTATGTCAAACATGTTTCAGTTATGCGCTAAGCATACCATCAAACCAGCTAAAGCATACAACTTAGTATTTGGCTGGTAAGTACTGCTCGCGAGTGTATAAATAATTGTAAACTTAATTAGGTATTTTTATGGAATTCTTTTTTAATTTCAAGAACAGGGTCAATTTAAACAGTTAAACCGTTATTCAAAATCCAGATTTTGAAACTAAATTTAGTATAAATATTAAGTTTACTGGTACCTAAACTATCATTAACAATTACTTACTTGTTAAAGCAAATCAATTCACTAAACAAAATGTTCAAATTCGTAAGTTATTTCAAAATTTATGAAAATTAACAATTTATTTAAAAATCTTTAATAATTTTTTCTTCAGGCTGTTGTCATCTTCGCTGTCATTGCCTGTGCTGCTGCCAAACCCGGTTTTGTTGCTCCTTTGACTTACACTGCCCCCGCTGCTGTAGTAGCTGCCCCTGCTGGTGTTGTTACTGCCACCAGTAGCCAAGTTATTGCCCGCAACTATAATGGCATTGCCACCGCTCCCGTTGTTGCCCCCGTAGCTGCTCCTGTTGTTGCCAAGACTGTTGCCTACACTGCCCCTGTTGCTGCTGCTTATACCGCTCCCGTTGTTGCCAAATACGCTGCCGCTTACTCTCATCCTTTGGCTTACTCCGCCCCTGTTGTTGCCAAATACGCCGCCGCTTACTCTCATCCTTTGGCCTACTCTGCACCTTTGACCTATGCTGCCCCAGCTTTCTTTTAAAAACTCTTATACAGCGAATTTGAATTGATGTGAAAAAATAAACGATTTAATTTATTATTACAAAATTTCTAAGTATTTTTTTGTTTAAATAATTTTTCTTGGATTTTTCTTAGTTAATTAAAAGCTTAGACTTATCGCTTACTATTTCTGTGTAAATAAGAGGTTTACATGAGTTATCAGCAGTTTGTCTACAATTAAGATATATCGTCGGTCATTGATCCTTTACTAATCTGGATAAAACCCGTTAGAAAAGTAGCGAAATTGATACAACCCGCTGTGAAAAGTAAGCTTACCACGTTTGTTAACATTTAGACAACGGATGTGCATAAAATATAAATAATTTTGACAACGCATTGTTGTCATTGTAAAAACGCATTGTTGTCATCTTGATTAAGCTATGTGTCATTTCGGCGATGCATTGTTGGGATTTCGACAGCTCATCGTTGGCATTTCGTCAATGAAACGTTCTGTTTGACAATATAGCATTGTAACTTTGATAAGATTTTTGTTGTTGATTTGACAACTATCCGTACATACTTTGACAACGTCAACGTGTCAATTTGGTACCAGCGTGTATAATTTTAAAACGTATTTTTTTCCTCTGTGTACTTGTAAATATTGTACTATGATGTTGCAATTTTTGGAACAAAATTCTTATTGCATCGCTAGGGTGAGAAAAAGTACCAAAAGGGCCGTGGTGTAAATATGAAAATTTTGTGCAATTATGGGCGGATAAGAAATAGTGGACGTGACACTCCCTACACAAAGCTATTACCAAAATTCATATATCAGGAAAACTATAAAATTTGGAGTGATAAAATATCGTTCGAACTATGGGCGAATTAGAAAAAGAGGCGTACTACTTCCCATATGAATTAAATAAAAAAATTCGTATATCAGGGAAACTATTGAAGCTAGAATGCTCAAAATTTTCATAAAATGGCCGATCACGCAGTCCCTCCCATAAGAATTAAATAATAAATATTTCCGGAATAACATCACTTCCAAGATACTTGGATCTAATTCTACGAATGCTTGACAGTGGCAAAGAAAGTGCTCCAGAGTTTCACTGTCCTCTCCACATGCTCTACATTTGTCTGAATCCGCACGGCCAATATTGAGATGTGCTCGTAATCCTGTGTATCCACTCAGAATACGTACTATCATACTAACTTCAGACTTGCTTATTTTGAGGAGATTTCTCGTCTTGTTCTCATCAGGATCTTTGTGGTTCTACCCACCGTTTCATTATTCCAAGAGGTCTTATGGGATTCTCTCACCCATATTTTTAATTAGGCTTTTGTTACGTCGAATGGTTTTGCGTTTGTCAGCTTAACTACCTCGAGCTTCCTTCCCTTTAAAGCTATTACATTCGCCCTTTCGTTGCCGACTACTCGCGAGTGGTCTGGTACCCATATGATGTAAACCTTACCACTGGGAGAGTATTTAGTTAAAGCTTTCCTACAATCCAATGCGGTCTTAGATTTAATTCTATCACCTGATATCGCCCTAATTGCCTTCTGGCTGTCGGTAAATATATTAAGGGCTGTGGGCTCCATATTTATTCTAATTCAATTTACACATTGCGTTATTGCTCGGACTTCTGCCAGGAAGCTTGTGTTATGATTAGGTAAACGGAGGTATATTTCTGTTTCTGGGTCTTCAATGTAGAACCCCAGGCCCTTTGATGAATGAAAAAGTACCAAAAGACCCTTTCAGTAGATTGTCATTCACTAAGGTCCCTATATTTTAAATTTTATATTTTTATGTTCAATATCGTAAAAATATCAAAAAGTATCGGAAAAACGAAAAAGTACAAAAATCTCTCTCAATAAATTCTTATTTAATAAGGATGTGTTCCGGTTAACCATTATAGAGAAACCAAAAGGTACCATTTTAAGAATGGAAAAGTACCAAAGAGTACCCACTTACAAAATATTATTCAGTCAAGACCATGTATGTTAAAATTTATGTTCCTAGGTTAAATATTTTAGAAAATTCAAAAAGTAACATTTATGAGATAAAAAGTGGAGGACCGTGTATGTTTAATAATCATGTGTTTTGAATTCATATTACTGAACATACAAAGAGTATAATTTGAAGAAAGAAAAAGTACCAAAAGTGAAATAAATTTTACCTATGTGGAAAGTACTAATAAAAAGAGTACAATTTTTCCCCTTTTCGCTTAGAAATATACTTTTTCGAGAATTAAGTTTACAAAATGTTCCGTATTTAAATCTATATATCACAGAACAAACAATATACACGAATTTGGTCCTATATAGTGCTCGAATTCCAAAATAATATACCAAAAGCTTATTTTGTGTGAGTAAATAAAGTACTTTTTCAAATTTTATAAAAATTGGCTCAACGAGTTTGAATAAAATTAAATTTCCCGTTTTTTCCCTTTTTGGTACTTTTTTCCCCAGTGAAATTGCAAAAATTTTATTACAATAAATATTACAGAGTTAGTCGTAATTTAATAGGAATAATTCAATAAACCAAAAAAGTTTTCTTAATGTGCTAAAAAATAATACCATAAATACAGTTTTCTCCCTTTTACACCCAAAAAGGACTGAATTTTAAAAAAGTACGAAACAGGTGTCTCATAATTTTGGGAGATGCATCCAAAATATTTATAAAAATTTTATTATGTTAATTAGTTCAAAAGTTATATAGGGCCGAAAAAGCTACCAAAATCACCTTTGTTACACATTTTTACCTCTTAAAAGTACGAATTTCAAAAAAGTGCCAGACACCCATCTGCTCATTTTAAGAGTAGATACAGGTGCATTGAAAATTTTTCTTGTATCACTAATATTGTGTAAGATAATTAAGAAAACCTGTTTTATCCGTTTTTCCCCCTTTTTACCCGTAAATGTACAAATTTCGAAAAATCCCTACTTAGTGGATCTACATAACCAAAAACACATCTACTGTCAAAATTTAATGATTCTAGGTTCAACAGTTTGGGCTGCGCGATGATGAATCAGTCAGTCAGTAACGCTACTCTTTTATATATATAGACTATAAAAACTCATTTTTAATTTAAAGTTATTTCACAGAATGTCATTCCGATCGGAAGGTAATTAATTTTACTTAAAAATTTTTTTACTTAAAAATTTGCAATTTAGTATTTTTTTTATATTTCCTTTTAGAAATAATAAATTTGCAAAAGATGACGGAATTGAAACCATTCTGACAGCCCTCTTGGTATTACAAAATTATTCTCGAAAAGATATTTCCACATTTATGGTTAAGGAAAAATTTAAATGTAATATTAAACATTGGATGAGTATGTTCAGATAGTATTATTTGGAAGCTATCTGGGGTCTTCAGAAAATTGATTTTAACAAATATACGGACATACTGAGGCAAAAAAGACAAGTTTCTGTAAAAATAGTATTTTCTTCGATTTTCTATAAAAACTGATTTTATAAAGAAAAATCAACATTTTTACAAAAAATTGATTTTCCAAATAAATTTCAACAAAAACCTCGATTTTTACGAAATGTTGCTAAAAAAAACATTTCTCGCAATATTTAAAAAACATAAAATTTTGTATCAAAAAAATTTTCTGTCAAATGATATCACTGTTATGTCAAATTTTTTAACTTTCAGTTTTATTTAAAAAAAAAATCTTAAAATTCCCACACATTTAATAAAACTATTTTAACGATCTACAACTAATATGTAAAATAACAAGTACATATGTACTTTAATAGTGTCTTTGGTAAAACCCTAAGAACTATCAGTAATTTCAATAACTACTACTCCCATTATTGAAAAAAAATGAACTTGAAAACTATACAACTAAATACTCCATAGCGTTAAAAAAAGTCTTTAAATGCATTCCAAGCACGTACTGCCCAAAACTACTCTTACTACCAACTTTAACCGTAAACAAGAAGCAGCTCTAAAACTTAAGTCTTAACATTTTGCTATAAAACTTGTTGGAGCATTAAACCGAAAACATATTTCAATAACTGTCTTACAACAGCAAACAAGAAATTTTTAACAAACCACAACAAAATGGCCAAATTCGTAAGTTTTATAAATTTACAACATTTTTTTTAAAAGAACATTATTAATTTAAAATCCTTTTTTTCCTAAAAACAGATCATTGTATTGTGCGCTTTCATTGCCTGTGCTGCTGCTAAACCCGGTGTTGTAGCTCCTTTGGCTTACTCTACCCCCTTGGCCTACTCTACCCCCTTGGCCTACTCTACTCCCTTGGCTTATTCTGCACCTTTGACTTATGCTGCCGCCGCCCCTGTAGCTTATGCTAATGCTCATTTGGATGCCGCTTATGCCAGCAGCCGTGTTGATATTAAGCAAAACTATAATGCTGCCGTTGTCCCTGCCACTTATGCTGCCGCCCCTGCTGTTCATGTAGCTACACCTTTCGCTGCTGTAGCTCCTCTTAAATACACTGCTGCCCCCGTTTTGTTGTAAATTTCTTGTTTGTAATTGTTGTTAGAAAAAAATATTAAATAAACTATAAAATCTGTGATTTATTTTTAAAAAAAGGAAATTTTGTTTTTCTTGTTATGAAATAGTTAAGCAGTTAACTGCTTCAGTTTGCCCGTCTGCTCGTGGGCCTGTCCGTCTGTCTGTCTGTATGTTTGTTCAAATCAATTTTCTATAGACCCCAGATATCTTCGGGACCCAAATCTTCGCCAAATCTGTCAGACATGCTTTCGAGAAGTTTCCAACTTTCTGGTAATTTTTCGTTTTGAATTTTCTATAAAAGGGGACTATTTGGTACTTTTTCTTTCTTCAAAGAAACTTTTTGAATTTTCTATAATATTGAACCTGAAACATTAATGATGTCTGCAAAAGTATCGAAAATTTAGTCATCTATTTTCTCGAATTTGTCTGCAACATATTTGCCTATTGAATTCTATTATCCCCAAACTGATACGAGTATGACGGTTGAATAAGTTGCTATGTTATCTAAGGATCCCCTGTACTAATCTTCTGTTCTATGCACTGTAATGCTAAAAATTATCTTGATTCCGTAATTCATGGTAAAGTTGAACCACTACTCGCTTTCTACGTTGGAACACTAAGTGACTTGAATTTTTCGAGAGTGGATTAAGTTACGTGGGTTGCTCGCTAGTAAGCGAGTTCACTCGGAGGCCTTGTGGCCCATTGTGATACCCTTAGAATAACCATTCCCTAATATTGAGAGAATGGTTTCCCTCCCTAATTTCGTTGGCTACTTGGTTCGTTCGGTCACCGTGAAAACCAGTCGGTGCTTCTAATAAAACCGATCATGTTTACTAGTATGCATCTCTGAGACAGATCATGGAAAAGAGCTCTACCAAGATAGAGTAGTCTGTGCTCTTGTAAGGCTGTGCAGTCACATGGAAGGTGTTGTACCGATTCCTCTTCTTCCTCATCCAAACAACTTCTGCAATAGCTATAACGTGGGTAGCCCATACGTTCCGACAAATGTCCAGTCATACTGTGGCCAGTAATTATACCAGTTAGAAGCCTAATCAAGTTTTTACTAAGAGACAAGATAGTCCTAGTCCTATCTGTTGTCAGAGTGGACTAGAGTAGTCTCGATATTCTACAAGTGGTGATATTTGACCACCTGAGTTCCGTCTCACTCAAAGCCTATTCATCTATCACTTTTGATAGGGTCGTCAGGGGAGTGTGAATATCCTTTTGCGCAAGGGTTAAGTCTAGGGACGACCCTTTTTGGCTGCTCATTCAGCAGATATTTTATTTCCCCGGGTGCCCTCATGTCCTGGAACCCATATCAAATCAACGTGATGTTGTGTCAGTTGTGCCAATGATTGAATACAATTGAGAAGACATTTCGACTTAATAACATTGGAGTAAAGAGCCTTGATTTATACAAGGCTGTCCAAGTATATATGTATACGAGTAGTCTTATTTTCCAAATTTAGTTCCCGGATTCTTCTCGCGGCTGTATAGATGGCATATATCTCTGCCTGAAGGACCGTGCAGGTGTCAGTTAGTCGAAGAGACAGTAGAAGATTTAATTTTTCGGAGAAGATTCCCAATTCCATGCCCCTTTCTGTCTTTGAGCCATCAGTGTAGATTGAGATCACATCGTCCCTTAGGACAGTGTTAGCGGCCCAATCATCCCTTGTCGGTATTCTAGTCTTGAATTACATATTAAAATTCAGTATAGATAGAATGTAGTCTGTTTCCTGCCCCATGATTGACCTGCATATCTTTTGTTGGATGGTGCCATGCGGTCGTGCTTCAGCCCGTTAGACGTAGGGCAGATTTAGCAGAAATGCAAGAGGAGTTATATTTATCACCGTCTCTAGACTAGCCTGAGGGGTGGAGCTCAAACAGCCAGTGATTGCAAGACATGGTAATCTTTGTACCTTGTTTAGAATAAAGAGGTAAGTCTTGCTATCCACCGCTCTTCACCAAACAAGAGCTCCGTAGGTCAAAATAGGTCTTATAACCGCGGTGTTCAACCAGTGCGCCATGTATGGTTTAAGACCTAATTTTTCGAGTGTACAATAATCGATATTTCCTGAGGAACTTGAAAAGCCCTTTTTAATAGTTATTCTCAAACCATTAAGGTTTTTGTGATTATATTTATACCCTACACCACAATAGTATTATGCGTTTGTGATGATGTTAGTAACATCCAAAAACATTGGTCCTACACCCACCTTGAAGTGTACTAATCGGCTCAGAATCACGTCTGTCCGTCCGTCTGTGTGACCATGTAAACCTTGAACGCACTCTACAGGTCGCAATTTCAGAACATTGACAAACAATATATAGTTTGTGTTTCTGTTTAGTGACTCCATAAAATAGAATTGACTTAATAAAACTTTGTGGTTATACTTGCTCATGTTTATCAGTTTAAGGGAGTTAGATGAGAGAAGAATGATCTATTTCTGATCTATGACGATCATCTGTCATGACTAAATCGGAGCTTACAAATGGAACCCAATCAATAAAAAAGTATTTTTTTAATTTTAAATAAATATTTTTTTATTTCGCAAAAACAGTTTTTAGAACAAAACTGGAGCTGGGGCAGCGGCATAAGTCAAAGGAGCTGAGTAGGCCAAAGGATGAGAGTAAGCGGCAGCGTATTTGGCAACAACAGGGGTAGAGTAAGCCAAAGGAGCAGCATATTTAGCTACAACTGGAGCAGTGTAGGCAACAGTCTTGGCAACAACAGGTGCAGCTACTGGGGCAACAACAGGGGTGGAGACAATACCATTATGGTTGCGGGCAATATATTGGCTACTGGTGGCGGTAACAACACCGGCGGGGGCAGCTACAACGGCGGCAGGAGCAGTGTAAGCCAATGGAGCAACAAAACCGGGTTTGGCAGCAGCGCAGGCAATGACAGCGAAGATAACAACGGCCTAAAGTTAAAGTTTTCATTATTTTTACGATAATTTTAAAAAATTTCTTTTGATAAAACTTACGAATTTGAACATTTTGTTAACGTGGGAGGGAGTTTGATCTACTTTAAGAATTGGATAATGAGTGAATGATAACATACAACTTGCTAGTAGACAATATTTATAGCAGAACTTTAACCCAATTGGTAAATTACAATAACACACACGTAACAGTTATTTTCAAATTTTATATAAACAAAACATCCTTCGGATTTACATAAAATTTAAATTCTTGTAGATTTTCTTAAAGAAGTTAACCATTTTAAAAAATAATAATTATTATATATGTATATATATAACCTAAAACTCCATATAGAAATGTTTTTGTATGTAAATCATATTTACTAAACAGTAAGTTAATTTCAGTGTTAAACTATACATATATATAAAAAATCCAAGAGTTTATAATAAATTAACATTTTTATTTAAAATTCATAATGCGTGCGTAGTTAAACTAAATTGTCAGTTTAAATCATGAAGTTTAAACACTTGTCTTTAAAGTTACAAACATGTTAATATCTTAAGCTTATATTAAAGCTTTGATATATGTTTAATAAAGATTTAAAACACTTTATAGTACGTGCTTTTTTTCAAGCTCTTTAATTAGTTCATTTTACAGATTTATTACTATAAATAGTTTAACGGTTTATCAAACGTTTAACAATTACAATTTAACTGTTTTAACAAACAAGTCTAAATCACAAACAAACAAAATCAAAATGTTCAAATTTGTAAGTTTGAAGTTTGTCTTTTAAAATATCCTTTAAATATTAATTAATAATCTCTATAATTCTATCCAATAGGCCGTTGTTATCTTCGCTGTCATTGCCTGTGCTGCTGCCAAACCCGGTTTTGTGGCTCCTTTGGCTTACACTGCTCCTGCCGCCGTTGTAGCAGCCCCCGCTGGTGTTGTTACTGCCACCAGTAGCCAATATATTGCCCGTAACCACAATGGTATTGTCTCCACCCCTGTTGTTGCTCCAGTAGCTGCCCCTGTTGTTGCCAAGACTCTTGCCTACACTGCCCCTGTTGCTGCAGCTTATACTGCTCCTGTTGTAGCCAAATACGCCACCGCCTACTCTGCTCCTTTGGCCTACTCCACCCCAGTTGTTGCCAAATACGCCGCCGCTGACTCTCATCCTTTGGCCTACTCAGCTCCTTTGACTTATGCCACTGCCCCAGCTCCAGTTTTGTTTTAAAAACTATTTAGTCTGGTTGCAAAAATTATAATAGCGCAATAATTGTGATTTTAGGAAAATAATAAAAAATTTTAATATAATTTTTAATTTAAATTTTTCAAAAGTTTTATTTTTTAAACAATTTACGGAAGAACATTTTTCACAAAGAGGAGGAATATTTAGGATTAAAAAAAGGGGAAAAACGGGTAAAACAGATTTTCTTGATTACACAGATCAACAAATTTTGAAACCAGAGACCAAAGTATACTTTTCTAACGGCTATAGACGTCATTTGCATCTACGAGCGACCGTGCTCGACGTCTGGTACCAAACTTACACCAAACTGTTTATAATTTTTCAATACCATTCGTTGTCAAAGTATACAGATAGGTACGACAACACTATGTAATGTTAACAACTCAACGTTGTCAACATTGCAACAATTCGTTGTCGAAATCTAAATTTTATACACATCCGTTGTCTAAATGTTAAAAAACATGATAAGCTCACTATAGGCAACAGATTGTTTTATCAATAGTGATCTTACCACGTTTGTTAACATTTAGACAACGGATGTGTATAAAATTTACATTTCGACAACGAATTGTTGCAATGTTGTCAACATTACATAGTGTTGTCGTACGTATGTATATACTTTTGACAACGGATGGTATTGAAAAATTATAAACAGTTTGGTGTAAATTTGGTACCAGGAGTGTATATTTATTTTTCCCTCTGTGAAGGATGGAGCAGCGCTGAATCCGAATACGTTCAAAAACGGGGTCTTTAAATACTTCATGACACGATATTTGTCATGAAATTATGATTACTAGTACTTTTTCGAAATTCGTACTATTGTTAAGAAACTATTGGACTTAGCTCTAAAAATTTTTAGACAACTCTTTCGTACTTTTTTTGAATTCAGTTCTTTATTCCCTAAATGGGAGAAAACTGTATTTTGGTACTTTTTTTGTTTGTACTGACACTGCAATATTTTTTCAAAATAAATTGATTGCTATTTCAATGGGAAGTAAAAAGTACCAAAAAGGGGAAAAACGGAAATTTTAGTTTTATTCACATTCATTGAGCTAATTTACATAAAATTTGGAAAAGTTCTTAGTTAATCACCCCTATCGCCAATAGAAGTGAAATTTTTGTTCCCTTGAAATTTTCATTCCCCTCGAAAGGCAACAGCTGTTCAAAATTCCGTCAACAAATCTCACAACAGGGGATTTTTTTCACGACAAAAAAGTTAGTGAACGAAAAAAGTGAAAAGGGAACATATTTCAAGTGAAATATAAATTGGCGATAGGGATTAATTTATTCACACAAGAGATGCTATTGGTGTGTTAATTTGAATTCAGGTACTGAAACCTCTAAAGGGACAAATTCGGGACAATAGTTTTTTAAATACAGAATTATTCTTGACCAAACGAATGCATATTTGTAGTGACACTGCTAACTGCCAAAAAATACACATTTCGCCTGTATCGTTATATTAATGTAATTTTCGTAAATACTACGTACAATTTCCTATCATCGACGAAACTTTTCATTGCATTAAGGTAAAAGTTTCATTAGGGTTACGAAGCGTTTTTCTTTCAGTGTATCGTTTAAGTTTTTTCGTTGACATAAACTTTTAAAAATGGAGTATTTTGAAAACTTAATGCACGAAAAAGTCTGTTCTTGGAGCGGAAAGGGAAAATTGTACAATTCGTATTAGTACTTTCCTCGCAGGAAGAATTTATTCGTCCCTAATTGAATAAAACCCCTAAAGAGGGAATTTTTTGATACTTTTCATTCATCAAATGGTACTTTTTGAATTTTCTTTAAATATTGCATATAGAAACATAAAATTTAACATGATTGAATGAGAATCTAAAGGAGGTGATGTTTAGGTACTTTTTCGTTCTTCATATGAAAATGGTTCTTTTGGAGAAACATATATTTTAACCGCAGGGTCCCGACTGAATAAGATTTTGTAAAATTGGTTACTTTTTAAATTTTCTATAATGTGGCAGAGAAAAATGGCCCTTATTAAATGAGAATTTATAAGAGGGAGATTTCAGGTACCTTTTCGTTCTTCAAATGGTACTTTTTGTATTTCTATAATATTCAACCTATAAAAACTTTAACATATAGGGACTTGAGTGAATGATATTCTATAAAAAGGAGCAATAAGGTACTTTTCGTTGAATTTTTTTATAGCATTAAAGATACCTTATGGTATTTTTCATTCTTCAAATGATACTTTCGTAATGTTCTATAAAGTGTCACCAAAACACATGAAATTAATGAGAATTTATTCATGTGATACTTTTTGAATTAATTATAATATTGAAACTAAACTCACACAGTCCTGATTGAATCAGATTTTGGTACTGTATTGTTCTTCAAATGGTACAAATTAATAGAGGACTAACAAGCTCTACAGCGCTAGTTCGAACATTACATCGTAAAATGGCGACAAGCGAGCATAGTATTGACTTATTTAACTCCTTATTTGTAAGCGAGCTGTATGAAAGTAATGAGTTTTTTAACTTTAAATTATACTAAACATTTATTAACATCTTCATTAAATCAGAATTATTTAATTAACATCAATTAAGCAACCAGATTAAACAGTTTTTAGAACAAAACTGGAGCAGGGGCAGCGGCATAAGTCAAAGGTGCAGAGTAGGCCAAAGGATGAGAGTAAGCGGCGGCATATTTGGCAACAACAGGGGCGGAGTAAGCCAAAGGAGTAGAGTAGGCAGCAGCGTATTTGGCTACAACGGGAGCGGTATAAGCAGCAGCAACAGGGGCAGAGTAGGCAAGAGTCTTAGCAACAACAGGGGTAGCTACTGGGGCGACAACAGGGGTGGACACAATACCGTTGTGGTTGCGGGCAATATATTGGCTACTGGTGGCAGTAACAACACCAACAGGGGCAGCTACAACGGCGGCAGGAGCAGTATAAGCCAAAGGAGCAACTAAACCGGGCTTGGCAGCAGCACAGGCAATGACAGCGAAGATGACAACGGCCTAAAGGATTTAAACAAAATTATTATTAATATTTAAATGATATTTTAAAAAACAAACTTCTAACTTACGAATTTGAACATTTTGATTTAGTTTGATTGTGATTTAGACTTGTTTGTTGAAACAGTTAAATTGTAATTGTTAAACGTTTGATAAACCACTAAACTATTTATAGTAATAAATCAAGAAAATGAACTAATTAGGTGGGCGTGCATAAAAGGCACGTCCTAAACTGTTTTAAATATTTATAAAACAAATATCAAAACTTTAATATGTGCTGGAGATATTAACATATTTGTAACTTTAGAGACAGGTGTTTAAACTTTATGATATAAATTGTAGTAAATTTATATTAAGTATGTTCAAGTATGCACTTTGAATATTTAATAAAGGTTTGAACTCTTGAAATTTTTATGTATAATTTAACACTCGATTTTTATTATTATATATTTGGTGGTAAATCTACAAATAATAATTATTATTTCAGAAATGACCAATTCTTTAACAAAATGTACAAGAATTCGAATTTTATGTAAATTTGGAGGATTTTTAATCGATAATATTTAAATAACTGTTTTGTATATGTACCTGTAATTTCCCAAATATGTTAAAGTTCTGGTATATATATTGCCTACTAGCAAAGTTTTTGTTATCACTCACTCATTATCCACTTCTACAAGTAGACCAAAATCCCACTTTAGCAAAATGTTCAAATTCGTAAGTTTTATTAAAAGCTAATTTTTTAAAATTATCATAATACTAATGAAAAATGTAACTTCAGGCCGTTGTTATCTTCGCTGTCATTGCCTGCGCTGCTGCCAAACCCGGTTTGATTGGTGCTCCTTTGGCTTACACTGCTCCTGCCGCCGTTGTAGCTGCTCCCGCTGGTGTTGTTACCGCCACCAGTAGCCAATATATTGCCCGCAACCACAATGGTATTGTCTCCACCCCTGTTGTTGCCCCAGTAGCTGCACCTGTTGTTGCCAAGACTGTTGCCTACACTGCTCCTGTTGCTGCCGCTTATACTGCTCCCGTTGTGGCTAAATACGCTGCTGCTTACTCTCATCCCTTGGCTTACTCCACCCCAGTTGTTGCCAAATACGCTGCTGCTTACTCTCATCCTTTGGCCTACTCAGCTCCTTTGACTTATGCCGCTGCTCCAGTTTTGTTGTAAAAACTGTTTTTGATATGTGCTTTTGTGTTGATTAGTGCGAAATAAAAAATAATTTATTTAAAACTTAATCTTCTGGATTTTTATTTACTCATCTATTTGATTACTTTGATTCTTAATGTCTGTAACACATGGAATTATTAGTGCTAAGAACTAAGTAAAGTAATCGGTACAATTTTCTGCGATGGTTGATATACATCCGCTCATGTAATTTTCAATCAAGCGAAACATCCGACAGTTTCAATTTCTCTTCGGAATTTTATAATATAAAACTTCGTAACTAAAATATTAATAAGATGTCAAGAGTACAAGATGTCGAAGTGCTTTACTTGAGCACCTGCCGTGTCTGCAATCATCACTCATCACCGACCCTTGGTGTATCTTATACACAGGTAGCAATTTTTGTACATGTTTTGCCGGTCCAAGAAAACAAGAAAACCTCTATGGTGTCACCTGTATGAGATATCTTTCATCCATTATCATTCAACCTAGCACACTTCTCATTCATTCGACAAACCCACAGAGAACAACATCCGACACACTCATTCATTATGTATCATATGAACTTTCCACCAACTCATTTCCACTCTCATTTGTGCGGTATTTGTTGACTTCGGCAACAGCACCGAACTTATCCAGTATTATAGATTTCACCGTGCATCAGTCTTTTTACCCACATTCTCTTCCCGCGAATATGGGTTTAAACCTTAGCCACCACGCGCACCCCGAAGGGACCTCTCCCATAACCGGGACAAGAAAAAGTCCGAAACTCTGACCTGCGAGCCACCGATTATGTGGTTCTCTGGTTCAATCCCATGTCAAATCATTCCAAGGAAAGGCGGAGGATACATTTGATTTGTACTGGTACTGGTAGCACCTCTTTTCCCCGAGATTGCATATCGTCTAGTCTATAGTCCAGTCTATAGTCTAGTTTATAGTCAAGTCTATAGTCTAGTCTATAGTCTAGTCTATAGTCTAGTCTATAGTCTAGTCTATAGTCTAGTCTATAGTCTAGTCTATAGTCTAGTCTATAGTCTAGTCTATAGTCTAGTCTATAGTCTAGTCTATAGTCTAGTCTATAGTCTAGTCTATAGTCTAGTCTATAGTCTAGTCTATAGTCTAGTCTATAGTCTAGTCTATAGTCTAGTCTATAGTCTAGTCTATAGTCTAGTCTATAGTCTAGTCTATAGTCTAGTCTATAGTCTAGTCTATAGTCTAGTCTATAGTCTAGTCTATAGTCTAGTCTATAGTCTAGTCTATAGTCTAGTCTATAGTCTAGTCTATAGTCTAGTCTATAGTCTAGTCTATAGTCTAGTCTATAGTCTAGTCTATAGTCTAGTCTATAGTCCTAGTCTATAGTCTAGTCTATAGTCTAGTCTATAGTCTAGTCTATAGTCTAGTCTATAGTCTAGTCTATAGTCTAGTCTATAGTCTAGTCTATAGTCTAGTCTATAGTCTAGTCTATAGTCTAGTCTATAGTCTAGTCTATAGTCTAGTCTATAGTCTAGTCTTATAGTCTAGTCTATAGTCTAGTCTATAGTCTAGTCTATAGTCTAGTCTATAGTCTAGTCTATAGTCTAGTCTATAGTCTAGTCTATAGTCTAGTCTATAGTCTAGTCTATAGTCTAGTCTATAGTCTAGTCTATAGTCTAGTCTATAGTCTAGTCTATAGTCTAGTCTATAGTCCTAGTCTATAGTCTAGTCATAGTCTAGTCTATAGTCTAGTCTATAGTCTAGTCTATAGTCTAGTCTATAGTCTAGTCTATAGTCTAGTCTATAGTCTAGTCTATAGTCTAGTCTATAGTCTAGTCTATAGTCTAGTCTATAGTCTAGTCTATAGTCTAGTCTATAGTCTAGTCTATAGTCTAGTCTAGCGTCTAGTCTATAGTCTAGTCTATAGTCAGTCTAATAGTCTAGTCTATAGTCTAGTCTATAGTCTAGTCCTATAGTCCTAGTCTATAGTCTAGTCTATAGTCTAGTCTATAGTCTAGTCTATAGTCTAGTCTATAGTCTAGTCTATAGTCTAGTCTATAGTCCTAGTCTATAGTCCTAGTCTATAGATCTATGTATATAGTCTATTAGTTATATCTAGTCTAATAGTCTAGTCTATAGTCCTAAGTCTAATAGTCTATTCTATAGTCTAGTCTATGTCCTAGTCTATAGTCTAGTCTATAGTCTAGTCTTAGTCTAGGTCAGAGTCTCGTCTAATAGTCTGTCTAAGTTAGTCATAGTCTAGTCTATAGTCTAGTCTATAGGCTAGTCTATAGCTAGTCTATAGTCTAGTCTATAGTCTAGTCTATAGTCCTAGTCTATAGTCTTAGGCAGTCCTAGTCTAGTCAGTCATAAGTCTAGTCTATAGTCTAGTCTATAGTCTAGTCTATAGTCTAGTCTATAGTCTAGTCTATAAATTTCCTGGAATTGTACATAATCTAAAGGAACTTCTATAGCGTAGCTATAGTTAAGGGTCATATTCCCAAATAATAAAATTATAAAAATAACTTTTTTCTAAAAATATTTTTTTTATTTGGCACTACTTAAATCAATAACACAGCAAAAACAGTTTTTAGAACAAAACTGGAGCTGGGGCAGCAGCATAGGTCAAAGGAGCAGAGTAGGCCAAAGGATGAGAGTAAGCGGCGGCGTATTTGGCAACAACGGGAGCAGAATAAGCCAAAGGAGCGGTGTAAGCAGCAGCAACGGGGGCAGTGTAGGCAACAGTCTTGGCAACAACAGGGGCAGCTACTGGGGCAACAACAGGGGCGGTGGCAATACCATTGTGGTTGCGGGCAATATATTGGCTACTGGTGGCGGTAACAACACCAGCGGGAGCAGCTACAACAGCGGCAGGAGCAGTGTAAGCCAAAGGAGCAACAAAACCAGGTTTGGCAGCAGCACAGGCAATGAGAGCGAAGATAACAACGGCCTAAAGATAGAATTTGATTTTAGTGATTTGATGATTTTCAAATTTTGTTTTATTTATACTTACGAATTTGAACATTTTGTTTAGGTTAGAGTTGATTCTACTTTGAAGAAGTGGATAAGAGTGAGTGATAACAAAAAACTGTCAAACAGCCAATATTTATACTAGAAGTTAAGTTAAACTTGTGAAAGATTAAATAATAAATAAAACAGTTATTTTGAAATTTTATGTAAAAAAATCCTTCAGATTTACATAAAACTCTTATTCTTGTATATTTTATTAAAGAAGTTGACATTTTTAAAATAATAATTATTATTTGTAGTTTAACTAAATAATTTAACTAAAACAAATAAATCTATGTATGTAAATCATAACAAACAGTTAGTTAAATTCAGTGTTAAATTGTACATAAAAATTCCAAGAGTTCAAATAAATAAATATAAAATAAATTTAAAATTCATAACGCATACGAGAAGCTTAAACTCAATTTTCAGTTCAAATCAAAAAATTTAAACACTTGTCTTTAATTTTACTAAAATGTTAATATCTCTACTACATTTTAAAGCTTTGGGATTTGTTATGATTCAAATCAAAACTTTATGACCTGCTTTATATTCACGCCCCTTAATTAGTTCATTATATTGAATTATTACTATAAATAGTGTAACGATTTATCAAACGGTTAACAATTACAATTTAACTGTTTTAACAAACAAGTCTAAATCACAATCAAACAAAATCAAAATGTTCAAATTTGTAAGTTAGAAGTTTGTCTATCAAAATATCGTTTATATATTAATATAATTATGTTTAAATCCTATAGGCCGTTGTCATCTTCGCTGTCATTGCCTGTGCTGCTGCCAAACCCGGTTTTGTAGCTCCTTTGGCTTACACTGCTCCTGCCGCCGTTGTAGCTGCCCCCGCTGGTGTTGTTACTGCCACCAGTAGCCAATATATTGCCCGTAACCACAATGGTATTGTCTCCACCCCTGTTGTTGCTCCAGTAGCTACTCCTGTTGTTGCCAAGACTGTTGCCTACTCTGCCCCTGTTGCTGCTGCTTATACCGCTCCCGTTGTAGCCAAATACGCTGCTGCCTACTCTACTCCTTTGGCTTACTCCGCCCCTGTTGTTGCCAAATATGCCGCCGCTTACTCTCATCCTTTGGCCTATTCAGCTCCTTTGACTTATGCCGCTGCCCCAGCTCCAGTTTTGTTCTAAAAACTGTCTAGTCTGGTTGCTTAATTGATGATAATTAATTAATTGTGATTTAATGAAAATGTTAATAAATTGTTAGTATAATTTTAGTATTTAAAATTTTAAGAGTTTTTATTTCGAAAACCGGATTTAGATTAGTATCATATGTAAAACCGATTTTTCGGTAAAAACTAATTTTTCATAAAAAATGGGGTTTGCATTATGTTTGTAATCAGAAAGTGCAACATTAGAATACAATATCGTCTTTATTTGGGACCTATAACGTTTTCGTTGAATATGGATGAATAGATCGAACGATCAAGTGTTTCGATTAAAAAGATCGAATTGCATTGGGTGTAGACAACAAAGCTTTCTCTCCATCGAAGTCGAAGTTTGTGTCCTCAAAGCTTTAGCTTTACTTTTTTCATTTGGAAAATTATATGAATGTGTTCAATCGGTTTCAACGTGCGAAAAGTGGTTTCTGCAGTTCAGAAGTGGTGATTTTCATACGAGGAACAAATATCGTCCAGGCCAACCAAATAGGTTTGAAGATCAAGTCAAACTCAACAAGAACTTTCAAAATAATTGGATTTTAAAACGATTGCAAGGATTCATCCAAAAGTAAGGAAATTGAATACCAGACGAATTTAAGCCGAGTGACCTAGAATGTTAATTCTGCATGTCCGAAATGCAGAAAGTCAGTTATGGATCGCTCTGTGTTTGGTGGACCAAACCATTAGTGGCTGCTGAAATCTATCACAGGGAACCTTCTACGTCAAATGCAACTGATTCGTTGGAAGCTTGACTGAAAATCGCCCACGGTATACATCTGTTGAAATATATTTAAAAAGTGTTTGGAAAGTTTTGCCTCACCTCCTCACCTTTTCTGAAACTCCGTTTCCTGTTCGTAGTTCCTGAGATTTTTTATTTTTATTTGGAATAACATTGTTTCCAAGATATATGGATCCAATTTCGACAAAAGTCTGGCAATGACAGAAAGAGTGTTTCACCGTTTCATTGACCTCTCAGCTTGCTCTTCATACGTAAGAATCCGTTCGTTCAATTTTGTATAGTTGTGTATGTCCACTAAGAATATGTACCATCATACTTAACTCAGACTTATACATTCTAAGAGGGTACATTTTCGTCCTGCTCTCGTTGTTATTAAACCAAAGGATTTTCGTTCCATCGTTCCATTATTCTATAAGGCTGAATGGAATACCCTCGTCCATGATTTTGATTCTGAATTTTAATTTCGTTGCCGTCAGCTAAACTTCCCCAAGTTCCCTTTCCTTTCAATACCTCTGAAAGAGTATTCGGTTGAGATTCTCTTAGAGTTCTGCATTAGATTTAAAGTTATCAGCTGATATCGCGCCGATCGGATGGTCCGGTCGAAATTAAATTTCACATGGGCGTAGCCAAGCCGAACGCTCTAGAAACGGCGCTATAGGGGCTCTAAGTTGGATACCTTTGAAATTTTTAACTTCTATAATTTACGAGTTATAGGCATTTGAAAATTAATATGTACAAATTTGCTTACACTTAGATCCGCATCTTTTTACATAGCACATTCGGGAACGGAAGTTTCCTTCAAGCTTTCTGACCAATGTAGCGTTCTTCAGGCTGAATTGTCTGCCATAAAACGGGCTGTAAACTGGATCAGGTTTTACCGAATATATGGTGTTAATATTCAAATATATACCGATGCCAGGCAGCTCTTAAGGTTCTAAGTGGTGTCTACACAACATCAAACTTAGTCCTAGAATGTCGGACATCCCTTAATGAGATGGCGAAACATTCCACAATAGGACTGTACTAGATTCCAGGACATCAACAAATTTCTGGTAACACCATTGCGGACTCTCTTGCCAAGTAGGGTTCCTCACTTGCAAGAAAGCACACCGACCCTTTCGTCGGCATACCGCTTTCAACCTGCAAATGCTCTATATGTGAAAAATTATATGAGCTTGCGAAATGCAGATGGTCGACAGAGGCCAAGTGCAGGCAAGGATCATGTGGCCATTATTCAACCCAAAAAGATCACAAGCCTTTCTCCATATTCAATCTACGGAACTTAACGGCGATGGTAACTGGCCACTGGCCAGCAAGAAGACTAAACTTAGCCAGTAATGACTTCTGCAGGAGCTGCCAGGATGAAGAGGAAGAAGAGAGTATAACTCACTTCCTCTGTCATTTTCCTGCCCTAGCAGATCATAGAATTAGTCTGCTAGGTAGCTACTTCTTGCATGACTTAGCGGATCTATGGGAGGTCGACATCCGACAGATAGATTCCTATATTCGTGCGACCAACTAGTTCGGTTTAGGAAACCAGAGTAAGTAGGTTGAAGTGTAATAATACGTTGACCGTTTTCTCTCGTTTCAGGTATCACAAAGGGATCAATATACTGGACCTAAGTGTGTCCCCAGTGAAGACATCGTGAGGACGACCTGCTATCCTAACCTATGTTTTTCTGAGAGTTATCTTTACATGAAAAAATCATGGACTATTTTTATACCCTACACCACTATAGTGGGGAGGGTATAATGCGTTTGGGCAGTGAGTCCGTGTAAAGTGTGTGCGCACGCTGTAGGTCGCAATTTACGAGATAGTTTTATGAAATTTTGCACATACTCTATTGCACTATTCAAGGGATACGGTTGCGTGGGAGCTATATGAAATAATGGACCGATTTTAACCATTTTCAATAGGCTTCGTCCTTGGGCCAAAAGAAGAGTATGTATCACAGACGGACACACAGATGGATATAGCTAAATCGACTCTGAAAGTGATTCTGGGCCGATTGGTATACTTTAAGGTGGGTATAGGACCAATATTTTTGGGACCAATATTTTGACGAAATAATAGACAGATTTTAACCGTTTTCAATAGGCTTCGTCCTTGGGTCAAAAGAAGAGTATGTATCACAGATGGATATAGCTAAATTGACTTAGAAAGTGATTCTAAGCCGATTGGTATACTTTAAGGTGGGTGTAGTACGAATATTTTTGGGTGTTACAAATATTAGCACAAACGCATAATACCCTCCCCACTCTAGTGGTGTAGGGTAAATTAATCCAAAATGTTAACATACTCACTGGTATAGGGTATCATATGATCGGTCATGCCCGACTATACATTCATATTTGTTTGAATATGTAGCCCTTATGCCCTCGCATCCTTTCGAATTTGACCTTTTTTTTATCAAACTTTTAACTTTGAGCCACATGTTCTAAAAGCCCAAACTGAGAGGTATTTATAGACTAAAAAAGCACAATTTGTATTTCTAATGTAAATCCAGAATGGGGCAGAATTTCGCCAAATTCCAACTATTCTTTGTTTTGAAATAATATGACGTCTGCGGAAGTATATTTCGTATAGATTTTATAATAACAATTTTTCTAGTTTATCAAGCCTATTTTTGTTTTCTTAAAGAACTATTTTAAAAGACAATATTTGTATGCAAAAGATGTTTAAATTGCAAAAACTAAATAAGAAATAAAATTTAACAATTTATTTATATAGATAAAATCAATTATTTATGGCAATAATCGTTTCAAACTCTAAGACACCCTACAGTTAAAGGAAACCGCTATTCTTCATTGTTAACAGACTTGTTAATCTACCTAAACTTAGAGTGTAAAAGAGCTAAGTCTAATTTTTATACAAACTAAAGAGTTAAATAAGGAGTATAAATTAATTTATTTTAAATTTAAAACTTTTTTATTAAAGGATTTTATTTGCAAATTATACAAAGTCTAGAAAATTTGGATTTTAGTTCTGTTTTGGGAACTTAATACATTTTGATTTAAAGACGATATGGTATAAAAAGGTTTTTAGTATTTTTTAATAAATCTAGTAAACTTTTCTCTCGAATTTATATTAAAACTAGCAATACCCAGTGTGCTTTGCTACCCTAAAAGCAATATAAATAAAAAATCTTCTTAACAATTTTGAAGATTCTAACTGTAATGTTTTCCAGAGATGCATTTTTTCCGAACGTTAATTAAGATTTTAATGTAATCGATGACAAATTAAAAAAAAAATCTAATATTTTCCCAGATATACGAAATTCTGTATTTAATTCATATAGGGGGTGCCAAGACCCCATTGAAAGTCCGCCCGTTATTCTCTAAATGTCAAAGATCTTCATGTAGAATTTGAAGATTCTAGCTCTAATAGTTTCTCAGATATACGAATTTTTCTATTTAATTCATATGGGAACTCACAGCCCCCAGATGAAAGTCCGCCCTTTTTTTCTCCAAAATGTTCATAATATGAATATGTATAATAAAGTTCTTCTTGCTATATTTGAAGAATCTTGTTCTATTAGTTTCCCAGATAAGCGAAATTTTGTATTTAATTCATATGTGAGGTGCCAAGCCCCCCATTGAAAGTCCGCCCGTTATTCTCTGAATGTTCACATGAATATCAAAGTTCTTCAATTAAAATTTGAAGATTCTAGCTCTAATAGTTTCTCAGATATAATAATTTTCCTATTTAATTTATATGGGCTCCAAGCCCCCCATGACGAAAGTCCGCTCTTTTTTCTCCAAAATGTTCAGATGAATATTTAAGTTCTTAGTGCAAAATTTGAAGTATTTAGTTCAATTAGTTTCCCAGAATCTGGGACCCAGATAAACCAATTTTTGTATTTTATTAATATGGGAGGTGCTGCTCCCCCCATGGGTAGTCCGAAAATTTATTTCCCAAAATGTTTACATGGATGTTAAAGTTATTCGTGCAAGTTTTTAATATTCTAACTATAATAGTTTCCAAGATAAACGAATTTTTGTATTTAATTTATATGGGAGGTACCAGGCCCCCTAATGCTTATCCGCCCACTTTTTGTCTTAAGTAATTATATTGATACTAAAGTTGTTCCGACAAAATTTGAAGACTCTAACTATTATATTATCTCAGATATACTAATTTAATATTTTCTTAATATGGGCGTGGCACGTCGCCCACATGAAATTTCAACATAAAAAGTAGCCTATAGTTCCTTCCAGACATACAGGAAGAAAATTTCAGGAAAATCGGTCCAGCCGTTTAGCAGTCTATAAAGCACAAATAAACAAACATACATACATACAAACACACTTTCATAGAAGTATCGGAAACTTTAAGAACTTGACCTAAAATTTCAAAATTGTTCATAAAAATTAGTTGACATTACTTTTTAGCAATTTACTCAAAATGGTTACAAATCAGTTAAAGTAACAAAAATTTCTTTAGCTGCACTTTTCATACTCAAAAAAAAAAAAGTTTCGCAATACCAAAATTTAAAATTCAAATATCATACCAACCCACACATTTTAATTTAGATTTAAAGGAATTCAGTAAAAATAAAAATTCTTGTATATTTCCAAAATATTTAAAAATTTGCAAGGCTATGCATTCAATTTGACTTATTTCTTATGCATAAAACGTCATAGTCATAGACTACCCAAACAATTGTTAAGAAAACTTAACACGTTTTATTTAAATGTGAATTAAATTTAATAACTAGAGTATAAAAAGGGTAGCACAACACAGCAGCATTATTCAGTTTTATTCAAAACAAAACAAGAAAATCAACTAAACAACAAAATGGCCAAATTCGTAAGTAGAATTAAGAAATAATCTTAAAACAAAAAGTCCTTAGAGTCCTAATAAAGTGTGTGTGTTTTATTGTTCAGATCATTGTTTTGTGCGCTTTCATTGCCTGTGCTGCCGCTAAACCCGGTGTTGTAGCTCCTTTGGCTTATACTGCTCCCGTTGCTGCTCCTTTAGCTTACTCTGCTCCTTTGGCCTATACTGCCCCTGTTGCTGCTTATGCTGCCGCCCCTGTAGCTTACGCTAATGCTCATTTGGATGCCGCTTATGCCAGCAGCCGTGTTGACATTAAGCAAAACTACAATGCTGCTGTAGTTCCCGCCACCTATGCTGCCGCCGCTGCTGTCCCCGTTGCCACTCCTTTCGCTGCTCCCGTAGCCCCCGTTGCTCCTGTAGCTCCTCTTAAATACACCGCTGCCCCCGTTTTGTTGTAAATTTTTGGGTTTTTCAAGTTTTTTTTTTTTGTAAATAAAATGAATAGTTTTAATTGAAAGTTTAAAGGATGTTGTTTTTCATTCTCATTCAATATAAAATGATTTCAATTCTCTTAGGAAGTACTATTCGAAATTAGTACTTTGTACTAATTTCTATGATTTGTTAGTTCTTTAAAAATCCTTACCAAGCTCATGGTAATAGGGGAATCCGAAAGGTACAAAAAGGGGAAAAAAGTAGAACCCTTAGTGAACCTTAGTCACAATCAACAAAACTTCGTATTAAACTCGTACCAAATATTTCCTCAAAAAATAAAATTGAATAATTTTTTGGTACTTTTTTGAAATTTATAGTGTTAATTTTTGTCAGTTCAGCTAGGGGGATGAAAAAGGCACCAGAACAGAAAACCGAAAGAACTATATCCTATTGTTAATTGAAAAATAAAACAAGTTCGGCTATAAAGAATCTTAAAGTACAAAAAGTCCCTTTCATTCGATTCTCATTCAATCAGTTTCCTATATATAAAATTTTATATTTCTGTGTTCAATATCGTAACAAATCAAAAAGTACCACCTGAAAAATGAAAAAGTACAAAAGTCTCTCTTTATAAAGACCGTATGTCATGTGTTTCGGTTCTCCATTATAGAGAATCCAAAAGGTACCATTTAAAGAATGAAAAAGTACCAAAGAGTCCTCACTTACAAATTATTATTCAGTCAGGACCATGCATGTTCAAATATATGTTTCTATGTTGAATATTCAAAAAGTACCAAACAAATTTTATAAATTAAATTTCCCGTTTTTCCCCTTTTCCTTTCCCCTAGAAAATATTTTGTTTCAATAAATATTACAGAATTTGTACGTAATTTAATAGGCATAAGTCAGTAATTCGAAAAACTTTTCTTAATGTGCTGCAAAAAATGTACAAAAAATACTTTTCTCTCCCTTTTACATCCATAAAGTACTGAATTTTAAAAAAGCTCGAAATAAGTATCTCATAATTTTGAAAGATATATCCAAAATATTTACAAAAATTTTATTATCTTTATTAGTTAAAAAGTTCAAAAGGGCCAAAAAAGGTACCAAATTCACCTTTGTTACACATTTTCTTCCGTTAAAAGTACGAATTTCAAAAAGTACCAGACACCCATCTGCTAATTTTAAGAGAAGATACAGGTGCATTTAAAATATATATCGTGTTAGATTTCCCCTTTTCTTGCTCTAAATGTACAAATTTCCAAAAATCGTTCCTTAGTGGATCTATATAACCAAAAACACATCTGATTCTAGGTTCAGCCGTTTGGACTGTGCGATGATGAATCAGTCAGTCAGTAACGCTACTTCTTTATATACATAACTAGCTATACCCAGTGTGCTTCGCGACCCTGATCGTATATATATCTGCAATATCAAAAAGTCCCCCTTTTAGAGATTTCAAGTTTCTAGGATCAATATTATAAAAAATTCAGAAAGTATCGTTCGAAGAACGAAAAAGTACCAAAAAGTCTCCTTTGATATGTTCCCACTTACTCCGGACTCTACGTGTTTAATTTCATGTTTCTAGATTCAATATTATAGAAAATGCAAAAAGTACCTTTTGAAGAATGAATACGTACAAAAAAGTACCCTTTTATAGATTCTCATTTACTTCGAGCTCTACATGGTTCTAGCTTCAATTTAATAGAAAACTCAATAAAGTACCAGTCGAAGTATGATAAAGTACCAATAAGTTCAATGTAATAGAAAACTCAAAAAGTACCAGTCGAAGGACAAAAAAGTACAAAAAAGCCCCCTGTTATAGATTCTCATTTACTCCGAGCTCTACATGCTTAATTTCATGTTTTTAGGTTCAATATTATAGAAAACTCAAAAAGTACCAGTTAAAAAAACGAAAAAGAACGAAAAGTGAGCAAAAAGTCCCATTTTATACGATCTCATTTACTCCGGACTCTACATGCTTAATTTCTTGTTTCTAGGATCATTATTATGGAAAATTAAAAAATACAACTTAAAAAACGAAAAAGTACCAAAAATTTCCCTTTTATAGATTTTAAAATAAAGTACCAAAATACAGTTTTTATCCGTTTGTTCCCTAAAGGGGCCGAATTTGTAAAAAGTACCAGACACCTGTCCGCTTATTTTTTAAATGAATGACAATAAGCTTTAAACTGTTCTAGTTTAGGAGATATGAGGTTACCGAATTTAGCCGCTTTTACCCTTTTTTTACCCCCTAAACATTCGAATTTCCAAAAATCTTATTGGATCTTTTTGGTGGGAAAATTTCAGCTCTTTAGCTTCAACCGTTTAGGCTGTGCGATAATGAATCAGTCAGTCAGTCAGTGAGTCAGTAACGTTAGAATTTTATTGATTGATATAGAAGATGATGAAGCTGAAGATGAACATGAACCGTTTCTAATGTTAATCTCTAGCCAAAAGAAAAGACAAATTTGCTGTAATATCTGCTATAGTTTCTGAAAAAAACTTATCAATAGCGATAAAACAAGTAATAAATATTTTATGCACCGATTTTGCCGAAGATTAATTTCAATATACATACAGACAGACAGTTTGACTGACAGACATACATCGTAAAATGATTCCCCTATCTATAAGGTCTCGGAATATATAAACTTTACAGGGTCGTTAAATTATATTATAAAAATGTCGAGAAAGTAACGGGTATAAAAGTAAAGATTTTGTTAAGGTAATAAAACATTGCCTTGTTAACCTTGAAACTAAAGAAGATAGCATCCGAAGTTCTCGTTTTGTTGTCCTAATCAGTGTTTACAAAAACTACATTTCCTACCAAGTTTGATGCAGTATAGAGGCCTTACTAAAGGCATTATTTTATAGACTCAAGTACACGCAGTCACATTTCAAAATCGTTTCAATTTTACATGTTAATAGAATGCTTATTTAAAAAGGGCCTGTAGAAGGTCTTCCGTTAAAGGCCTCTATTGGAAGTTCTTTTGTTGAAGTCTTTTAAGGTCTTGCACTTTAAGGCTTATTAGAAGATCTTCAGTTGAAATAGAATGTCCTCATAGGAAATTACTTTAATAGTTATATTGACTTATTCATTAGAACTTTAAATGTTTTAAATCATAATTAAATTAAAAAATCACTTACCTTATTTAACACTTATTTTCCTTTTCGGCAACAATTTTATTTCAGCTTTTTTACAAACTTTTAATTAGCTTTTTATTTATTTTTTTATTTCAAAGCTTTTTTTATTTATTTTCACCACATTTTTTTTAATTTCTTAGCTTTTTTCTTGCTTTTTCCTTCTCATTTCCTTTATTATAATTGAAAGCTTTTGACTTATTTGAAATTATTTTACTTCTTTATCTTAACTTTACAAAACTTATAAAAGCTTTTCTTTTCTCATTAACAAGCTTTTTTTATTCACTTTCCAAACAACCAACTAACCAAGAAACTTAACACACTTTCCTAACCACACACCTACATACACACACTTATTAACAACGAATGGCCAAACTAAAACAACAAACCGACAAACCGAGCTCAGCATTTTATTTTTTTCCAAACAATTTTTCCTTACTTTTTTTACTAATTTACAAGTTATTTTTTAACAATATTTTTACACGGAAATATTAACAAACATTTAAATTTTATATTTATGCAAAAATATTAATAATTTATTAACTTTTAACCAGATTTATTAATAAATTAAACGAGCACTAATCACCAAACAACCGAACACTTGCAAAATTTCTAGAAAACTAAAAGAGAAAAATGCAAGTAATGATTGCTATTGTTGTTGTTGATGCTGCTGCTGTCATTATTTGATTTGTACTAAATTGTATGTAATATGTTTGTTGTTATTGTATTTTGTTGTAGAGAGGGGGATTATAGTAAAAAGTGCGTAAATAGCTTAAGAGCAAGAAGATGTTCAGCAGATTTATTAGTGAAATGTCAAAACGGAAATATTTAGTAAAATATTATTAAACTAATAATGACAGGGTTGGGAATTTGTATAGTATGTGGTATTTATTAAGGCGAATGCAAATGCAAATATCTATATACAATTCAACGTTACTGACTGATTCACTATCGCACAGCCTAAACGGTTGAAGCCAATATGCTGAAATTGGAACATGAGGTTGGTCTCCCACTAAATAGGTCCACTAAGACGGGATTTCTAATGTTTAGGTGGTAAGAAAGGGTAAATTCGGTAACCTCATATCTCCTAAACTAGAAAAGATTCAAAAACAGTTTAAAGCTTATCGTAGTTCGAAGTCTGGTACTTTTTTCAAATTCAGCCCCTTTAGGGAATAAATGGCTAAAAACTGTATTTTGGTACTTTTTTTTGCACCCCATGTATATTTTTAAACAGTGAACAACATTCAACAAATATTTTTGACTCCTTCATAACTTAACAAAAAAAAAAAAAAAAAAATATGAATTTAGTACTTTTTGAATATTCGGACGTTTAAGGGGTGAAAATTGTACCTATTTATGTAGACTTTTTTCAAACAACATTGTTTTTTGGTTTATTAACTTATACATATGAATACATAATAACGGACTCCCACTATGATGTTGCAACTTTTTGGAATTGCATTTTTATTTCGTTAATGGGGAGGAAAAAAGTACTAAAAGGGGTAAAAATGGGGAAATTTAATTTATTCAAACACAATAATCCAATTTAGATAACATTTTTAGATTTAAAAACACTAAATATGCTAATGGAACCCCATTACCAAGTAGTATTTTTTTGTTACTTTTTCATTCTCCAACTTTTCGCTACTTTTTCGTTCTACATAAGTACTTTTTTAAGATTTATTTAAAATTAAACCTAGAAACATGAAATTAAGCATGTAGAGCCTGAAGTAAGTGAGAAACTATAAAAGAAAACTTTTTGGTACTTTTTCGTAATTCGACTGGTACTTTTTTGAGTTTTCTATTAAATTGAACCTAGAAGTTAACATGTAGAGCCCGGATTAAATGAGAAACTATAATCTAAATAAACATACACGGTCCTTATTGAATAGCATACTTTAAGAGAGAACTTTTTAGTACTTTTTATCTTTCAAAAGGTACTTTTTGAATATTCCAAATAAAAACATACATTTGAACATGCGTAGTCCTCTGAATAATAATCTGTAAGTGTGAACTCTATGGTACTTTTCCATACTTCAAATGGTACCTTTTAGATTCTCTATAATGGGGATCCAGAACACATGACATACGGTCTTTATTAAATAAGAATTTATTAAGAGAGATTTTTGTACCTTTCCTTTGAAAGCCTGTTGGGAATTCTTTCGCTGAAGTCTTTTAAGAAGGTCTTTCGTTGAAGGCTTATTAGAAGATCTTAAGTAGACTGTTCTATAGTCCAGACTATAGAATGTTCTACAGTCAAGACTATAGACTGTTCTATAATCCAGACTTTAAAGAGTTCTATAGTCCAGACTATAGACTGTTCTTTAGTCCAGACTATAGACTGTTCTTTAGTCCAGACTATAGACTGTTCTATAGTCCAGACTATAGACAGTTCTATAATCCAGACTATAGACAGTTCTGTAGTCCAGACTATAGGCAGTTCTATAGTCCAGACTAAAGACAGCTCTATAGTCCAGACTATAGACAGTTCAATAGTCCAGACTATAGACAGTTCTATAGTCCAGACTATAGACAGTTCTATAGTCCAGACTATAGACAGTTCAATAGTCCAGACTATAGACAGTTCTATAGTCCAGACTATAGACAGTTCTATAGTCCAGACTATAGACAGTTCTATAGTCCAGACTATAGACAGTTCTATAGTCCAGACTATAGACAGTACTATAGTCCAGACTATAGACAATTCTATAGTCCAGACTATAAACAGTTCTATAGTCCAGACTATAGACAATTCTATAGTCCAGACTATAGACAGTTCTATAGTCCAGACTATAGACAGTTCTGTAGTCCAGACTATAGACTGTTCTATAGTCCAGACTATAGACAGTTCTATAGTCCAGACTATAGACAGTTCTATAGTCCAGACTATAGACAGTTCTGTAGTCCAGACTATAGACAGTTCTATAGTCCAGACTATAGACAGTTCTATAATCCAGACTATAGACAGTTCTATAGTCCAGACTATAGACAGTTCTATAGTCCAGACTATAGACAGTTCTATAGTCCAGACTATAGACAGTTCTATAATCCAGACTATAGACAGTTCTATAGTATATAGTACTATAGACAATTCTATAGTCCTCACGGAATATCTCATGCGAAAAATAAAGAGAAATGATTATCGCCTCTTTATAATATGTAAATATGACTTTTAAAAGGCCCACGAATCGAAGTCCTTTTTTTATAAATGATCAAAAAGTCGGTCCGAAAAGGGCTATATACATATAAGGACAGTAAACCACTTGAACAGCTTTTTCTCACAATAAAATAATCACAAAATACTTCTATATATATAATCCTTGTGAAGTTTGAAATTGAAATCAAAGCGATTAAGCCGCGCTGTATCCAAATCTGGCCTCAGAATTTCTCTATCATAACAAGTCCTCTAGAAAAGTAGCATAAAATAGGGGTACTGATTTCAACTTTTATTTTCAAATTTTGTTGCGCTGTGTTATTTTTAACTTTGAGGAATATTTAGATCCTAGGATGAAGAATACTATAGACCAAATTTGTGACCTGTGAGGCGTATTATATTCAGCTAGATCTAATTAAAATAAAAACAAATAAATAGCAGTTTTTGTTCTTAGGAATTCAATTTATTTTTTGGCATCATGTATCAAAATCATTTCGCAGTTTTTACAACAAAACTGGGGCGGCAGCATAAGACAAAGGCAAGGAAGCGGTGTAAGCCAAGGGAGCAGCAACTGGGGCAGTGTAAGCAACAGTCTTGGCAACAACAGGGGCGGCTACGGGGGCAACAACGGGAGCAGTGGCAATACCATTGTGGTTGCGAGCAATGTACTGGCTACTGGTAGCAGTAACTACACCGGCGGGGGCAGCTACAACAGGAGCAGTGTAAGCCAAAGGAGCAGCAGTCAATAAGCCAGGCTTAGCAGCAGCACAAGCAATAAGGGCAAAGATAACAAAGGCCTAAAAATTTCAAGCAATTCTATATTAGTTAAGGGAACACTTAAAGGATATTGAGTATGCAAAAAAAACTTACGAATTTGAACATTTTTGCTTAAGTTGTGAAAGACAAGTTTAAAACTGAACTGTTGGTAACAATAAAAGGCAACAGTATTTATAGCAAACTAAACAATTTTAGTTGAAAGGTCAATTATAATATATTCCTAAAGAACTTTCGGTTACTATTTATTATTTTTTCAAATAAACACTAATCAAAATTCTTTAAACAAAATCGTTAAAAACAAACTTCATTGTCAATTTATAAAAGAAGGTTTAGAAATTCCAAAAATACTGTTAATAACAAAACACAAGGCACGTACTAAATTAATACGAAAATGTTAAAATGAATACCAACTATCCATTTACTTACTCAAATTAGATAGGAAAAGTAAATACTAATATATTTGATTAAAGTCTTTACTTAAATTAACACGCAATTAATGACTGGTTTTAACTAGCTATATAAATAAAGGTTTAAGTCTGAAATCAGCATTAGAAAACAAAAATTCGTTAAGAATAAACCCAACATCTTCAACATGTTCAAATTTGTAAGTTAACTCAACTATTTATTTAATTTAATTCGAAATAAAACTAAATTTATTTATATTTCTTGCATTAGGCCGTTGTTATCTTTGCCTTCATTGCCTGTGCTGCTGCCCAGCCTGGTTTGTTGTCCGCTCCTTTGGCTTACTCTGCTCCTGCTGCTGTTGTTGCAGCTCCCGCCGGTGTTGTTACCGCCACTAGCAGTCAATTTGTTGCCCGTAACCACAATGGCATTGTCTCCACCCCAGTTGTTGCTCCAGTAGCCGCCCCTGTTGTTGCCAAGACCTTTGCTGCTCCTTTGGCTTACTCTGCTCCAGTTGTAGCTAAATATGCTGCTCCTTTGGCTTACTCTGCACCTTTGTCCTACGCTGCTGCTCCAGTTTTGCTGTAAATTTTCCAAAATTTTTTGGCCAGAAAAGGATGTGCGATTTGAAGACTGTTATTAAATAAAGCTAAATTATTTTAAATATTAAAAAGTAACGTTTTATTAATTTACATGGGAGTATGTTCAAAAACGCTATGCCAAATCCTCAAATCCTTTTGAACTCTTCAAATATTTATAAAAATTGAAACTTTGAAAACTTAAATTTTAAATATAGTCTATTCTATAGTTCGGAATATAAACAAGACTAGTCCATAGTCAAGTCTAATCTAGTCTATAGTCTAGTCTATAGTCTAGTCTATAGTCTAGTCTATAGTCTAGTCTATAGTCTAGTCTATAGTCTAGTCTATAGTCTAGTCTAGTAGTCTATAGTCTAGTCTATAGTCTAGTCTATAGTCTAGTCTATAGTCTAGTCTATAGTCTAGTCTATAGTCTAGTCTATAGTCTAGTCTATAGTCTAGTCTATAGTCTAGTCTATAGTCTAGTCTATAGTCTAGTCTATAGTCTAGTCTATAGTCTAGTCTATAGTCTAGTCTATAGTCTAGTCTATAGTAGTCTATAGTCTAGTCTATAGTCTAGTCTATAGTCTAGTCTATAGTCTAGTCTATAGTCTAGTCTATAGTCTAGTCTATAGTCTAGTCTATAGTCTAGTCTATAGTCTAGTCTATAGTCTAGTCTATAGTCTAGTCTATAGTCTAGTCTATAGTCTAGTCTATAGTCTAGTATAGTCTAGTCTATCTATAGTCTAAGTCTAGTCTATAGTCTAGTCTATAGTCTAGTCTATAGTCTAGTCTATAGTCTAGTCTATAGTCTAGTCTATAGTCTAGTCTATAGTCTAGTCTATAGTCTAGTCTATAGTCTAGTCTATAGTCTAGTCTATAGTCTAGTCTATAGTCTAGTCTATAGTCTAGTCTATAGTCTAGTCTATAGTCTAGTCTATAGTCTAGTCTATAGTCTAGTCTATAGTCTAGTCTATAGTCTAGTCTATAGTCTAGTCTATAGTCTAGTCTATATAGTCTATAGTCTAGTCTATAGTCTAGTCTATAGTCTAGTCTATAGTCTAGTCTATAGTCTAGTCTATAGTCTAGTCTATAGTCTAGTCTATAGTCTAGTCTATAGTCTAGTCTATAGTCTAGTCTATAGTCTAGTCTATAGTCTAGTCTATAGTCTAGTCTATAGTCTAGTCTATAGTCTAGTCTATAGTCTAGTCTATAGTCTAGTCTATAGTCTAGTCTATAGTCTAGTCTATAGTCTAGTCTATAGTCTAGTCTATAGTCTAGTCTATAGTCTAGTCTATAGTCTAGTCTATAGTCTAGTCTATAGTCTAGTCTATGTCTAGTCTATAGTCTAGTCTATAGTCTAGTCTAGTCTATAGTCTAGTCTAGTCTAGTCTATAGTCTAGTCTATAGTCTAGTCTAGTCTATTCTATAGTCTAGTCTAGTCTATAGTCTAGTCTATAGTCTAGTCTATAGTCTAGTCTATAGTCTAGTCTAGTCTATAGTCTAGTCTATAGTCTAGTCTATAGTCTAGTCTATAGTCTAGTCTATAGTCTAGTCTATAGTCTAGTATAGTCTAGTCTATAGTCTAGTCTATAGTCTAGTCTATAGTCTAGTCTATAGTCTAGTCTATAGTCCAGTCTATAGTCTAGTCTATTGTCTAGTCTATAGTCTAGTCTATAGTCTAGTCTATAGTCTAGTCTACAGTCTAGTCTATAGTCTAGTCTATAGTCTAGTCTATAGTCTAGTCTATAGTCTAGTCTAGTATAGTCTATAGTCTAGTCTAGTCTATAGTCTAGTCTATAGTCTAGTCTAGTCTAGTCTATAGTCTAGTCTATAGTCTAGTCTATAGTCTAGTCTATAGTCTAGTCTATAGTCCAGTCTATAGTCTAGTCTATTGTCTAGTCTATAGTCTAGTCTATAGTCTAGTCTATAGTCTAGTCTACAGTCTAGTCTATAGTCTAGTCTATAGTCTAGTCTATAGTCTAGTCTATAGTCTAGTCTATAGTCTAGTCTAGTATAGTCTATAGTCTAGTCTAGTCTATAGTCTAGTCTATAGTCTAGTCTATAGTCTAGTCTAGTCTATAGTCTAGTCTATAGTCTAGTCTATAGTCTAGTCTATAGTCTAGTCTATAGTCTAGTCTAGTCTATAGTCTAGTCTATAGTCTAGTCTAGTCTATAGTCTAGTCTATAGTCTAGTCTATAGTCTAGTGTAGTCTATAGTCTAGTCTATAGTCTAGTCTATAGTCTAGTCTATAGTCTAGGTCTATGAGTCAGTCTATAGTCTAGTCTTAGTCTAAGTATAGTCTAGTCTATAGTCTAGTCTATAGTCTAGTCTATAGTCTAGTCATTAGTCTATTCTAGGTCTATTCCTATAGTCTAGTCTATAGTCGAGTCTATAGTCTAGTCATAGTCTAGTCTCTATGTCTAGTCTATAGTCTAGTCTATAGTCTAGTCTATAGGTTCTAGTCTAGCGTCTAGGTCTATAGTCTAGTCTATAGTATAGTCTATAGTCTCGTCTATAGTCTAGTCTATAGTCTAGTTATAGTTCTAGTCTTATAGTCCTAGTCTATAGTCTAGTCTATCGTCTAGTCTATAGTCCAGTCCTATAGTCTAGTCTATTGTCTAGTCTATAGTCTAGTCTATAGTTCTAGTCTATAGTTCTAGTCTACTAGTCTAGTCTAAGCTGTCTATAGGTCTAGTTCTATAGTCTAGTCTCTTAGGTCTAGTCTAGTATAGTCTAGTCTATAGTCTAGTCTATAGTCTCGTCTATAGTCTAGTCTATAGTCTAGTCTATAGTCTAGTCTATAGTCTAGTCTATAGTCAGTCTATAGTCTAGTCTATAGTCAGTATATAGTTAGTCTAGTCTATTAGTCTAGTCTATAGTCTAGTCTATAGTCTAGTCTATAGTCTAGTCTATAGTCTAGTCTATAGTCTAGTCTATAGTCTAGTCTATAGTCTAGTCTATAGTAGTCTATAGTCTAGTCTATAGTCTAGTCTATAGTCTAGTCTATAGTCTAGTCTATAGTCTAGTCTATAGTCTAGTCTATAGTCTAGTCTATAGTCTAGTCTATAGTCTAGTCTATAGTCTAGTCTATAGTCTAGTCTATAGTCTAGTCTATAGTCTAGTCTATAGTCTAGTCTATAGTCTAGTCTATAGTCGTCTATAGTCTAGTCTATAGTCTAGTCTATAGTCTAGTCTATAGTCTAGTCTATAGTCTAGTCTATAGTCTAGTCTATAGTCTAGTCTATAGTCTAGTCTATAGTCTAGTCTATAGTCTAGTCTATAGTCTAGTCTATAGTCTAGTCTATAGTCTAGTCTATAGTCTAGTCTATAGTCTAGTCTATAGTCTAGTCTATAGTCTAGTCTATAGTCTAGTCTATAGTCTAGTCTATAGTCTAGTCTATAGTCTAGTCTATAGTCTAGTCTATAGTCTAGTCTATAGTCTAGTCTATAGTCTAGTCTATAGTCTAGTCTATAGTCTAGTCTATAGTCTAGTCTATAGTCTAGTCTATAGTCTAGTCTATAGTCTAGTCTATAGTCTAGTCTATAGTCTAGTCTATAGTCTAGTCTATAGTCTAGTCTATAGTCTAGTCTATAGTCTAGTCTATAGTCTAGTCTATAGTCTAGTCTATAGTCTAGTCTATAGTCTAGTCTATAGTCTAGTCTATAGTCTAGTCTATAGTCTAGTCTATAGTCTAGTCTATAGTCTAGTCTATAGTCTAGTCTATAGTCTAGTCTATAGTCTAGTCTATAGTCTAGTCTATAGTCTAGTCTATAGTCTAGTCTATAGTCTAGTCTATAGTCTAGTCTATAGTCTAGTCTATAGTCTAGTCTAGTAGTCTATAGTCTAGTCTATAGTCTAGTCTATAGTCTAGTCTATAGTCTAGTCTATAGTCTAGTCTATAGTCTAGTCTATAGTCTAGTCTATAGTCTAGTCTATAGTCTAGTCTATAGTCTAGTCTATAGTCTAGTCTATAGTCTAGTCTATAGTCTAGTCTATAGTCTAGTCTAGTCTAGTATTCGTCTAGCTCTATAGTCTAGTCTATAGTCTAGTTCTAAGTCTTAGTCTATGTCTAGTTATCGTCTAGTCTATCGTCTAGTCTAGTATAGTTATTCTATAGTCTAGTTCTATAGTCTAGTCTATAGTCTAGTCTATCAGTCTAGTTCATAGTCTAGTCTATAGTCTAGTCTATAGTCTGTCTATAGTCTAGTCTTCTCTATAGTCTAGTCTATAGTCGTCTAAGTCTATAGTCTAGTCTAGTCTAGTAGTCTAGTCTAGTAGTCATATGTCTAGTTTATAGTCTAGTCTATAGTCTAGTTTAAGTTCTAGTTTTATAGTCTAGTCTATCGTTCTAGTCTATAGTCTAGTCTATAGTCTAGTCTATAGTCTAGTCTATGGTCTAGTCTATAGTCTATAGTTCTCTAGTCTAGTCTATAGTCTCGTCTATAGTCTGTCTATAGTCTAGTCTATTAGTCTAGTCTATAGTCTAGTCTATAGTCTAGTCTATAGTCTAGTCTATATTATAATCTATAGTCGTATCTATAGTCTTATCTATTGTCTAATCTATAGTCTAGTTTATAGTCTAGTCTATAATTTAGAATATAGTCTAGCCTCTCGTCTTGTTCTGTTGTCTAGTCTATAGTCTAGCCTATAGTCTAGTCTATAGTCTAGTCTATAGTCTAGTCTATAGTCTGGTCTATCGTCTAGTTTATCTGTCCAATGTGGAGCAATATTTATGGATCTACAACCGTTTTTATGTTATTTACATAAAATCCATTTTTTATGGGAATTATGGGTGATCTCAGATTTTCGCTATTTTCTAGATCAACATCACATTTATGGAAGTACAGCCTATTGTAGAATTTTCATATAAAATCATTTGTTTTTCTTTTAAAAATTAATTTAGGATTTTTAATAAAATAACTTACACATTCAAAAATATTAATTTCATCATTTACTAATCATATTAAAAATCATATACATACATACTACAAAATGCAATAACAGTTCAAAATTGGTTGTCCCCCATCATAGACAAAATGACTCACATTTTAACCCATGTGCCTTGTGTTCGATTTGCTACTGGTTTTATTAAGTTAAAATAATTGATATATTTTACATTCAAATTAAACAGTTTAATGTTGTTAAATTTACTACGTGATCTGATTTATCATGGAAATTTGTGGGAATTTTTGTATTTGAATAATTTCTAAGACTTTGACACTGAAATTTTATTTGGATTGTTTTGATTTGAAAGTTAACTAAAGCAATAATGAAATTTTTAAAAAATAATGTGTTGAGATTATATATTACATGAAATGATATGCGATTTTGTATAAAGGAACAACTAATGGTTTTATAACCTTTAAGATTTTTTTAAGAATAGATTAATATAACAGTTTGTAATCAAAGAATATGTTTAAAGTAATTAGGTCGGTATTTTGGATGTTAAAAATATGTAAATAATTGATTTTATTATTAAATTTAGTTTGCCCATCTACATTCGATTCAATTATAAATAAACCGTTAAAATTTTATTTATTTATTACGTGCACTGATTCATATAGGGCTTTTATTTTTGGGTTGAGGTAGGACAGGTTTTATTGCACAATTATAACATTTAATCAATATTTTTAAATCATTCTTTTGAAATACTTTAATACGAAACAAAATTATCAAACAAATTGGTTATAATTGGTGACGAAAAGAAATGTATTGGTTTTTCCGAAACATGCGCGATAAGAGAATTATTTAAGGATCTATAGCCGATTTTAAGTTTTTCATATTAAAATGTATACATCAACTACGTCATTCCATTTGTAAATTCTGTAAAATAATTTTCCGACTCCTATAAAGTATATGTATGTCCGTCTTTCCATCTGTCTGTCTATGCGTATGTTGAAATCAATGTCAGAAGACCCCAGTTATCTGCGAGATCTGAATCTTCTATTATTCTATCAGATATGCTTTCGTGAAGATCGCTATTTAAGAGCAATAGTCCGATACATCCTCCGAAAAATTTCATAAAAATTAAAATAAAACAAGTAAGAGTGTTAAATTTTAAGCCATTAATGAGTGTTGCAGTCATTTTCTAAAGGGGACCTTATATGGGGGGTAGGGTCAATCATGGACCGATCCTCATAAATTTTTTAGATAGATTTTGACTCGTATGAAACTTACTTATGTCGAATTTCATCTATATACTAGTATTTTTAAGCCAGTAATGAGCGTTAAAGTCATTTTCTGAAGGGGACCTTATATGGAGGGTAGGGTCAATTATGGACCGATCCTCATAAAATTTTGCATAATGATTTTGGATCATAAGAAACTTACTTATGTCGAATTTTATCGCTATATTCGTATTTTTAAACAAGTTATGGCTGTTAAAGCTGCTTTTCGAGGGGCCACTTGTATGGGGTATCAGAAAATGTGGACCGATATTGCCCATTTTCAATACCAAACAAACCTTACCTGTAAGAAATATTTATGTGAAATTTCAACCCTCTAGCTCTTTCCATTGGGACTCTATCGTGCTTTCAACAGACAGACAGACAGACAGACGGACGGACGGACAGACATGGCTAGATCGACTTAGAATTTAATGAGGACCCAGAATATATATACTTTTGTGGGTCTATGACCAATATTTTGATGTGTTACAAACGGAATGACAAAATCAATATCCCCCATCTTTTTTGATGGTGGGTATAACAAGTAGGAAAGTATAGTCGGACATGGCCGACTATATGAAACCCTACCTGAAAAACAAAATTTCTAAAAGAGACTTTATATGGGAGTTAGGATCAAATTTGGGCCGATCCGCAACAAATTAGGAGGAGGGATATATTTTTATATAGAGATTAGTCAATTCTTGGACGTTTATGATATTTTTAAAGGGTGGTTTGTATGGGGGCTAGGGTCAAACAACTATATAAAACTTAGTTGTGCCAGGAGGGATAGTAAAGTATATTTAACTTAGTTATGAGTTAAAAACCCCAAATCGGAAGGTCAGGTTGTATGGGGGGCTAGGTGAAATAATGGACCGATTTCAACCATTTGCCAGCCAGCCGGACAGACGGACGGATATTTCTTAATCGGCTCAGAAAGTGATTCTGAGTCGATCGGTATACTTTATGGTGTATACTAAGGGTGCAGGACCAATATTTTTGTGCGTTATAAATATCAGCACAAACGCATAATACCCTCCCCACTATAGTGGTGTAGGATATAACAAAGCAAGAACAACACGTTACTTATGTAGCTCAGAGATACAAGCCGTCTCGGCTCAACTCGGCGGCGGCTGGTCGACGGCCAAATTTTGACAAGCAGCGCCGCCGCCGACTCAAAAACTTATGTTTTTCTTAAAAAATTTTAACTGAGTTGCCATTTTTTTCAGACAAATTGAAAAGAGTTGCCACATCATTTTGTCTTCATGTATAAAAAACGGTTACAAACAATTTTTCATAAAAATAACTGTAATAATGGCAATTTTCTATAGAAAATACTTATATAGAGATACTTTTCTATCTAACAAACCAAAATAAACACAGTTTTCTATATAACAAACAAGCATATATAGAAAATATTCTGAAAAGAACAGAATATACCACAGCCGGTATATTTTATAATAAGCCGCCGCCGCCGATCATTTTGCATCGGCTTGTAACTCTGGTGTAGCTGTTGGACAATTGTATAAAAATTAAAATGGGATGTTATTTGTAACTTTAGTACCAAGAAACTTTTTTGGTACGTTTTCGTTCTTTAACTGGTTATTTTTAAAGTTTTCTATAATATTGAACCTGGAAACATGAAATTAAGAACGTAGAACGGGAAGTAAATAAGAACCTATAAAATAGGACATTTTTGGACTTTTTTTGTTCTTCAAAAGATACTTTATGACTTTTCTATAACATTCAGAATCCTGTACGAAATCTGTAGAATAGGATTTTTGGTACCGTTTCATTCTTAAACTGGTACTTTTTGAAACATACATATAATCAGACATATGGCATTCTGATGGAATAAAAATCTATAAGAGTAAATTTTTTGGTACTTTTGTTTTTCAACTGGTACTGGTTTTTCAACCGGATAATGAGATTTTCACAGATAAATCGATGGTTACTCATATCTCCTTGTTACGTGATCTCTAAAATTTCCTAGAAAAAATTACCAACTTAAAACTATGGTAGAATGATGAAATCGAGAAAATGAAAATGAAAATTATTAAGCATGTTTCGAATTGATTTTCAATAACTCTCAAATCAAGCAAACAGCGAAAATCTGTGATCATTCATACTATATATGATCTAATCAATAAAATCACTCATTTTTCATGGGAAACCAGAATTACCTAAAATCAACTTTAGATCCTTAAACATTAATCCAATTAGAAAGAAAATTCTGCAATCATTCAAATTTTATGTAAAACCAAAAATCGGCTATAGAACCTTAAATAATACCTTAATCAGGGTATAGCGGGAAACTTCGATATTCTATCAAGAAGTTTTTTTTTTTATATAAAACACAAAATTTAAAGTTAAATGTTCCTTAAATTACCATTTATTTTGGTATTAATTCTAAATTGTTTAAATTTTTACAATAAAACTGGAGCAGCGGCATATGACAAAGGAGCAGTGTAGGGCAAATGGGCGGAATAAGCTAAAGGAGCAGAGTAAGCTAAGGTTTTGGCAACAACAGGGGCGGCTACGGGGGCAACAACAGGAGCAGTGGCAATACCATTGTGGTTACGAGCAACAAATTGACTACTGGTGGCGGTAACCACGCCGGCGGGGGCAGCTACAACAGCAGCAGGAGCAGTGTAAGCCAAAGGAGCACTCAATAAACCAGGCTGGGCAGCAGCACAGGCAATAAAGGCAAAGATGACAAAGACCTATAAGCATAATACCACAAAATTCTTTTAAGCTTAGGATTTAAAGTTTTTTAAACAAAAATTTTAAAACTTACGAATTTGAACATTTTAGTGTTTCCTTTTGTGGATTTTCTATAAAAGAACTTATGTTTAAACTAATTTTAACCCTTATAAGGTCTAGTATTTATAGTAAATATAGCGTTAACAAGAGTTAATAACCTTTAAACTATAAACATTTGTAAAACATAAACAACACCACAATAACACTATTATTATTAAGCAACAATACGTGTTAGGCCCTTTTAAATTAAAGAAAAATTTCATTGTCAATGTTAAAAAATTTAAAAAAAAAAATAAATAAAATTTATATGTTGACCAAAAACTTAAAAAATTCCCATAATATGGGATTAGGTTAAAACCTAGGCACGTACCAACATTAAAATACCTTTAAACGTAATTTGTAAAAATTAAATTAAATTCAAATAAATTTTGAAAAATCAAACCAAAACAGTAGCCATTGAGAATGAATCATAATTATTAGTCACGAGTGTAGATTTCAGATATAAATAGTGTTTTAAATCGGCAACCAATATCAAAAACAATTTAATCTTTTAGAAATCAACAACATTTCAAAAAACACCCTACAACATGTTCAAATACGTAAGTTTTGAATTTAAATAAAGTTGAGTCCTTTATAGATTAAAATAAAATGTTTATGATATCCTTTATCAACAGGCCGTTGTTATCTTCGCTGTAATTGCTTGCGCTGCTGCCAAACCCGGTTTAATTGGTGCTCCTTTGGCTTACACTGCTCCCGCCGCTGTTGTAGCCGCCCCTGCTCCCGTAATTACCGCCACCAGCAGCCAAGTTATCGCCCGTAATTATAATGGTATTGCCAGCGCTCCCATTGTTGCCCCTGTTGCTGCTCCCGTCGTTGCTAAGACTGTTGCTCCCGTAGCTGTAGCTGCTCCTTTGGCTTACTCTGCCCCTGTTGTAGCTAAATATGCTGCCGCTGCTCCTTTGGCTTACTCTGCCCCTGTTGTAGCTAAATATGCTGCCGCTGCTCCTTTCGCCTACTCTGCTCCTTTAACTTATGCTGCTGCTCCAGCTCCAGTTTTGTTTTAAATATTAAGGACAATAGATGGTGGAGTTTTGAATGGAAGACTGACATGTTGAAATAAATTATTTGAAATAGTTATTAAAAAGTTTTGGTTTCATTATAATTATTATGATTTCAATTTTAAAATCACAAAAGGTTGATTTACTCGGGCTATTCCAAAGTAATGTATAGTCCATATAACTTTAGAATTGACATCACATTTTCTTGTTTCAGCCGACAGTCATAAGTACTCTTGATTTCTACTCTATATTTTATATAATTCTCATTTAGTTCATAATAATTTGAATTTATGAAGTAATATTGAAAGGATTTCCATCGAAAAATTTCAATTCCTGGGGAGAGAATGTTGGTTTAAGGACTGATATATCCAAATGCCATATATGTCTGGATTATCTCTTCGGTGCTGTTGACATCTCAACAGATGTCACTGGTTGATGTGACAGAGCAACTTATGCTAGATTCCTGAACCCGTTGAGTATCTCTTACTCTTTGCGTAGTAGGGCGCCAGTATAGGTTGGGGAATTTTCAGATTGATACTTGGTAGTTGCCTGTCATTCCGTATATCGTTCTTTATGGCCTGAGAATGGAACTGATGTAATTAGGGTTCTATAGTTGTAACGAAAAGTCGACTTTTCGACTTTTTGCATTTAGTTAAAAGTCGACTTTTTGAATTTTAAGTCGATTGTTCGACTTTTCGACTTTTTTCATTTAATTGAAAGTCGACCTTTAGACTTTTTGACTTTTAGTATTTTATAAATAGTCGACTTTTCGACATTTTCCGACTTTGCCATTTTTTTCGACTTTTTGGCTATTTTCGACTTCTTTCGACTTTTGTTCGAATTTTTTCGACTATTTTTTGACTTTCTTCGAGTTTTTCCGACTATTTTAGAGTTTTTGACTTTTTTCCACTTTTTTCAAATTTTCGACTATTTTTGATTTTTTTTTTACTATTTTCCAGTTTTCGACTTTTTCCGACGATAGTCGAGTTATCGACATTTTTGGAACAAAATAGTCGACTTCGACTTTTCGACTATTTTCGACAAAAAGTCGATTGTTCGATTATTCGAACCCTAGATGTAATTGGTGAGCGATCGGGAAAGACTCCTCTGACCGACAGGAGACTAGTACTGATTTAGTAGACTTTTTACTTCTCTAGGTGCTGTTGCTGAATCAACAGAGCCATCTCAGTAGTATGGTTGCGCGGGCTTTAAGAGGTTAAGGAATGCACTGGAATGGGTCATTAGTTGATGGGGATTGCACTTTAAATAATGCAATCTTTCATGACATCATAAGGGTGGTCACCTTCCGGTATACCGAAAGATTGATTTCACCTGATGTTGGGGTAGTCGCCCCTTCTATTGACTTTAGAGCAGTGATGGCTTTTTCCTTGTCGGGATTTGCATTGGGATAGATCCCATGCTGCCTGTCATTCTGCTAGCCCCGTTGCAAGAGATTAGATAGTTCGAGTACTTCAGCAAAGTGCTTGTACATGGACCGGCTCAGCCATGCAGTTCTTCATAGAAGGATTCAGAGGCGCGTGGTAGGCCGTCTCTAGTCGTGAAGGCAGTTGTTCAAAAAACCTGCACTCGACATTCGTGCCACTTTTAGTTCCCCCCGGGGCATGTTTCCTTGATGTCCCTTTTCATCTTGGTGTTATTGCAACCTTGGGAAAAGAGGGGCTCCAATACCTCTAGTCTGTCGGAACTATATACTTGTGATGATCAAATGTACCCTCGGCCTTTTCTTGGAATGATTTGACATGCGATCGAACAAGAGAATCACAAAAACTGCTACTACGGTAACCGTTAGCCCGCAGAGCAGAGTTTCGGACGTTCTATTGTCCCAGTTATTGGACAGGTCCCTTCGGTCTATGGTCTAAACCCGGACTGATGCACGGTAAAGTCTCCAAATCTGGATGATAAGTTTTATGCTGTTGCCGAGACAACAGACACATAGAGGAGTAGCTGTGGGACTAAGCGTTGGAAATGAGTTAGTGTTAAGTGTATATGATACAGGATGAATGCGGACCTTAACCACCCGTATACCTATGGTGAGTGTGTCGGATGCCGTTCTCTATGAGTGTGTCGAATAAATGAGAAGTGTGCTAGGTTGAATGATGATGGATGTAAGGTATCTTATACAAGTGATACCATTGAACTTTCCTTCCTTGTCCGGCTATGTTCTGAGTTTACTCTATTCATACCAGATTTACCATAGTGTGTTCTCTGTGAGTAAGAACAAGTCATCGGTTTATTTAATGGATTCGTTATTCGGTCTACCGACTACGTCTCCGATGGTCATCCCATCAGTGTATTCTCTGTGAGTAAGAACAAGCCATTGGTTTATTTAATGGATTCGTATTTCGGTCTACCGACTACGTCTCTAGGTGTTGTTGCCGATTCAAAAGTGGTCATCTCATCAGCGTGGTTGTAAACGGGAGTAATTTTTTTGTATCTCAGAAGTTAAGCAACGGGACAGCAATGGTCTAAGATTATATAGCTTCAGTGCTTTAACATGGATAGGCAGAGTATTGGTTTTGAGTCATCTTATCAGCTCACACTGTGACTGGAAAAGTACCACCGTGAAATAAGGCCAACACGGCAGGTATTCGTTTAAAGCACTTCGAGTTCTTGTCACTTTTAGGTTTCCCTTGTTATCGCGATGAATTTTCCCTAAGAAGTACTACCAATACCTTCGAAAACTAGGGGAGTCAATTTATTCCTCGGATTCGGAGCTTAACCAGAATGTCTATCTTATCTGGTACAAGGGGAGCCACTCGCCCACATTACGTGTCCTTTAAAGGTTATTTGTGAGGTACCTTCGGGATACACGTGGTGGCTGTTTGTTAAAGCCTACATCATGGGAAGAGGATATTTATTAAAGGATGTGTCTTGATTTTGTTTTAACAGATGCCACTGGGCGATGTTGCTGCGGTATCACGTCTCGAGAATGCACTGAACCAATTGAGTGGAGGAATAGTAAGGCTAATACTTGCTTAAACGTAGAGCTTAGTGGTCCAAATCTGTGTTTACTCCAAGGCAATTGTAACGCATTAGGAGTTTTACTCATGATTTCACAGTAAGTCTCTTAAGATATTAAATAGCTCGATTACTTCAGAAAATTTTTCTTGAAACTCCAGCGAAAAATCGTGTCCGTAAACCCAAGAAAAGTTTCGACAAATAAAGAAAACTACCTTGATAGTTAATCGTTAACTTGATCGGCTAACAATAAATTCTAGAAAAATTGATAAATCCATAAACTATACTATCACACATTTAATCTCGAAAGTTGGCGCCAACATATTTAAAGGTAGAGCCAAGCAATGCACTCTTTTTCGTCAAAATCCTAGCAAATTGCAACAATAAATCAACATGACCTACGTTTAACATTAACCTCCTCGTTTAAATTTTAACCAAAATTGTAAACCGTTAAAAATTAAAATTAAAATATTGTAAAATTAATAAATTACATTTTGTGTATATTATCTTGAACTAACTGTGTAAGTACGTAAGATTTGCCATAAAAACCCACTGAAAAAGCATACGACATTACTACGTGAAATGCATTAATAATTAGATATATAATACCACCTACAACTTGTTAGTTATTTGATTTTTTACAGAAAACCCTAAAAACTAAAAACAAAATAAACGAAAAAAAAAATGTTAAACCACAAAACAGTAAACTAAGTAATATTGTTAATATTGACTAAGGTCAGTTAAGTCCAAAATAACAAAAATTTTTTATATAAAAAGTCTTAGAGCTGAGTGGAATATTATCAAAAGTCATTTACACTTCAATCAGTTCATACGACACGTTAAAGCAACTCTTCTAAAACAAAATGTTCAAATACGTAAGGATTATTAATTGAATTAATTAAAAGTTAATTAAAAAAAAAACTAATTTTACAAATTTATTGTCTACTTTTAGGCCGTTGTTATCTTTGCCTTGATTGCCTGCGCTGCTGCTAAGCCACATTTAATTGGTGCTCCCTTAGTGGCTGCTCCTGCCCCAGTAATTACCGCCACCAGCAGTCAAGTTGTGGCCAGAACTTATAATGGCATAGCTCATGCTCCCATTGTGGCACCAGTGGCACCTGTTGCCCCCGTTGCTAGAGTAGTTGCTCCTGTAGCTCCCGTTGCTAGAGTAGTTGCTCCTGTTGCCCCCGTTGCCAGAGTTGTTGCTCCTGCTCATGTTGCTCACGTAGCTGCTCCCTTCGCTGCTGCTTATTCAACCCCAGTTGTTGCCAGATACGCCACTGCTGCTTATGCCCATCCTTTTGCTGCTAGATATACTGCTCCTTTGGCCTACAGTGCTCCTTTGGCTTACTCTCATGCTCCCTATGCTGCTTCCTATGCTTGGTAAAGAATCAACAGTATTTAGAAAATATTTTTGTTTAAACTTTTATTGTTATCCGTAATGGACTGATTTAGTTGTAATAAAAAAAATTTTATATAATTATTTAACGAAAAAAATCCAAAGCCTCAGTCTCTGTAATTGGTGGTTTTCCGCTTTGGAAACGACTATGATTTAGTTTATAGAGTCTTTACGATTCTAATTGAAAGGATTTGCATCGTAGTGAACTTTCTACTCACTCAACTAATGAAAATACCTGAGGATCTGTAACTTATTGATGAAATAAGTATTAGCTTTTTCTTGGTATCTTAAGATCTCTCAACTAATCCAAAGTAGACAATAAGGAGTTTAATATAAATACTTCAATTGATCGTGATACCAGATTACAAAACACATATTGCACATCACATTTTCAATACCTATCACTTAAAGATCTCACGGTTACCTGAGAGACTTTTTGGAATACCACCAAGAATATTCGTACATATTTCCGAAATACTTTTTAAACTAGAGAGTATACATAAGGATTCCAAGGCAAAATTCGTTTAACCACTTATCTGTGGAGCAATGACCTAAGGAAACATAATTGATCTTTCAAACCCACTGACCTAAGACGAAATAAAGAGAGAATATGTATTCTAAATTTTCCAAAATCCAAACATGAGTGCAAGTAAATTAGTCAAAAGCGAACCTAGTGGTTTTCAAAATGTAATTTTGGAACACTATCAAAGATATCTGAAAACATTTGAAAAGGACATTTCGATTACGTTTCCGTATTCAGTTGCGCAGTTGGTATTCTAGCAAGATACGTAACGGAGCTTTTGATTCGAATTAAAATGTAGAATAGAGAAGCTTTTTAGTTAAAGAATAAGCTTACACATACTAACCCACTAATCTTTGATACGATTAAAAAAGTGCTGATTCCCAACTCTATGAAAATAATCAATTGTCTTCCAAATCCCGCTAATCTATGGAACAATGAAGAGAATAAGTTCTGATGCCAATTTTTAAAAAAACTTCTGAGAAAAATTCAAGGCTCAATGAAGAAAATAAAGTTCAGCTGGCCATTTCTATGAAATCACCAAAACCAACTAATCACTTTTGTAATCTAGGAAACTATAACTCATTTTTAAGTTGGCAAACATCGTGGAACTCCCAAACCCACTAAATTATAATGTTTGTGCATTTTAATGAAGAAATTTCAGAATTTTATGGAACTAGCAGCATTATGATGATCAACGCAGAAAAGGATCGCTAAAGATGTATCGCAGATTGCCAATGCGTATGTAAATGCTTCCAGCGTATTCCTGGTATTTGTGGGACTCTAAAGTGTGATAATATTTGGTGTTTCCAAAAAGGAACATCTATAGTAAAAACATTAAAACAAGAAGTTTTTGGATCAACAGTTTATTAGACTTGTGATTTAAAAAATTGTATAAAGGGAGGGTTATGCTTCCCATTTCTACGAAAAAATCTTCGATTTGTCAAAGTAATTACAAAATGTGAAATGTGTTCTCCAAAGTGATAGAAGACAGAACTTGTTAGTTTTATTGACCGGTAAGTTATTGAAACTGCAAAGTTCAAAATCAAAATGGATCATGATCGAGATATGAGGATCTAGTGAATACCAAAATGTAAAGTTTGTGCATTTTAATGAAGAAGTTCCAGGATTCTGTGAAACTACAGCAGCATCATAATATAATAAACACAGAAAAAGATCGCTCAAGCTGTCATAGAGTACCTGAGTCTTGTGATTTAAAGAATTGTATATAAGATGATCTGCTGCCCATTCTATAAATAAAGATGATCTGCTTCCCATTTCTAAGAAAATATGTATCTTCGTTTGTCCAAAGCTATTTCAATATGTGTAATGATGTTATCCAAAGCTATAGAAGACGGAATTAGTTAACTTTCTATCCCAATAAGTTATTAAAATGGCAAGCAGTTTGAAATAAATCAAAATGGATCATGATCGAGATATCAGAAGAGGACCTTGAGACTACCAAAATATCATGTTTGTGCATTTCAACGAAGAAGTTCCTGGATTCTATGAAACTACAGCAGCATAGTAATGATCAACATCCGTCAATGTTTATACAAAAATTTGGGACTCCAAAGTGTGGAAATTTCGAGACTCTCCAAAATGGATCATTGAAAGCAAACAAGTTATAGATCATCAGTTTATTTGTTGATTTTAGGCATTATAGAACTTGGCGCAGAAAACACACCAATACCGTCATGTATTGAGGAAAATGTTCTGTTTCCTACTTCTATGGAAATATCTTCGATTGTCCAAAGCAATTCCAATATGTGAAATGATGTTTACCAAAGCGATAGAAGATAGAACTTGTTAACTTACTAGCCCGGTAAGTTATTGAAAGTACCAGCATTTTGAAATAGATTAAAATGGATCATGATCAAGATATGAGATGAGGATCCCTTGACTACCAAAATAGAGAGTCTGTGCAATTTGTTAAAAAAAAGTTCCAACGTTCTATGTATCGTTAATTACAACAGAATTATGATGATCAACCAAGATAAAAGTCGTTAAGGTTGTATCGCAGACTATCAATGAGTACCTATTGCAATACCGGTTTAAAGAGGTCTTTCCAGCGTCTTAGGTTTCTGAATGTCTTAAACTGGACGATTTTGAAATGTCTTGAAAATTATATAATAGTCATCGGCGAAACTTCTACTAAGATTATAACATTTCAAGCTTGGTGCACGTTACACACTTTAATGCTATTACAATACCGGTTTAAAGAGGTCTTTCCAGCGTTTTGGGTTTCTCAATGTTTTAAACTGGAGGAGTTCTTATCTAACGGCTTAAAAGAGTTCCTCATCGACTACCATGAGAACTTGTATCAAGTCTTGTTCTGTTCTATAGAATTTCGGTTAAAACTAGAATGTATGTATGTGCTAGTGTCGGGCTACCAAATATGCCTCTTGTTGCGGAATCACCAGATGTTATCTAAGAGTTATAGCTGAGCAGCGTTATTCGAGGAATGTACTAAAGATATTAGTTTATCCGGAATGCTATGTAGATCATTGCTAATAATGGCCTATTGAGTTGTCGATCTGAAAGTTCCTTGTTCAGGGCGATAGAGCGCTGTACATTATCCAGCCGGTAGTTGGAAAATACTACCGTGTAATTGAGTACTTGCAGACAGGAACACAAGTTAAACTTTGACTTTAGCTGCACTGTATTATTGAAAGTTTAAATGCCTTTTTTTTGAAAAGCTTAACCGGTATTTCGAACATTCCATCTTCTAGAACATTTGACGTTTATCATAAGTTTTAAAAATCTTTAGATCTATTTAGATTTAGTACTTATTTCTTGATGTAATTTGAATTGCAAATGCATTTAACTTGTCAACAGCAATCAAGATGTCGGTTGTAATCAGAGTTTTGGACCGAAATTAATATCGAAATTCTCAAGACCTCATCTTCAGGAACATTTGACATTATAAGGAACTTAAGCTCAAAAAAACACATTTGATCTTTAGATCCTATGAAGTATTTCTTGATATAACAAGTATTGGAGATGTAGCTATTCTTTTTCTAATTTATGAGCATCTATCAAGTGTTTTGGACAGCAAAAGGAACCGATATTCCTTCGGAATAACAGTGAAAAACATTCGCAAATTTATTGCAAAGAAAATATATCTTGTATTTTTATTAAAACTTAAACTATAATAAAATGTGTTCGTGAAGAATAAAGCCATTTACACAGAATGAATAAGAAATGTGTATTTGTATCATGATGATCTGAGGTGCAGCAGGAGATGATCGTGAAGAAATCAATATATAGCAGCAGTAGGTGCCACTAATCTAGCAGGAGCAGAAGCAACAAATTTAGCAGGAGCAGCTGGAGCAACATAAGCTGCAGGAGCTGAAGCTATTAATTTAGCAGGAGCAGCTGCTACAGCAGCTGGAGCCGCAAAGGGAGATGCCACATAAGCAGCTGGAGCTGAAGCTATTAGTTTAGCAGGAGCAGCAACAACAGCAGGACTATATTTGTTATAGATATCAACACGGTGACTGTGTGAAGTGGAGGCTAAAGGAGCTGTAAAGGCAGCAGCATAGGGGGCTGTATAAGCAGCAGCATAGGGAGCAGAGTAAGCGGCAGCATAAGGAGCTGTATAAGCAGCGGCATAGGGAGCAGTGTAAGGAGCGCTATAGGCAGCTGTATAAGGAGCAGAATAGGCAGCGGCATAAGGAGCAGGATAGGCGGCAGCATAAGGAGCAGAATAGGCAGCAGCTATTGGCGCTGTATAGGCAGCAGCATAAGGGGCAGCAATAGGAGCAGCCGCTAGATGGCCAGGAGAAGCCAAAGCACAAGCCAACACAGTAAGTAATACAATGCACTTTAAAGTAATTCAGATAATTTAAATTAATATTGATTAATCATATCAATTAAATAGTTTTTTATATTTCTAGTCCTTACCAATTTAAACATTTTTAAAAAGTTTTTTTTTGTTTTTCGTTTAAAATCTTAATTCTGTGAATTTGTTACGCAATATGTAATATGTCTTAACACTTGCTGGTTAACTGATTGTAATTGTTATGAATATTAAATGGCCAAAAACAGCATTTTATATACTTAACTAGTAATTGGAATAGTTTCCAATAAAATAGTATAGTGTCGCAGTTGGCAAAATGCCTTTTAGACTTTTTGGCTGTGAGTTTTTCTTTGGTATTTTATTTTTAATTTGGTTAATAAACAAATATAATTTATTAGCAGATTACCTTCAGTGGTTAAATAATAATAGACCTATAAAATGCTTTAAAATTTCAAGGTTATGTGATAAAAATCTAAAATATTTGAATTTCTTATCTAAAACAGAAATCTTTACTTTAATTATATTGGAAATTTCCTTCCGTTTGCTACCAAACATTACAAATCTTATATTTTTACAGGTTTCCTCTGCGCCATTGCGTTATAAATCTTGTATGTCTTTGACTCTTTGGTAAAATGTACTTATCGCTGGCAAAAAGAAATATTTACAAAATATTCAATTGGTTTTTTACAAATTGCTCTTTTTAAAGTTCTTTTATGGCTTTGGAAAGAGGAGTAAAAGAAAAACTTTAATAAATTTCAGTTTTACAAAGCAACTACATACTACTACTTACAATTTGTGCTGTTTTTATTTGCAACATAAAAATTGGGGTAAAAGTGCCACCACATTATTATGCACAAGAAGTTTAAGAAGTTTGTGGCACTTACTTTGACTGCCATATTTTAAACATTTGATCAATTGACATGTGTGGTTATTACTTTTAAGTAGTTTTACTTCTATTTTTTAACAATATTAAAGCTTAATAGTAAATTTGAGTAGAAGTTTTTAGTAGACCATAACTTTGTACATAAGGAGTTAATTGAGATTAGAAGTTGAACTAAACTTGAAACTAAACACTAATATCCAAACAAAAACAAATTTTTTAGTCTACAGTCTAGTCTATAGTCTAGTCTATAGTCTAGTCTATAGTCTAGTCTATAGTCTAGTCTATAGTCTAGTCTATAGTCTAATCTATAGTCTAGTCTATAGTCTAGTCTATAGTCTAGTCTATAGTCTAGTCTATAGTCTAGTCTATAGTCTAGTCTATAGTCTAGTCTATAGTCTAGTCTATAGTCTAGTCTATAGTCTAGTCTATAGTCTAGTCTATAGTCTAGTCTATAGTCTAGTCTATAGTCTAGTCTATAGTCTAGTCTATAGTCTAGTCTATAGTCTAGTCTATAGTCTAGTCTATAGTCTAGTCTATAGTCTAGTCTATAGTCTAGTCTATAGTCTAGTCTATAGTCTGGTCTATAGTCTAGTCTATAGTCTAGTCTATAGTCTGGTCTATAGTCTAGTCTATAGTCTAGTCTATAGTCTGGTCTATAGTCTAGTCTATAGTCTAGTCTATAGTCTAGTCTATAGTCTGGTCTATAGTCTAGTCTATAGTCTAGTCTGGTCTATAGTCTAGTCTAGTCTAGTCTATAGTCTAGTCTATAGTCTAGTCTATAGTCTAGTCTATCTCTAGTCTATAGTCTAGTCTATAGTCTAGTCTATAGTCTAGTCTATAGTCTAGTCTATAGTCTAGTCTATAGTCTAGTCTATAGTCTAGTCTATAGTCTAGTCTATAGTCTAGTCTATAGTCTAGTCTATAGTCTAGTCTATAGTCTAGTCTATAGTCTAGTCTATAGTCTAGTCTATAGTCTAGTCTATAGTCTAGTCTATAGTCTAGTCTATAGTCTAGTCTATAGTCTAGTCTATAGTCTAGTCTATAGTCTAGTCTATAGTCCAGTCTATAGTCTAGTCTATAGTCCAGTCTATAGTCTAGTCTAGTCTAGTCCAGTCTATAGTCTATAGTCTAGTCTAGTCTAGTCTATCTCTAGTCTATAGTCTAGTCTATAGTCTAGTCTATAGTCTAGTCTATAGTCTAGTCTATAGTCTAGTCTATAGTCTAGTCTATAGTCTAGTCTATAGTCTAGTCTATAGTCTAGTCTATAGTCTAGTCTATAGTCTAGTCTATAGTCTAGTCTATAGTCTAGTCTATAGTCTAGTCTATAGTCTAGTCTATAGTCTAGTCTATAGTCTAGTCTATAGTCTAGTCTATAGTCTAGTCTATAGTCTAGTCTATAGTCTAGTCTATAGTCTAGTCTATAGTCTAGTCTATAGTCTAGTCTATAGTCTAGTCTATAGTCTAGTCTATAGTCTAGTCTATAGTCTAGTCTATAGTCTAGTCTATAGTCTAGTCTATAGTCTAGTCTATAGTCTAGTCTATAGTCTAGTCTATAGTCTAGTCTATAGTCTAGTCTATAGTCTAGTCTATAGTCTAGTCTATAGTCTAGTCTATAGTCTAGTCTATAGTCTAGTCTATAGTCTAGTCTATAGTCTAGTCTATAGTCTAGTCTATAGTCTAGTCTATAGTCTAGTCTATAGTCTAGTCTATAGTCTAGTCTATAGTCTAGTCTATAGTCTAGTCTATAGTCTAGTCTATAGTCTAGTCTATAGTCTAGTCTATAGTCTAGTCTATAGTCTAGTCTATAGTCTAGTCTATAGTCTAGTCTATAGTCTAGTCTATAGTCTAGTCTATAGTCTAGTCTATAGTCTAGTCTATAGTCTAGTCTATAGTCTAGTCTATAGTCTAGTCTATAGTCTAGTCTATAGTCTAGTCTATAGTCTAGTCTATAGTCTAGTCTATAGTCTAGTCTATAGTCTAGTCTATAGTCTAGTCTATAGTCTAGTCTATAGTCTAGTCTATAGTCTAGTCTATAGTCTAGTCTATAGTCTAGTCTATAGTCTAGTCTATAGTCTAGTCTATATTCTATTCTATAGTCTAGTCTATAGTCTAGTCTATATTCTGTTCTATAGTCTATTCTATAGTCTAGTCTAAAGTCTAGTCTATAGTTTAGTCTATAGTATGCTTGTAGTATGCTTCTAGATGTCGTTACGGATCCATTTCTCATTGCAAGTAAAGATTAGATATAAATTCGTTTTTCAAGGTCTCCCTCTTTCCATTCGCTTGGTAGTTGTCGAACGGTACAAGTTCTGAACTATTATGCGAGTTAGTATTTGACCCATATTCGGAGGTCACTTTGGGGCTAGAACAAACCATGCAAATTTAGTCCTTTCAGCTCTTTTAATTCGGACCTATAATGCTTTCAACAAATAAAGTGATGGACGCATGACCTGAAGTTTCGGATTATATGTATATATTTTTGTGGGTCTAGGACCAATATTTAGATATGTTAAATCACGGTATAATTACTATAATAACTGCATTTCTTAAGTTACAGCCCCCCTCCCCGCATGCGAACAAATCTTTATTAAACAAAATGTTTCCCTGTATTAAGGGGAAAGTTTTGGACTATTTTATGGCTCAATAATAATTATTTTCCTCTTTTTGCAGTAAAGTTCATTTTTATAACAGTTTTTTGGATTATTTATAGCATTTTACAGAAGTTATAGCCATTTAAGTTCGTACAACAACCTTTCAATTGCTAACTAAGACACAAACCATGTGAAATTTTAAAACCCTAAAACCGGTTGCTATAATTAAGGACACATTGTAAGGTTGCCAATTATGAAAATTTCAGAATTTTTAAATACATATGTATATAAATTTTGATATGTATATGGTTAATTCTCATTATTTCTATGAAAATCTTTGGCGGTGACCCATTTGGGAACGTTTGCTTTAATGAATTAATTATAAACTTACCTGTTTACAGCTATAGATTTTTGGTTTTAAAGTTGAGTTTATGTTGTTTCAGTAGATGAGAGTTTTTCTTGAAAGTTGTTGTTATTATGGTGTCTTTTCAGTTTAAATTTTGATAAAAGTTGGAATGGGAAACGTAAATATTTAGGTTTGTTTTTTTATTTTACTTCATATTTTTTATTAAAAAGTTATTAAACACATTTTTATTTTCTTACCTTTTTTAAAATAAATTTTCAATTTAATTTAGAATTTTATTTATTTTTTTTTTTTCTTTGATTTTTACTCTTTTTTATTTTTTAATATTTTAAACACTTTTTACATTTTTTATGTGATTTCCTTTAATTTACTGAATTTTACTAGATTTCTTTTCATTTTACTTTTTTAATTTCACAAAAAGACATCAATTTCTTTTAATTTAATCAGTTTTTTTCATATTTTTTTATTTAATTTTATTTTTAATATTCTGAAATATTTTTTTCTTAAATTTTATTTTTGACTTTCTAAATTTTCTTATTTTTTAATTTTTACAAATTTTTTTTTTTACAATTATTTTTTTCATTTAAAATTTCACTTTTTATATTTGAATTTATTTTTAAATATTTCTCTAAATCACTCACTTTATAATAATTTTCATTATTTTTTCTAATTTGTTTAATTTTATTTAATTTTTTTATTTATTTTAATTTTATTTAATTTTCTTTTTAAATTTCACTTTAAAATCACTTTTATTTCCTTTAAACATATTTTATAACATTTTATCAATTACCAACACTATTTCTTACTTCCGTTTCCCGTTCCTCATACACTTTTGGTAACTCTGTGCAATTCTCTTTTGTTTATGTCCTCTCTTTCTCACACTTGCACTTTATACATTTTAGCATTTACTTGGGACAGCCTAATGTTTACACACAAATTTCTTTATAAATTTCATACTTTTCCGCAATATTTTTAGAGAAAAACACTTTAAATATTTTTATTAAACCGCGAATATAGTTTTTATTTTATTCCTTTAAGTTTTTACCAAGTTTTTTGTAATTTTTATTAAGACACTTTACTTTTTAACTTTAACCATGACGCTGTGAAAATTTTCTACTAACACCAACATAAACTAACGGAATTTTTATAAGTACGTGTAAGTTTTTCAAGTTGGCAAGGCTGTGTGACAGTATGGTTTACAAACACTTCCCATGGAAAACAGCTGTTTGATTTTTTTTTGTTTATTTTGAAATTGTTGGTATAATTTGTTAGAGAAAGTTGACAGTTGTGTGAAAAATTTCTTGCTGTAAAGTTGTGGTTTTAAAATTTTTGGAATTTTTGTATTAAAATTATTAAAAACTTGAAAATTTTGTACTTATTGTTGTAAAATATCTTTTAATTTATAGATTTAATTAGTTAATTGTTTGAAAAATAGCACGTACTTAAATATGTTTATTGAAACTTGCATAGCACCCGTAAATATAGCTTTAATTAAATATTGTGAGTCTTCTTTTTAACCAATCTATTGTTTAAATTGCATTTTTATAATAAAAGAAAAAAACTTTCTCTTTTTTATGCTGATGTACTTGACACTTTAATCTTCAATTGTTTGCTATTACAAATATGGAAATGTTGATTTGTATGTAATAAAAAAGGGGGTAAACGAGATGAAGAATTGATTTTACCGATAAACGATTCATTAAGCATGACTCTTAGCACCGATGAGGTAAGTAATAGGGGGCTGGCTGCTCCCAACCATTATTGTGTATAACAATTGTTTGGCTTTCATATGCTAAATGAATTTATGGCTGTTGTTTTTTATTTGTTTGTTTGTATATCATATACAAAATATGTGGAACAATATGCCAACTTTGACATGCGTTTCATTGTTGTTTTTGCTTTTTACTTTGTATTTCTCGTTTCCTTGGCCTATACCTAGATGTGTGCTAAAACTACAGCTGCTGCTTGTTCATCGTTTAAGGAACATCGTATGTGGTTGAATGGCGAAGAGGTGCCATTTGAAGAAAATCCTCGTATTATGAGATGTTTAAAAGCTTGTAAGTTTTCTTTGTTTTAATAGTTGAAATTATAGATTTTTGTTTATTTCTTGTGGATGGTGTTTGGGGGAAGAGACATGAGAGGAAGATTTTTGAAAATGGTTTACAAACCCAAAGGATTTTATTTTGATGTCAGAATGTGCGCTGTAAGCGGTAATAGTCGTACACTGAACTAGAACTGAACTCGAACTGAACTAGAACTGAACTAGAACTGAACTAGAACTGAACTAGAACTGAACTAGAACTGAACTAGAACTGAACTAGAACTGAACTAGAACTGAACTAGAACTGAACTAGAACTGAACTAGAACTGAACTAGAACTGAACTAGAACTGAACTAGAACTGAACTAGAACTGAACTAGAACTGAACTAGAACTGAACTAGAACTGAACTAGAACTGAACTAGAACTGAACTAGAACTGAACTAGAACTGAACTAGAACTGAACTAGAACTGAACTAGAACTGAACTAGAACTGAACTAGAACTGAACTGAACTGAACTAGAACTGAACTAGAACTGAACTAGAACTGAACTAGAACTGAACTAGAACTGAACTAGAACTGAACTAGAACTGAACTAGAACTGAACTAGAACTGAACTAGAACTGAACTAGAACTGAACTAGAACTGAACTAGAACTGAACTAGAACTGAACTAGAACTGAACTAGAACTGAACTAGAACTGAACTAGAACTGAACTAGAACTGAACTAGAACTGAACTAGAACTGAACTAGAACTGAACTAGAACTGAACTAGAACTGAACTAGAACTGAACTAGAACTGAATTAGAACTGAACTAAAACTGAACTAGAACTGAACTAGAACTGAACTGGAACTGAACTAGAAATGAACTAGAATTGAATTAGAACTGTACTAGAACTGAACTAGAACTGAACTAGAAATGAACTAGAACTGAACTAGAACTAGAACTGAACTAGAACTGTACTAGAAGTGAACTAGAACTGAACTAGAACTGAACTAGAACTCAACTGGAACTGAACTAGAAATGAACTAGAACTGAACTAGAAATAAAATAGAACTGAACTAGAACTGAACTAGAACTGAACTAGAACTGAACTAGAACTGGACTAGAACTGAACTAGAACTGAACTAGAACTGAACTAGAACTGAACTAGAACTGAACTAGAACTGAACTAGAACTGAACTAGAACTGAACTAGAACTGAGCTAGAACTGAACTAGAACTGAACTAGAACCGAACTAGAACTGAACTAGAACTGAACTAGAACTGAACTAGAACTGAACTAGAACTGAACTAGAACTGAACTAGAACTGAACTAGAACTGAACTAGAACTGAACTAGAACTGAACTAGAACTGAACTAGAACTGAACTAGAACTGAACTAGAACTGAACTAGAACTGAACTAGAACTGAATTAGAACTGAACTAAAACTGAACTAGAACTGAACTAGAACTGAACTGGAACTGAACTAGAAATGAACTAGAATTGAATTAGAACTGTACTAGAACTGAACTAGAACTGAACTAGAACTGAACTAGAACTAGAACTGAACTAGAACTGTACTAGAAGTGAACTAGAACTGAACTAGAACTGAACTAGAACTCAACTGGAACTGAACTAGAAATGAACTAGAACTGAACTAGAAATAAAATAGAACTGAACTAGAACTGAACTAGAACTGAACTAGAACTGAACTAGAACTGAACTAGAACTGAACTAGAACTGAACTAGAACTGAACTAGAACTGAACTAGAACTGAACTAGAACTGAACTAGAACTGAACTAGAACTGAACTAGAACTGAACTAGAACTGAACTAGAACTAGAACTGAACTAGAACTGAACTAGAACTTAACTAGAACTGAACTAGAACTGAACTAGAACTGAACTAGAACTGAACTAGAACTGAACTAGAACTAAACTAGAACTAAACTAGAACTGAACTAGAACTGAACTAGAACTGAACTAGAACAGAACTTGAACTGAACTAGAACTGAACTAGAACTGAACTAGAACTGAACTAGAACTGAACTAGAACTGAACTAGAACTGAACTAGAACTGAACTAGAACTGAACTAGAACTGAACTAGAACTGAACTAGAACTGAACTAGAACTGAACTAGAACTGAACTAGACTAGAACTAGAACTGAACTAGAACTGAACTAGAACTGAACTAGAACTGAACTAGAACTGACTAACTGAACTTTGAACTGAACTTGAACTGAACTTGAACTGAACTAGAACTGAACTAGAACTGAACTAGAACTGAACTAGAACTGAACTAGAACTGAACTAGAACTGAACTAGAACTGAACTAGAACTGAACTAGAACTGAACTTGAACTGAACTAGAACTGAACTAGAACTGAACTAGAACTGAACTAGAACTGAACTAGAACTGAACTAGAACTGAACTAGAACTGAACTCGAACTAGAACTGAGCTGGAACTGAACTAGAAATGAACTACAACTGAACTAGAACTGAGCTAGAAATGAACTAGATATAAACTCGAACCGAACTAGAACTGAAATAGAAATGAACTAGAACAAACTAAAGCTGAATTAGAAATGAACTGGAAAGAACATTGATTTTTGTATTTTCGGCTATGAAATCGAATATTCGAATTCAATTTCGATATTCCAAAATGTACAGTTTCTGTTAAGTTTGTAATAGGGTCGAAAAATCAAAATTTCAGAATTTTATAAAAAAAAATCTAAACATTTATTTTAAAATCTCCATTTTCTTTTCCAGTACAACGCTTAGCTTTAGCCAAAGGCGAGTCGCTGAAATTTCCCCTCGAATGGAAGCTGCATATAGTGTCGCGTAATAACTTCCCCACGGCCGCTGGTTTGGCCTCAAGTGCGGCTGGTTACGCTTGTCTAGTCTACACTCTAGCCTCTTTATATGGCATAGGCGATGAAGAGCTTACAGCAATTGCCCGTCAAGGCAGTGGTTCTGCATGTCGTAGTTTACATGGTGGTTTCGTACGCTGGCATATGGGCAAACTGGAAGATGGTGGTGATTCTGTAGCGGCTCCAGTGGTTTCAGCTTCACACTGGCCCAATATGCATGTTCTTATATTGGTGGTCAATGATGGCCGTAAGAAGACCAGTTCCACTAAAGGCATGCAGCGGGCGGTAGAAACTTCGGATCTTATTAAATATCGTGCTAAATATTGTGTACCACAGCGCATTAATGCCATCACTGATGCTATTAAACAAAAAGATTTTGAAACCTTTGCCAAAATAGCCATGCAAGATTCCAATCAATTTCATGCCATAGCTTTGGATACCTATCCTCCATGTGTTTATATGAATGATGTTTCTCATGCTATAGCCTCATTTGTGCATGCTTACAATACGGCTGTGGGACACACTAGAGTAGCGTACACCTTTGATGCGGGACCAAATGCTTGTTTGTATGTTTTAAAGGAACATGTTCCCAGTTTATTGCAAGCTTTAAATAAATCATTTCCCAATGATAACGCCACCAATGTGGAGTATTTCAAAGGCATACCTATAGATAAGGAGGTTACAGCTAATGCCTCTTCTTCGGCCAATGATGATGATATTATTTTAAATGGCAATTTTTCATTTGCCATTAATGAACGCAATTTACTTAAATACATAATACACACGAAAATTGGTTTGGGACCTCAACGCCTAAACAAAGATGAAAGTTTAATTAATGGCACCACTGGTCTTCCATTATGAATTGCATATCCCCCAAAAAAACCAAACCAAACAAATCAAACCTGCAACTTTAGAGTGAAAAAGAAAAACTAATTAACTTCGAAACAAAGTAACAAAACTTAACTAAAAACGCTTCAACTAGTAAACGATGACAATAACGAAACAATTTTTTTTTTTATACAGAACTTTTAGTATTAAATTAATCAATAAATAAATGATTACGTAGTAATCCTATATCTATATAAATGTTTATATATTTTAATAATATATGAATGAAAAATATATACAAATCATATTTATTGATAATGGATATTTGCAAAAAAAAAAAATTAAAATTGTATTGGAAATACTGGCTTTCCAAGTCACATAATATTTAAGTAGTATAATTTTTTATATTTTCAAGTAAAAAGAATTAAGATTTAAATACAAAACGCTTTGCTTACTTAACTTTTTTTAAAAAATGCTAGATAATATAAATAAAGGAAAAATTATAGTAGATGACAAAGAAAAAGGATATAGATGGTTTTATTTAAAAGAATTGCAGAATCTTTACACCAGGACTATCGCTCTAAATATGTTCTACTGTGTCTAGCTCCTCTTCGTCCTCACACAACCTACAAGACTGCTGTGTGTTAATGACCCAATTACCCAAAAAGGCTCCTATTGTGCGGTCACCGGTTATCACTCCTACCAGAATTCTAATACTAATCCTATCCAAAACCAATAGTAAACTGGTTGACTTGGCCATAAGGCCACACCACACCAGTGTAATCCATCCTTCTTTACCAGGATTGGTTAGAGAAGTTCCGGAATATATCGAAGATTGACCTGTATTAGTGGCAGTTAGGAGGTTTCAGCGAACTAACTCCACTATTAGTGTCCAGATCCGACCTTGTCTGACCAATTCGTCTGCGATCTCATTACCCTGTATAATACAGTGCCCTGTAGAACCCTACACATTCACGAACAGCACCCCTACAGCTATTTACTAATCTGGAATGAACTATTGTCACCACTGATCCATTTCAAATGAGTGTCTTTACCAGATCCATAGCCTCCCAGATCGCTAAGTTTTCTGCCTGGAAAACACTACATTCATCCGGATGTCTATATGACAGACACCTTTATATCGCAATTTACTAAATAAACTCCCGCACCTGTGACGGATTTCATTTTGTTTTCCTCAGTGAAGAATACACACCCTTCAAACAAAACTTCAGATCTACCAGAACTACACCTGAACGCCTAAAGTGTTGCCTGGCTATCAGCATAAATTGCCAACTCCGATTCCCTTCTAATGTATGTCTTTGTCAGTTCCATAGCCTTCCAGATCGCTTATATCTCTGCCTGAAAAACACTGTATTCATCTGAAGTATATTTGACACCTTTATATCGCAATCTAACATTTAAACTCCCACACCTGTGCCGGATTCCACATTTTGGTTCCATCAGTGAATATTTCACATCCTTCAAAAAAAGCTTCAGATCCTATTCATGTGTTCCTACTTGAAAATTCTATTTAGAATGTAGCACCTAAGTCTAGTGTCGTAACTAAATGACCTGAGATACATTTCGTAATCCCTTCACTCGCTGTTACACATACCACGTACAAAATCTTATGGCGTGCTTCCTATACCTTTAAGCTTTGTTGAGTTACATTATATAAGTACTCATCCTCATAGCTACCCTTCACTCTGTGCTTTCGTATGTAATGATAGGCCTTACTAACGACGTGTATATCCAGTTTACCATACAAGGTTGTATTCCCCAAATCTTACCGATGGTGATTCTACATGTTTAATAGGCATTGAGCACCTTTTTTAGCCTTTCCGAGACAATTTTCTGTTAGGGAAGTTACCCATATATGTACTTGGCTCAACGCCGTTCAACTTCGGCAAATTAAAACTTTCTGTCCTATATCTCCCGTTAAAGAGTACTTATTCCGTTTTCCAAGGTTCCACACCCAACCCATTTGTACGGACCCAGTTCGATAAATCGCTAAGTGCCGCCTGCATTTCCCTTAATCAGAATTACGACTGAAAATAGTTGCGTACGCGGAGTACGCAACTGTTTTCCTACCTTTGGATTTGAAGATTTTGAGAATCGAATTAACCGCTATACTCCTGGTAAACCTTTTTCCTAATCCTATCCTCCCCTAAGGTTGAGTTGATAACTCTGTTATCAAATATATAAACTACCCAACTCGCCAGGAAATCCTGGTCCCCGATTGTAACTAACGACTCCTTAATGACCTTATTTCAATATTATTAAAGACTCCTTCTATATACAAAAACGCGGCCAAGGTATACTGTTTGTGTTCTATGTCGTGCCCAATATTACCCACCACCTCATGAAGCGCACTCTCAAGTGACTTACCCTTAAGATAAGCATGTAGAGCATGGTTAATGGGATGGATATAAATATTGCTCCTAACATGAAGACCTATCCGTCACTCAAGAGTCTTCAATAGGAAAAACGATAGACCGATAGGTCTCAAATCCTTCGGTTTAAAGTGACATGACTTACCAGCCATAGCAACCAGCAGATATCCCATCATAACACATCTTTGAAAAATATCGGCTAAAAATACCAATGCTTCGTCAGGAATATTACAGAGCACGGCCGGAAAAACACTATCCGGACCCGGCGAACTACATCCGATTCAAATTTGGGTTGGAAGTCTGAGCAATATTCAAGAATTTATAGACGTCCGTGATTACTCACCATGATTAGAGCACAGTAGGGTAGTTCATCTCTTGTGTAGAGTATTATTAATAAAATCACTTTATTAATTTATGTGTTTTTTTTTTTTTTTAATTTTTATTTGTATCATTAATGTCAATATTACATTTAATAAATTGATTAATATTTTTTTTTTTTTTCTTAATTTCTTTTTTCTCATTTCAATTAATTAATTTTATTTATTGTATGAATCTTTTACTATTTATTTAAATTATTTTTTTTTCTTCTTGTTGTTTGTTTATTTAATAATTTGTTTCTTTAGTATGGAGGATTTTTCATTTAATAAATTCTATTTAAAGTTTATTTGTTTGTTTATGAACTGTTGTTTTTTGGACTAATTTAATAACTTTTTTAATGATTTTTTGTTTAATTATTGTATAAATAACACATGCAATAGTATTTATTGGTTTTGTTGTATAATTTTTAGAGAATGTTTAATTAATTTTTTTCGCTCTTTTTAGTCCTTATTTTGGTTATGTAATTTTTGAATAATTTTTATTGTTTAGAAGGAGAAGAGCATGATGAGTATATTTATTTAAAAATTTAAAACTTAATTATTAAATTTAAGAATGAAATAAATTCCAAAAAAAAAAAAAATATATGAAACGGACAGATTTTTATATATTTTAGGAAAAAATGTTGTGTTTTTTTTTTTTTTTTCTTAATTTAGTAACTAAAATAAGTGTAGAACTTAATTAATTAATTGTTTCTTAACATTTTCTCATAGTTTGCTTAATTATATACTCGTTTGTTTTTTCAATTTTTTTCAATAATTAGGAAATCTAACGTTTGTTTAAGAATAAGTTTAAGAGTATTTTTCTTTTAAATATTTTAATTATGTTTAAATTATAACATTTAACTTTTATATAAATACATATACAATTTTAAATTATTTAATTAATTATTCCTTTTTTTATATACATTTAGAATAGTTTTATATTTTGTTTTTGTTATATACAAAAATAAATTAAAAATTAATAAAAACAATAAGTGAATTAAAACGGGGATTCGAACTCGTGGCCTAATAATATTCTTTAATAATAAAATGATAAATCTGTAGTAATATAACAATAATATTTAAAACTCTAGTTGCTTAACTGAAGCTCAATTTAAACTCCTCTTTATAAATTTCAATACTTTAAAGCCGTTTTAAAGTTAATTTTAAGCCGTTTTAAACTGAGTTTAGTTAAGCTTAATTTTTTGTTTGAAATAATATAGAGATTCTTTAATTGCATTGTCAAATCATTTTGCTGTTAGCTAATTTTAAACCTTTTTTCTATTAATTTCTATAAATTTAAAAGAAATATTAAGCTTTAATCGAAGTTTTGTAATAAATTTGTTCTTTTTTAAGAGTATTTTTCGTTAATATTATAAAAAAATATTTATTTAATTTTTTACTCAAAAATGCTTTAAAAATGTTTGAATATTAAAATTAAATGCTTAAATCAATTGCATTGTTTCGAAAGCTTTAATTGGAATGAAGTTTAAATTAAACATTTGAAACATTTTTCAGAATTTTTAAAAGAATCGGCAAATTTTTAACACCTAGCTAACAAACCTAAAGTTTATTTTATTTGAAAATGTGAAAAAATAGTTTTGTTATGGTAATCTCGTATAAAATGTAAGATCTGGCAACACTGTTTTTTGTTTATTGTTTTCACTTGTCATTAATTTCAACTTTGTTCAAGAACTCGAAAAGGAATGAGCGAGGAAATACTGCAAACTGTAGAGCAGCAAATTAAAGCTGCTTTTCATGAAAATATCTAGAAAAAGCTAAAGATCCAATGGGATCTCCGAGAGATCTAGAGAATGCTTCAAAAGAAGACAGACGACAAAATATAAAGAAAGTGATTCCAAGGGCTACAAAAGAACCAAAAATGTTAGAAGTGGCTACGAGAAAGACTGTAATTGCTCTAAGAGAGCGAATAATCTATATAAAAGAGAAAGTAAAGGCTATAAAATGAAATGGTTTCCAAGACGACCAACCAATTGAAACTTCATTGGAGCTTGAGAATGCTTCAAAAAACTACAAAGCATCGAAATATAAAGAAGAGTTTGCAAAGGAAACAGTGAAAGCTTCATGAGAGTCAAGAAAGGTCGTAAACAAGCCAAAAGAGGTTCCAAGAGAATATAAGGAGTTAAAAACAAGCTTTAAACAACACAAAAGATATTAAAAGCGGCTCTGTGTTAAAAGTGGCTCTACGAGAAGTTGAAAATTCTTCAAAGGAGGACTCGACAATAAAATTTAAAAAAAGAGGTTTCATAAGAAGCAATCGAAGCTGGAAGATAGCTAAAAAATGCCACAAAAGAATCAAAAGAGTTGAAAGTAGTACACGCAAATCTTATATAAACTCTATAAAAGTGGAAGAGATTCCACGAGAGCTTGGAAAGCTGCATTATACTGAAATAAGGTTCTAATAGAAGAAACTGATGATAATAATGAAAGATAGCTAAAAAATGCCACAAAAGAATCAAAAGAGTTGAAAGTAGTTACACGCAAATCTTATATAAACTCTATAAAAGTGGAAGAGGTTCCACGACAGCTTGGAAAGCTGCAGTATACTGAAATAAGGTTCTAATAGAAGAAACTGACGTACAATATGAGCAAATAGAAGTTACATGAGAACTAAAACTAAAAAGATTATGCTCCAAGAGATAAAAAGAATCAGAACGAAAGAACAGACATTTAAAGCTCCACGACAGCAAGGTGTAATAAAAGCTTAAAAATTTCTAAGTGAGCCAAGATAAACGAAGAAAAGATGTATGATAAAACTTGACAATAAGGGTGTGGAAAAATAATGAATATTGGCGCAGCAACGATTACTCCAACCAATGCTAGGTAATCATTCAACAGAAGAGGGATAAATTTAAGAAAGAGGAATTAGAAAAAACAACATAAAACATGTAAACGTATAACGCACCTGAATATGAATTGTTCCTAAAAAGAACCATAAATATGGTAACAAAAATGGCATAAAGTCCAAGATAAACGAAAAGCAAATCATCATATAGAAAGCAGATACCCAACCCCAATAACAGACAACATATAAAACAAACTCAATGTTTCTATATTAGTCCTAAAACTGGATAGAAATGGAACTAAATCAGAGTTATGAGTAACTGTAAGTACTCGTCTATCCATAAAAGTTCAAAGGATAGAGTTAAAAGCAAATATACTGTTAAAGCTAGACGAGGACAACAAATCAATTCACATTTAAATGAATGAAAAAGAGAGGATGAGAAGAAATTGATGGCCTCCGTAAGACCTACAAGGTCTTTTGACAAATTTTCTGAGGATTAACAAACTTCAATCGGTGGTGTAGTCTCTGCTACTAAAAAGCAAGGAAATGGATGAGCGTATTTCAAAACGCTTTAAGGAGATAGTTAAACCTGAACCTACCATTCCGATTATTCATGGGAAAATGGATAGGGTTTCAAATTTTGGAAAACTGATTACTGAGATGACAAATGTTATGAGGGAATAATTTTCTAACAGTAAGAAAACCTTCTATGCTAGAGTATTTGATGACTTCAGGGGAAAGATTAATATGACATTATTTCGTTCTTGATTTCAGATTTCCTAATTACGATTTTCCAATTTCCTGGACTTCTGATCCGATATTGTTGGCTGGCTACTACCACTATCTACGAATTAAGAATTCTGATACCACATCTTCTCATCATGTGTGTTTTCTGTTAAAACAATTTGCGATTCCTACTAACACAAAGGACGCCTATCCAAGGCGTAACTTTTTATGTTGAAATTTCCCCATTTATCTTTCAACTGTCCAACAATGATTCTAACCAATCTTTCTCCCAATGCATTTCAATGCATGCAATTTACGGTTCTTGATCTCAGATTTTCTAATTGCGATTTTTCAATTTCCTGGAATAATGATACAGTAATGTAGGATGGTATTCACCACTATCCGATAATTATGAATATTGATATCACTTCTCCTAAAACGGATATTACATTCAAATCTGAATAAAAATCCTACGGATTTCGTTTGCATTGAGGACAATTTTAGGTTAAGTATTTCATATATGTTAGTGGAATTTTTGTCTCTCTTTTTATTTTTGTTAACAAGTTGCGGCTAGGAAAAGGCTTCGAAGTACCGCACCCTATTGAAGTTGAAGTTTATTGCCAACAGAGAAAAATGTAAGAGTTTTGTCAAGAGAGTTTTCCAGCCAAACTTCAATTTTGCTTGGAAATTTGTCAACAGTCTCTGATCAGACTTATTACGGAAAATGTTTGAATCTGATAGGGGTCAAAGACACTGATTTATAGAATTCATGTAACATTGTTGAGAGTGTAGGTCATTTGATTGTCAGTTTTTCTCTTGATTTTGGTCAAGTCTACGCGCTTTAGTTGGAAATTGGAAGATATTTTTTTGGAGACTTCAGAAAATTCTAGAATTTTTTCTAAATAAAAAAATTGCAACAATTTTCTATAGTAAATATATAGTTGACTATATCTTAAGAAAAAATAGTCGTCCGAATTGAAAAAAATCCAAAATGAATACAAATATAAAACATAAACTAAACTTAACAAGAGTCATAATGGAAGTGTTAAAAAATTTGCCTTAATTTCGATTTTTTTCCTTTAAAATAAATGCAATTGATAAATCACGAATAAAATCATATCAAATGGAAATATTTCTGCAAAACAGTTTGCACATTAAAGCCATATTTCCTTAAAGTATATCGTATTTAAAGCGATATGTTATAAAATTTTTCAACATAAAATTAAAAGCAAATAACTTACGGCGACAACGTTTCTGGGTATTGCGTAAAACACTGGTAGAAGAAGTAGAAGAGGCAGCCAATGACAGACCTTTAAATGAATTAATTGCTGTTGAAGGTTTTGCCAATATTGATTGATGTGGCACATGATGATGATGTTGATGATTGTGATGATATTGTTTCAGATGGTGATGATGTTGAGGCTGATATTGATGATGACATTTTAAATTGCTAAATGTTGTCGTAATACGATTTGTTGATTGATATTTAATATTGCTGTTGTTGTTGTTGTTGTTATTCAAATTGTATTTATTATGTTTGTTGGTAAAATCAGACCATGAAGAGGATGATGAGGAAGATGTATCATATAGAGGAGTTTTATTAACCATACGATTGCACGATTGATGATGATGTTGAGATTGTGATTGATTGTGATTATAAGGAGAAGATGAGTTTGTTATTTTACAGGGCGGTTGCTGCTGTTGCTGTTCATAATATTGATTTAAATTTGTTATATAATAATAATCATTAGTAGCTAACACATCAATTTCAGCATAATTATCATCTTCCTCCTCATTAAGGGTAAGGTCCTCTTTGTTATATTTTGTTTCGGCATTGGTATTATAATACAAATGGTTGTACGAATTCATTTGGTGTTTTATATTGTTCTGTTGTTTGTTTTGTAATAATTTATCAAATCACATGTTTTCATCAAATTTGGCAAAATTTGTATTGTCATCATCCCAACCAGCAGAAGTGCCACCTCCGCCACCTCCATTATTGCCTTGTGAGGAGCCTCCATTATTACCATTGGTTTTATGATTTTCTGTTTTCTCATTTGCCGCCGTAGACGTGCTAACGGCCACGGTGGGAGGACTATTGAAAAATTCATCATCTTCAAAGGGATCTTCGACTTTTTTGGCAAATATATTTACAGATTCGGATTTTTTAATTAAATCCTGTTGACGTTGCTGCAGTTTATTATTGCGTATTTGTTGTTTAGTTGTTTTCTGTATGGACTCTTGCCACTGTTGTACATCATCATTTTGGAAAGCATCAAATGTGGCCTTGGAGAAATCATCTTCGAAGGCATCATCGAATTGTGATACCTTGACATTGTCATCGAAACGTAGTTTGGGTGTACTGGTCTGGGTGTGGGCGGTTTGTGGCGATATGCCACGATTTTCCAAATCATATTGCTGTAGTGATCCAGCCGGAGGATGTTGGAAATGTTTTTCTCTTTCCTGGCCAGCGGAGAAATCATTGGAGAATCTGAATGATGACTTTGAAGCCGGTGTATTGGCTGCACTGACATTGGCCGCTGGTGTTGAATTGCAACTGGAGGCTGTACCAGCTGGAGCTGGCGGTGGTGAGGATTGATTAAAATCAGATTCGAAACCTACATCAAAACTAAATTTGGTGGAACTAGCATTGGGTGTGGCTGTGGGTAAAGCACTACTTGTATTTGATCTGGGAGTGGGAGTCTGTTCATACTCGCCATCGTCTCCGTCATCATCATCAAAGCCATAATCTTGAGGATGTTTAGGTTCGCTAGGTGGTGGCAAAGGTCTTCTTATATAGCCACCCTTGCCTGGCTTACGATAAGCCATGGAACTTATTTGGGTTTGTGATGCTGGTACTTCTTTTCTTCTTCTAACATGGGCATCCATCATGCGATTGTGCATTTCATGGCGTCGCATTTCGAGACGTGCAAATTTGTCCTCATCAGCGGGTGATATTTCATCATGTTCAATGCCATGATCCTCTTCCTCTTCTTCTTCGTCCACATAATCTTCTGCATCGTCATCGAGATCTTCACAAGAGATATAATCGTAATTGCCAGTGCGTCCATAACGTGCAGCACTGCTGGGAATCGCTGGTAAATCCTTATTGCGTGTAGTTCTCTTCTTGCGGTACCTAAGAAATTTTGCGAAAAAGTTAAACCAAATTTGTAAAAAATATGTTACTTTAAATACCTGCGATCTTTATCTTCATCTGAGCCAGAGGGTGTTTGTCCTTTAACAGCTGCTCTGCGCCGCTCGGCCTCAGCAGCACTCGAAGGTCTTTTCCAGGAAGAAGTTTTTTGTCCTGGCAAAGGAGGTTCTAAAACAAACCATAACTTCCTTAGCAATTCATTTGCTTAAATATAAATAGTTTCTTTACTTACCTTCTCCATCCCAGGGTGAAGAACCACTACTCTTGCGAATGCGACTCTGAGAACCCATTACATTGCCACCTACAACACCAACTCCTCCTACCCCTACCCCTACACCACTAACGCCCTGAGTAGTTAATTGACTAGGTCTTTGTAAACTTCGCGTATCACAACGTGATCTCTGATCACGATAATGATATTCCTTTTCAGAATCTTGATCATAATCAATATCACCGGTAACACGTAAAGATTTCAAAGATTTGCGCAAAGAACGACTCTTATCAGCGGTCATAACACAACGTTCGCGACCATGATATTCATCACGACTATCACAACTGCCATAAGGATCAGAGGGAATACCGCCACTATCATAACTGCGACGTCGTCGTCGTGGAGCGACATTAGAGCCTTCATATGACTCAAGACTTTCACGATCAAATGACTTGCGATCACGTTCATACATGTAATCGGCTGTACGTTGACGATGTCCGGGTGGCGAACAACATTCAGCTTTCATTTCTTCATACATGGAGGCCAAATGTGCGGGAATTTTTCCAGAAGCCGCCAACATTTCATCGAAATCATCTAGATTGTAAATGCGTTCGGTAGAGCGAGGATTGGTGTCACCACGATAATATTTACCACGTTTGTCATAGGCACCTCCGCCAGCCGAACGTCTGTCGTAACTGGAGGTGGGTGGTAAAGGTGGACCCACACCTCTCTTGTCGTAAATAGGAGGTCCGTAAGTGGTACGTTCATAAGCCGAGCGTTCAAAGTTGCGTCCTCGTGCCTGTTCAATATCTTGGGAGGACCAAGTGTGATGTGGATGCTGGGGTCCTGCACCATGATGGTGATACCAACCAGGAGAATCTAGAGAAGAGAAACTCAATTACAATCTGTTCTAGTTCAGTTCTAGTTCAGTTCTAGTTCAGTTCTAGTTCAGTTCTAGTTCAGTTCCAGTTCAGTTCTAGTTCAGTTCTAGTTCAGTTCTAGTTCAGTTCTAGTTCAGTTCTAGTTCAATTCTAGTTCAATTCTAGTTCAGTTCTAGTTCAGTTCTAGTTCAGTTCTAGTTCAGTTCTAGTTCAGTTCTAGTTCAGTTCTAGTTCAGTTCTAGTTCAGTTCTAGTTCAGTTCCAGTTCAGTTCTAGTTCAGTTCTAGTTCAGTTCTAGTTCAGTTCTAGTTCAGTTCTAGTTCAGTTCTAGTTCAGTTCTAGTTCAGTTCTAGTTCAGTTCTAGTTCAGTTCTAGTTCAGTTCTAGTTCAGTTCTAGTTCAGTCTAGTTCAGTTCTAGTTCAGTTCTAGTTCAGTTCTAGTTCAGTTCTAGTTCAGTTCTAGTTCAGTTCTAGTTCAGTTCTAGTTCAGTTCTAGTTCAGTTCTAGTTCAGTTCTAGTTCTAGTTCAGTTCTAGTTCAGTTCTAGTTCAGTTCTAGTTCAGTTCTAGTTCAGTTCTAGTTCAGTTCTAGTTCAGTTCTAGTTCAGTTCTAGTTCAGTTCTAGTTCAGTTCTAGTCAGTTCTAGTTCAGTTCTAGTTCAGTTCTAGTTCAGTTCTAGTTCAGTTCTAGTTCAGTTCTAGTTCAGTTCTAGTTCAGTTCTAGTTCAGTTCTAGTTCAGTTCTAGTTCAGTTCTAGTTCAGTTCTAGTTCAGTTCTAGTTCAGTTCTAGTTCTGTTTTATTTCAGTTCTAGTTCAGTTCTAGTTCAGTTCTAGTTAAGATCTCGTTCAATTCAAGGTCTATACTTCTTAACCACAACTTACCCATATCGAAATTATCTCTACTTCTGCTCAAACTGTGTTTATATTTACACTGATCCCTTTCCCGTCGGCTAGAGGGATAATCTTGTTCATAACTACAAAAACCAAAAGATATTAGGAAATCTTCAAACTTTTCTTCTCTGAACAATATCTACTTACTCATATTCATCATCACAGGAGTTCATGCGTCTAGCATGACGTCTATAATAGCCATGACGGTCAGTCGTTAGACTACCTTGCATTTGACCCGACAAACGTTTACTTTGAGGATAATCCATTATATGAGTTGGCGGTATACTACCTTGATCCTCATCCCAGCTTAAATCCCGCGATGAGGAAGAAGTATTCTGTCGTTCTTTCTTATGATAACGTCGTTGCCCTGAAGTGCTGCCGCCCAGAGGGGCACCCTGATGGCCCAGCGATAGACTACTACCACCCATGGTGTGTTTATGCCAAGCTTCTTCTCGAGGATCCGAAGAACAAGGCGATTCTATGGCACTATCGTTTTGTGAACAATTCGAAATGGAACCGGGAGGTGGTGGTAAGTTAAGGAAATTATTGGCTTTATTAACAAGTTTAGCTGAAGGTCTGGCACGTTTATCGGACGATACTGCAACTGGTTGATGTTGTGGTGTATCAAAAGTGGCCCAGGAATCATTGGAAGTCTTTGAGACACCATCATTTTGTATTTGTTTGGTAGCAGCATCGATTATTTGTGAAACCACTGTAAGTTGAGAGGGTAGTGGTGAGACTTGTTGAGGGGATTTGTTGCTATTGGGCGATTTACTTTGTAGGCCAGTTAGTGTTGGTAATGGGGACCTCTGCAGAGGTATGGGTGAAGTGCTGACATCATTGAAATGTGGTGGCGTCATGGTTGTCGTAGTTGTATGCGTATTTTGTTGTTGAGGCTGTATAGCAGGAGAGTTGCGCTCTCTGGAGTCTAAAGACAAGTTAGAAATGGCTCTATGCATTAAATCATCAATTTCCAAATCATCTTTAGAACCCGATAGACCCGAAGAAGCCACACTAACCACCGATAAATATTTACCCTCATTGCTAGTGGGCATTTGACTTTGGGTAATACTAATCTGAGGGTTATCGTCATATTTTTCGGGTTTTTCCTCAATTTCCTCCAATTGTTGATTAGAACTGGCCAATTGTTCATATTTTGTTGTGGGTAAGGTGTCTTTATCCTGTTCCTTTTCATTGCTATCGGCACTGCTTAAACCACCCGCCTCTTCGCGTGTATTATTACGGCGTTCTTCTTCCTCCTCCTCATCATCTTCATCTTCCTCCACGGTGATGGCTGATGAGGAGGGTTCTACTAGAAAGCCTCTACTATCCACTAAACCCAGTCTTTGCTGCTGAGTAGTGACATCTAATGTTGATGCTTGGTCCATTAGTTGCCGTAAGTCTTGATCTTCTTCGTCATCGTTAAAACCACCAAATCCCTGAAAGGGTGACTTGTTACTATCACTTTGCCCTCCCACTTCCATATCACCGCTTATGGAAGACGGTTTGGGCGGTGGTTTATCAAAGAGATTTTCCACCAATATTAAATCACGTAAGGCGGCATAACGATCCTTGGCCTGGGCCAATACCTCTGTGATTTTCGTATCTATTTTGGGTGGTTGAGGTCCCGAAACTTCTAACATATCACCACTTAAAAGATCTTGTTGTTGTGTCACATTCATGTCTAAGTCCACCGTTAAGGTGGACGTTTCAAATTGCTTTTCATCTGTTACCTGGGGAATTTCACCTTCCATAACATCTCCTATTAGATCAACACTTTCCTGTTGTTGCTGTAGTTCTTGATCAATAATTTCACGAAAAACAGCATAACGATCGGCTGGAGGCACCATATTGGTGTTTGGATTAATGGCCTGCACTGGAGGCTCCACACTAACACTATCAAATTGGGCAAAATTGGCTTCAAATGTATGGGCCGCCCCGCTGGAGGTCTGTTGATGAAAATCTTCTCCGAATGTATCATCAAATTTCGCCACAAATGTTGCCTCTTGATCAAAATTCACCTTAAATATGGGCGGTGTGTTTTGATGTGTTTCCTCTTGAGAGGTTTCCACTTTATGGGCTTCCACTTTTGAGGGTTTATTTTGTTCGAGGAATTCCGAAAGATACGAAGTCAATTCTACTAAAGTCATGGTAGAGAGTTTGCTCGTAGGCACATTTAATTTTACCGCTAATTCATCGATACCCAATGTTAAAAGTTGTGTTAGGGTTATATCAGGAACTATGGCTGCTGTAGCAGGATTGTTATGATCCAAGATGTTTTGCTGTTGTTGCTGCTGCTGCTGTTGTTGCAACTGTTGAAGTATTTCACTTTTATTTTCGTAAATTTCATGAGCTTTATTTTGCTGATTAAGCGATTGTTGCCTTTGAGTTCGGGCGCGTGAAGATGTTTGTGTGGGAGGCGGCAATAAGGGAGGCACATCTGACATTATGCTGGTATTAGCTGTAGAGGAGCTAACGCCTGTCGAGGATCCAAGCAAAGAGATGGGGGCCAAATAATCATCTTCCGTGTGACCAGGTTTGCGTGGCCTACCCGGTCCGGGATAAGAGCCATCGGTACGTCCTACTCGGCGTGAAGGCAACGGTATAGGAGGCACATCTGTGTTACTAGAACGTCCTGTTAAGGTTTTAGAGGTTAGCACGGAATTAAGACTATCATAACGATTGCTGTTTATTGATTGATTTCCGGTTGTAGAACTTAAGCTGTGACTGGGACCGTTACGCGATCTAATGACAAAATCGTTGAATTGCTTTTTAGGCGGCAGAGGTGGAGGTTCAACACATATGCCATAATCGGGTCGAGGTGGTGGTTCAGGAGCGGTTTCGGTTTCACTTAGTGAATCAGACTCCTGTAGACGTCTCATGTTAATGGAATTCGAATCCCGTTTGGAAAATCTAGACGATTGTCCAAATAAATGCGGCATTTTCTTATTCGATATGCTGGAAATCACATCGACTGTTTGCTGTTTCAACATAGAAGCAGGAGGTAGTGCCGATGGCCCTGATGCCGGTCCTAATCCCACACCACTTGAGGCAGTTGTCATAGCAGAGGGTACTGGACGTGATCTTACCGTGCTAGTAGTTTGTGTTGTATCTCCCTCAGGTGGTAAATTCACTTGCAAATGTCCAGCCAATAGATCTTGTGTAGCAGGAGGAGCAACACTACTAACCGCCGCCAACTGGTCTGTTACTGAGGTCGTTAGAGAAGTGGGTGCTTTTCTTAGATTATCCACTTCGGCAATATTACTGCTGAATTCAAATTCGAAAGGATCCAATTTTGAAAATAAATCACCACCTTCTTCAAAGGGATCACTTTTCTTGCGAGTGGGCGAAAAGGGGTCAGTGTCACGAGGCAACATAACGGGATCGGCGTCACTGGCAGCAGCAGTGGAAACGGCAACTGGTTCTAGAGGAGGATGATAGCGAGAAAAACGTAATGTTTGATTAGTTTGATTCATAGCAGTTGAATTCTGAGTAGTTGTAGTTGATGATGTTGTTGTTGTAGTAGTAGTTGTTATTGTTGTGTTGGTCGTGGTGGTAGTGGTGGTGGTGAAAGTTAATGATGATAATGATGATTTGTTTGTTGTTATTATTGATGGAGATGAAGAAGCATTAGTTTGCAAAGGAGCAATAGCTGGCTTTTGAAACGCTACTAAGACACGCTGATGATGATCTTGACCACTAGCACCAACACACCCACTAGCACCACCACCACCACCACCTTCACCAGAACTACCCATATTCATGGCCATACTCAGAGGCATGTACATGGGCAATGGCATTGTTTTAGATGTTGATGATGATGATGATGGTTTCGATTGATGATGAGTTGTTAGTAAGAGACTACTACTACTAGTTGTATTTCTATTGTTATTGCTGTTGTTAATTGTATTACTATTGTTACTAAGGTTAGGAATATTACTGTTAATCTTATTATTATTGTAATTAGTATTATTATTATTAGTAGTAGTGGTAGTAGTATATTTTTTAGTATTAGTTGATGCATTAGTTGTTGTACATGATGTTACAATTATGGAGGTGGGACAAGTGCATATTAAAGAAGTTGCTGTACGAGTAAAAGCAGAAATATTAGAAGTGCTAGTGTTGGCAGAAGCACAAGAGGAAGAAGCTGATATGCTATTCTTAATATTAGATACATTTACATTTAAATTAGTTGTGGCACAAATTGTGTTTATGGTGTTAATGTTGGTGGCTGTAGCGGTGGCGGTAGTAGTGGAAGTGCTAGTAGCAGTAGCTGCTAAGGAGGCATGAATATTATAGCTAGTTTTGGTAGCAGTGCTAGTGACAGATGAGGCAATAGCAATTCTATTATTATAAATATTAGCAGTAGTAGTAAAGTTAGTAGAACTAGTAGCAATTTGATTACTATTACTAGCAGTAGAAGGGTTTGGAGTAATAGTAATAGTAGTAGAGTTAGTACCTGTTGTTGCCAGGTTAATTATATTATTGGCTGTTGTTGTTAATATGGTTGCAGTTGGTATTATTGCTGCTGTTGTGTTTGTTAGTAAAGTATTTAAATTGGTAGCAGTTATAGAGGAAGAGGAGGAGTTATTTGCGGCACTTGTCATTTTATAAGATTGCTGTTGTTGTTGCTGATATAGTTGCTGTTGCTGATATTGTATTGTTTGCAATTCAAAATCGCCTAAATTTAAAATGTCCTCTGTTGCCATAACTGTTGCTGTAATACTTTTATTTGTAAGATTTTCCGGCATTAAATTGTTAACTGTCGTCATGGTCGGCGCTGCAGTCGTAGCCATCATTAGGGACGCTGCTGTAGCGGTAGCAGTGGTTGCTGTTTGATTATTTGTCGTTAGATCTTTGAGTACTTTTTTAGGTGGATTTTTAAGCTCTTGAAAAAAGTATTTCTTATCCACGTAAGGTCTGGTGCGACCAGTACCTAAGGGATCCAAATCTGTAAAAGCATCTGATCAATTTGGACAAAAGGACAACAAAACACAATCATCAATAAAGCTTTATTGTTTCTATTTTGTTTATTGTTTTTTTTTTTATCTATTGTTTTTTTGTTTTAACCACGAAACAGCGTTATTTCTTTTTTTTTAATTGTAAAACAAATAAAACACATACAATAGTATAAAATAGTTCTAGAAATGTACTCATTGATTTGATTTTGGTTTGGGTTGGTTGGTTCATTGACTGATTGATTGATCGGTTTGATAGTTTCAGTGGTTAAGTGATAGTGGACAATGTGCTTGTGCAAGTATTGTAAACATTGTGTTAAAAACCAATAAAAAAAATTAAGGAAATAATAAAAGGATTTATGTAAAAAAAATAAAAGAAAATCTTTCCGATCATGTTACCTCATTTGTATTTTAGTCCATAGTATAGTAAATAGTCCAATCTATAGTCTAGTCTATAGTCAAATCAATAGTCTAGACTATAGTCTATAGCCTAGTGTATAGTCTAGTCTATAGTCTAGTCTATAGTCTAGTCTATAGTCTAGTCTATAGTCTAGTCTATAGTCTAGTCTATAGTCTAGTCTATAGTCTAGTCTATAGTCTAGTCTATAGTCTAGTCTATAGTCTAGTCTATAGTCGTCTATAGTCTAGTCTATAGTCTAGTCTATAGTCTAGTCTATAGTCTAGTCTATAGTCTAGTCTATAGTCTAGTCTATAGTCTAGTCTATAGTCTAGTCTATAGTCTAGTCTATAGTCTAGTCTATAGTCTAGTCTATAGTCTAGTCTCGTCTAGTCTATAGTCTAGTCTATAGTCTAGTCTATAGTCTAGTCTATAGTCTAGTCTATAGTCTAGTCTATAGTCTAGTCTATAGTCTAGTCTATAGTCTAGTCTATAGTCTAGTCTATAGTCTAGTCTATAGTCTAGTCTATAGTCTAGTCTATAGTCTAGTCTATAGTCTAGTCTATAGTCTAGTCTATAGTCTAGTCTATAGTCTAGTCTATAGTCTAGTCTATAGTCTAGTCTATAGTCTAGTCTATAGTCTAGTCTATAGTCTAGTCTATAGTCTAGTCTATAGTCTAGTCTATAGTCTAGTCTATAGTCTAGTCTATAGTCTAGTCTATAGTCTAGTCTATAGTCTAGTCTATAGTCTAGTCTATAGTCTAGTCTATAGTCTAGTCTATAGTCTAGTCTATAGTCTAGTCTATAGTCTAGTCTATAGTCTAGTCTATAGTCTAGTCTATAGTCTAGTCTATAGTCTAGTCTATAGTCTAGTCTATAGTCTAGTCTATAGTCTAGTCTATAGTCTAGTCTATAGTCTAGTCTATAGTCTAGTCTATAGACTAGTCTATAGTCTAGCCTATAGTCTAGTCTATAGTCTAGTCTATAGTCTAGTCTATAGTCTAGTCTATAGTCTAGTCTATAGTCTAGTCTATAGACTAGCCTATAGTCTAGTCTATAGTCTAGCCTATAGTCTAGTCTATAGTCTAGCCTTAGTATAGTCTAGTCTATAGTCTAGTCTATAGTCTAGTCTATAGTCTAGTCTATAGTCTAGTCTATAGTCTAGTCTATAGTCTAGTCTATAGTCTAGTCTAGTCTAGTCTAGTCTAGTCTATAGTCTAGTCTATAGTCTAGTCTATAGTCTAGTCTATAGTCTAGTCTATAGTCTAGTCTATAGTCTAGTCTATAGTCTAGGTCTATAGTCTAGTCTATAGTCTAGTCTATAGTCTAGTCTATAGTCTAGTCTATAGTCTAGTCTATAGTCTAGTCTATAGTCTAGTCTATAGGTCTAGTCTATAGTCTAGTCTATAGTCTAGTCTATAGTCTAGTCTATAGTCTAGTCTATAGTCTAGTCTATAGTCTAGTCTATAGTCTAGTCTATAGTCTAGTCTATAGTCTAGTCTATAGTCTAGTCTATAGTCTAGTCTATAGTCTAGTCCATAGTCTAGTCTATAGTCTAGTCTATAAGTCTAGTCTATAGTCTAGTCTATAAGTCTAGTCTATAGTCTAGTCTATAGTCTAGTCTATAGTCTAGTCTATAGTCTAGTCTATAGTCTAGTCTATAGTCTAGTCTATAGTCTAGTCTATAGTCTAGTCTATAGTCTAGTCTAGTCTAGTCTAAAGTCTAGTCTAAAGTCTAGTCTAAAGTCTAGTCTATAGTCTAGTCTATAGTCTAGTCTATAGTCTAGTCTATAGTCTAGTCTATAGTCTAGTCTATAGTCTAGTCTATAGTCTAGTCTATAGTCTAGTCTATAGTCTAGTCTATAGTCTAGTCTATAGTCTAGTCTATAGTCTAGTCTATAGTCTAGTCTAGTCTAGTCTATAGTCTAGTCTATAGTCTAGTCTATAGTCTAGTCTATAGTCTAGTCTATAGTCTAGTCTATAGTCTAGTCTATAGTCTAGTCTATAGTCTAGTCTATAGTCTAGTCTATAGTCTAGTCTATAGTCTAGTCTATAGTCTAGTCTATAGTCTAGTCTATAGTCTAGTCTATAGTCTAGTCTATAGTCTAGTCTATAGTCTAGTCTATAGTCTAGTCTATAGTCTAGTCTATAGTCTAGTCTATATAGTCTAGTCTAGTTATTATCTATATTCTAGTCTATAGTGTATTCTGAACCTTATTCTATACAATAGTGTATATTCTAATATGTAAGTAGTCAAGTGACACAAATTCTCAAAGTATGTATAAAGATCCTTACGAAAAATTTATCAAGTTGGCAGCATATAAACAGTCCATTTTTCTGGAATTTAAAACATCTGACAGACGAAGTGATAATTTCTTAAATCGAACTAATACGGAGCAGCAACTTAATACATCTTCACATAACTTATGTACATTTCTTAAACAGTAAAGTGTTAGAATTCTCCAAAATCTATATACATTCTTATGACACCAAATTTGTTCATTAGTTATAGAAAAGTCCATTAGAATCGAAATTATAAGAGGAAAATATGATACAATTGTAAAAAACACAAAAAGCAGTTGAAAAGATAAAAAACATGATTGGTTAAAGATTGTTAGATTGTTTGTTATTGTTATTGTTTGTGGTTGTTAATTGGGTTAGTGAAAATATAAAAAACAACACTCAACTTAAATAACTACTTAAATTCAATATTAACTTCAACGTAAAGCCGTTAATAGAAAACAACAAATGCAACATAACTTAACAACTTACCCGATTTAATATCAAGTTTAGAATTTTGTGTTGACTCTGCAGCAGCCGTTTGAAATATATCGGAGAGACTAGAACTATTGGCTAAATTATTTGGGTTGTTTGTATCAGCTGCATTGTTGTTAGTCACATTATTGCTAATACTTGAAAGTTCGGCCATGTCGTTTGGCACGTTATTGGCGGAACAAGATACTGTCTCATAAATATGATTGGGTGGTGTATCGGATGATTCCCGGGCGGCTAAAGGAGCACGTGAAGCTAGAGGTACGGCACTAGACAAAGTACTGGCTAAGGGAGGCATTCCCATTAAACCCGGCACTACTGTTTTAGAGGTATCAAAGACATCACTGTGAGCATCTAGTTCGCGTAGCCAATGATCGTCATCATCATCTAGGGGTTGTAAATTAACTGTTGTCGTAGTAAGACCTGTAGAGACGGGTGTTAGACGTGATTGCGTAGCAGTGGGTGAAAGTAAAGAGGAATTACCGGCTGTGGTTGTAGGTATGTTGGTGATGTTAATGTCATTGGGTTTAGTGGTAGTTTTACTACGCAAACGTCCCGGCTCGGGAGGTGGTAAGGTCTACAGGGGATAAAACAGGCATTAATAAGGATTCTAACTTTATAGCAATAGAAAAAGTTCTAATATATACCGGAAAGCTAGTAAAGGAATCACCAAAAGGATCATCACTACCGCCAGCACCACCACCACTGCTACCACTCATAGCAGTGCTGGTTTTAGCAGCGTTAGAGGTCAACGAGGAGGTTTGTGTTGTATGAGCATCATTAGGTGTTATACGTTCCATTTGCGTAATACCTCTTTGCAAAGAACTAAGCTCTTGTTCTAAGTCAACCAAATCAGCCACCGACTCGGGAGAAATCTACAGTAAAAACATTTTTTAAAATAAAATTCATTATAAAATTAAATAACAACAACAGCTTCACCTCTTTGGAAGCTCCCTTAGAATCCAAATTAACACCCAAACGACTGGTATTTGGTGTATTTGTTGAACTACTAACCATGGTATTCAACATGCTAAGTGTAGCAGCCGATGTTGTTGAACCTCCTAAAGCCGATAAATCATTTTGTCCTCCTGTTCCGGCTGCTGCACTCTTCAGTGATGACAGGGAGGACAACTGATGTTGTGTATCATGATGATGTAACGATTTCGATTGTATCTGTTGACGGGCCAATTCAATTTCTTTTTTCTTCAATTCAAATACCACCTGGAAAAGATCACGCATTGCTAGCACCACTTGTGAAGCAGCCTTATCCGTTTTAATGCCAAAGAAACGATGGCCACTATCAGGTGAGCCAAATATATAACCAAATGCACGTGAATCTGTCATATCTTGTGCTATAAATGAGATCTTGTGTACAGGATGATGATATAGTGAATCACCAGTTTTCTCATCTCTCAGTCGCAAACCGTCAATGGTGACATGTATGGTTATGCGTTGCTTGTGTTCGCCGGCGGCTCGTATGGCCATTTTTAGATCTTGTAAGGCCTCTTGACACATGCGATCGCCACGTGCCTCGCCCACCTCCAAGATGCCAATAAGTTTGGCTTTGAATTGCACGCCATCGCCGAAAAAACGCCCCGGATCATTGCGATCTAAAAAGAGAAAATAAAGTTAGTTTTGTATTAACAATGAAGATATTTTAAGAAATGTTTGTTTGTCTATTCGATAGTTTAATTAGAAATCTAGTCTATAGTCTAGTCCATGGTCTAGTCTATAGGCTCGTCTATAGTCTAATCTAGTCTATAGTCCAGTCTATACTCTAGTATCTAGTCTAGTCTATAGTCTAGTCTATTGTCTAGTCTATAGTCTAGTCAATAGTCTAGTCTATAGTCCAGTCTATAGTCTAGTCTATAGTCTAGTCTATAGTCCAGTCTATAGTCTAGTCTATAGTCTAGTCTATAGTCTAGTCTATAGTCCAGTCTATAGTCTAGTCTATAGTCTAGTCTATAGTCTAGTCTATAGTCTAGTCTATAGTCTAGTCTATAGTCTAGTCTATAGTCTAGTCTATAGTCTAGTCTATAGTCTAGTCTATAGTCTAGTCTATAGTCTAGTCTATAGTCTAGTCTATAGTCTAGTCTATAGTCTAGTCTATAGTCTAGTCTATAGTCTAGTCTATAGTCTAGTCTATAGTCTAGTCTATAGTCTAGTCTATAGTCTAGTCTATAGTCTAGTCTATAGTCTAGTCTATAGTCTAGTCTATAGTCTAGTCTATAGTCTAGTCTATAGTCTAGTCTATAGTCTAGTCTATAGTCTAGTCTATAGTCTAGTCTATAGTCTAGTCTATAGTCTAGTCTATAGTCTAGTCTATAGTCTAGTCTATAGTCTAGTCTATAGTCTAGTCTATAGTCTAGTCTATAGTCTATCTATAGTCTAGTCAATAGTTAGTCTATAGTCTAGTCTGTAGTCTAGTCTATAGTCTAGTCTATAGATTATTGTATAGTCTAGTCTATAGTCTAGTTTATAGACTAATCTATAGTCTAGTCTATAATCTAGTCTATAGACTAATCTATCGTCTAGTCTATAGTATAGTCTATCGACTAGTCTATAGACTAATCTAGAGTCTAGTCTATAGTCTATTTTATAATTTAGTCTGTATTTTGGCCGCAAGTCTAATCTATAGTTTAGACTATAGTCTTGTCTATAGTCTAGTCTAATCTTTATTTAAATCTCAAGTCTATAGCATAATCTATATTCTAGTTTGAAGTCTAGTTTATAGTCTACTAAAGTCGAATCTACAGTCTAATTATACGTCCAGTCTGTAGTGTAGTTTTCAGTCCAGTCTTTAGTCTAGTCTTAAGTTTATTCTGTTGTCTAGTCTATAGACTAATATATACTCTATTCTAGACTCGATAATCTTTTCTTAGTCTAGACTATGATCTAGTCTATATTTCAATCTATACTGAAGACTATTTCTATAGATTAATATAACTTCCATTGTTTACATCAATTATATATATAATATTGAAAATTTTTTATAAAATCACACAATTTTCTTAATTGAACTCAAAAAATGAAATAAATATAAATTTTCCACAAACAATTTATAATTTCCTCCAAAAAATCAATTGATGATTTCATTACAAATTGTTTAATTACAAAGCGCATTACAAATAAATGCTCCAAATCCCTAGAGAATAAAATATATAATTTAGCAATAAATAACGCGAAAAAGAAATAAAGAAACAAAATAATTCAAATAAACATTTACATTTTAAATAATTATCCCCAGAGATGGCGTTGGATGTTGACGATGACGATGCTGTAGAAGAGGCTGCATTATTATCATGATGATGTTTTCCATGACTGCTACCGAAACTACTGGCAATTGATAAAGTGGAGGAGGCAGACGATAATTTGGATACCAATGATTTAACCATAATGATGCGACAAATGAAACTGATACTGAGAAATAAAATAACAATTGCCACTGTATGCCTGCCTGCTTGGCTACACTTAAACAGTATCTACTACTGTGAAGAGTGATGATGGGACCTACTACTAGAGCAGTAGTGGCACAAATGATGTGATTTTTGTTGGGTTTTCTGTACGTTATCGCGTCTTCTTAGTTTTTGTATATTTATTTTAATGAAACAGCAATTGCGGCAATTGAATTAAACAATCATAACGAAAAAAATACTACAATAACAGCAACAAAAAAAGCAACAGCCGCACCAGAAATAACAATAACATTAAATAACAATGTAGTTTGAATGGCTGATGTTTGATACTGTTTCTGGCCTGCTCTCTGAGGAGAATTTGTTTGAAAATTTGCGTTTGCAATATGAATGCTAAAGTGTATGAGTGATTGCTACACCTGGGTTTGGCGGGCCACAAGTGGGGTGTTTGGTTTGATGCCAGTTGTTTTTATTATATTTCTATGCTATATTTGCTTTAAATGCTGGACAATACTGTATTGATGAGTATTAAATCAGGTCCAAGCCCATCATCAATTTGTTTTTCAATACATGTTCGTTTAGTTTTTTTTTACACTAAACTATTTGTGTTTATTGTCTTTGTTGTTGTTGTTGTTTCTTTTGCCATACATATTCTTTATGTATCTGCATCATTTACTAAATAGTTTTACGTTTTCCATCACCACCAGACACACATTTTTTCTCTGTTTGTTCATTTTTATTCTAAATGTTTTCACTTATTGTTATTGTAGTCTATTTGACTTTTACGCCATCACCACCTCCTCCTCCTCCAGCTCTTACTAATTGTTGTTTTCAATAACTGGTCTATTTTATTTATTTTTTCTATTTTCTTTAACTATCCAATTGATTAGAGATTTTTTTGCGTTTTTGTTTGTTTTTATTCTATTTCTATTTTGGATGATCTCAACCGCATTATATTGTTTAATATTCTCTTTTTCTATTTATTCTTCACATAATTTATATATTTTTATTTACAATTTCTTTATTTAGCTTTATTTTTTATTTAAAATAAATTATTAAACACCATTAAATTGCAGCTGCCTTTTTAACATCTATTGTTTGTTCGTTTTGTGCGGTTGTTTACATTTTTGCAACAAAAAAATGCCTAAAAATAATAACACAGAGTTGTAAAAAGTTGTAATTCCACTCAATTTTCGACTCATTTGTTTGATGAGCAGCTTGTTGAACACACAAACATGTGTATTATTGATGGATTTAATTCGGTTTGAAGAACCCGCAAGCAAATTGCAAAAAAAATAAAACTATCTAAAACCCGCAACAACAAAAACAAAACAATTTCACAGCAACTAATTTTTGTATATGTTTCACAACAATTGCATTCGAAAATATTAGAGTTGCCAGGAATATGTTTTAAGTAGCGCCCATAGAAATGCTGTCAGGTGGTTTAAAGTAAATAATACTTAATCACGATCGCTAAAATTCCGTTACAATTATTTAAAAATTTAATTTTTTCGTATCAAAAATGTTAGTCGTTTCATTGAGCAAATATATAAGAAATATATATATTTTACATTTAAATTAGATTTGTTTTTTAGAGACATTTTGCAATTCATTTATTTTATATAAAAAATTTTGAATTAACTCTTATTTTGTAGAAATATTTTCTAGTTAATTTTTTGTTGAAATATTTTTAAATTAAATTTTGTTTAAAAAGATTTTCAAATTGAAAATTATCTAGAAAATATTTAAATAAGTTTTATATTTTTATAGAAAAGCTTTCTAATCAAACTTTTTTTAATAGAAACATTTACGATTTGATTTTTTGTAGAAAATATTTGAATAAAAATTTATTTATAATATTTTTTTTCAATAAACTTTATCGAAATAATCGTTCTTTTTAAAAATATTCAAATCATAAAATTTTTCGAATAATTTTTTTATAGAAAATTATAGAATTGAAATATTGTACAGAAAAATTTTCTTTATAAAAAAAATTTTTGATAAATTTATTTCAAAAAAATAAAATTAAATAATTTCATAAAAAAATTTAAAAATTTTTTTAATAAAATTTTGTTAAAAAAAGTTTTAAATTGAAAATTCTACAGATAAATATATGAATTAATTTTTTCAAAAAAATGTTTAAATAACATTTTTGAAACAGACTAATTTTAACTAAAATTTTTAGAGAAATGTTTTTGAATTAAAATTTTAAAACTAAAATTTTGTATAGAAAAACTTTCTAATCAAACTCTTGTTAATAGAAACATTTTCGAATTGACTTTTTATAGAAAAATATTTAGATAAAAATTTTTTTATAGAAAAATATTTCAATACTATTTTATCAAATTAATAGTTCTTTTTAAAAAATATTTGAATCAAATTTTTATTATTATATAAACATTTTTGAATATTTTTTTTATAGAAAAATTATAGAATTAAAATTTTTTCTTATAGACAAATTTTTCGCATTATCATTTTTTAATATAAAATTTTCGTAATAAAAAATGTTCAAATTTAACCAAATTAAATATTGATTTAAAATTATAAAAAATTTTAAATAGAAAATGAATAAATATTTTTATAGAAATTTTTAGATATTTTTATAGGTTACTTTCAATTTTGAATATTTTTAAAGAAAATGTTAAATTTTGAATATTTTTATAGAAAATGTTAAATTTTGTATATTTTTTATAAAAAATTTTAAACTTCGAATATTTTTACATAAAATTTTAAATATTTTTAAAGAAAATTTTCAATTTTGAATACTTTAATAGAAAATTTTCAATATTGAATATTTTTATAGAAAATTGTAAATTTTGAATATTTTTATAGAAAATTTTAAATTTTAAATATGTATTTTTAAAGAAAATTTTCAATTTAAATACTTTTATAGAAAATGTTAAATTTTGAATATTTTTATAGAAAATTGTAAATTTTGAATACTTTTATAGAAAATGTTAAATTTTGAATATTTTTATAGACAATTTTTAATTTTAAATATTTTTAAAGAAAATTTTAAATTTTGAATACTTTTATAGAAAATGTTAAATTGTGAATATTTTTATAAAAAATTTTAAATTTCGAATATTTTTATAGAAAATTTTCAATTTTAAATATTTTTATAGAAATTTTTCAATTTTGAATATTTTATAGAAAATTTTCCATTATTATATTTTATAGAAAATTTTCCATTTTGAATATTTTTATAGAAAATGTTAAATTTTAATATATTTATAAATATTTTCAGTATTGAATATTTTTATAGAAAATGTTAAATTTTTAATATATTTATAAAATATTTTTAGTATTGAATATTTTACAGAAAATATATCCTTTTAGAAAATTGTAATTTCATAGAAATTTTTTAAATAGAAAATTTTAAGTATTGAAAAACTTTCATTGAAATTTTTCAGTATTGAAAGTTATTAAGCAGACATTTTACAATTTAAATTTTTTTTTTTTAACAGAAAATTTTCTGTATTTCTAACACAAATTTTCAATATTGTATATGTTTTTATAGAAAACAGTCTGTAATAAATATTTTTCTATAGAAAATTTTCAGTTTTCAAAATTTGTTTGTAGAAAATTTGCAGTATAGAATATTTTTACAGAAAATTTTGAGTATTTATTGTTTTAACAAAAAATTTCAGTTGTTAAAAATGTTCATAGAAAATTTTCAGTATAAAATTTTTTATAAAAATATTCAGTATTGAAGGGATTTTTATAGAATATTTTCAGTTTTGAATAGTTCTTTTTTTATAGAAAATTTAAAATTATTATTATAGAAATTTTAAAGTTTTTAAAATTTTGTATAAATAATTTTCAGTATTGAATACATTCTTATAGAAAATTTTCAGTATTCAATAGTAGCAAAATATGAGGAGTATTGAATAGTTTCATATAGAAAAATTTTAGTATTCAATAGTTTCTAATAGAAACTATCAGATTCTCATAAAAAATGTTCATTATAGAATATTTATGTTTAGTATTGAATATTTCTAGTAGACATTTTTCAGTTTTGAAAATTTTTTATAGAAAATTTTTAGTATTAAAAAGATAATTTGAAAAAATTTTCAGTATTTAATAGTTAGAAAATGTTCATTATTGAATATTTTTATAAAAAAACTTTCAGTATTATAGAAAATTTATGATATTTAATAGTTTATTATAAAATTTTTCGCTATTGAATATTTCCTAATAGAATATTTCTGTTTTGAACTTTTTTTTTATAAAAACATTTTCAGTATTTAATAGTTTCTTATAGAAAACTTTGAGTTTTGAATTTTTAATAGAAAATAAATATAAAAAAATTTGGCCTAAATTTTATCTTAATTATATATTTTGCATACACTGTAATTAGAACTGAAAACGAAAACGGTTCCATATTTTCGGACTAAAAAAATGTCATTACAGAAATCGGCTGAGGTAATTTTCAATGATATATCACCAGTCTCCAATAAAATACTATTAATTTTAATTCGATACGTTCCTAAATGAAGCAAAAAACAATACTGAACTAGACAGCGACGAACAGCGACGTTTTTCAGTTTTCGTTTTCGGAAAACTGTTTTTCAACAAATGAAAAACATTAACCTTTCATCTGTTCTATTCATCAGAATGCACTTAATATGATTTTAATCAAAGAATAAACAAGAAGTGAAACGCTGTCATTTTTTTACAACAATAACATTACGCTCTTCTCACAGACGAGTGCTGTGTAAATCCAACACATATGTAAAAATTTTATTCTCTCTCCAAACTTCAAAACTTTTTCGCGAAAATTTGAGGATAATAGCACTTTGAAATATTTTTTATCACTTAACATTATATTTTATTATTTTTTTGCACAATTTAAACACATTTAATAGCCCGAAAATAATATATTTTTTACAAACGAAAAAAAAAAATATTTTTTGTTTTTTTGACATTGAATTTTTGTTGTTTGAAATTAAAACTAAAAAAAAACAATGTTGTAAATTTTCGTATGGTAAACGAAAAAGATATTTCAAATAAATAATTTATTTTTTCAATATTATAGATTAAAAAACAAATAGACGTGTTTATAAAATGTTTATAGATAAAATATGTGCAATTTATCTTAAGAAACCTTTCAAAGTATAAATTGAAATGTAATAATTTTTTTTCAATATTTTTCAATACTATTTTTTGCAACTATGTTGACTTGAGAATTCTACTAATACATTCTTAGAGTTAGGTACCGGATGACAGTAGACTTAGGTACTTTTGACAACAGTTTCATTTCTTATTTATTCTTTGATTTTAATGTTTAAAAAAGTTTAATTTAAAATATAAACAAATTGATTAAATACTTACATTTACAGGGGCTTGTTTTCTTTCTTAGGGTTTGCATATTTTTGAAAATTGCTTGACATCCGTGCGCTGCAACGTTAAACTCTGACTTCACCAACGATTTTCTGATATATTTGAAAAAAAAGAAGATAACGAAAAATGCCGCAAATTTAAAAAACAAAATAAATAACTTTATCACAGATAAGATACAAATCTAAAAGAATTTTACGTGTTTATGAATGTAAATGACATTTTATAATAAAATACAAAAACAAACAAATTTACGTTAAGAAAATGAAATATTATTATGAGGGAGGGGGTTGTTTGAATGTAATTTCTTGATTTTTTTTTTTTTTTTTTGCAAACGTGTAGGCGTACGAGTCGTCTGACATAAACTTACGTTTTGTTTACTTTTTTGTATTAGTTTTGTTGTTGTTCAATTTTTTTATCAGATGTTTTTCGTAAATTCTGTTTTTGATTTTTTTTGTTTGTTTTGCTATGTTAAAGAGTACCGTTAGACGAAAATACGAATAAAGAAAATAAAGGGTGGTTAAATGGCTATGTAACGGTTTTCTTGTTTTGTTTTTTTTTTAAGGGGGAGGGTTAAGGGTGTTAGCGAAAAACAACAAAAATTATAACACTGCGCGTCGTCGTTTGAAAAATAACAAAAAACACAAACTGACAGTTAATTTCACCGGCTTCGACACTCACGCACACTAGGAAAAAAATGAAACTCACAAGATAAGAATGAAGAATACAGCAACTTTTATCGATTTTTCACTTGAATGAAAAATTACGTCTGAGACAAATCAATTCCAATAAATATTTTCTTCTACGTTTAATTTCTTATAGGATTTATAGTATTATTTAACTTTTTTTATTATAAATATTAAGAAAATTATTAAATTTACATTTTTTTTATTTAAAAAATATTAAATTTTATTTAGTTATATTTTCTTATCTAATTTTCTTAAATAACTTTTTTTATAAAACTTTTTTGTATTAATGTGATTTTACCACTATTTTTATAAATTTATTAAACATTTTATTTTTTCTTTTATTTTAACTAATATTATGCTTTTTGTAATATTTCATTAAGTATTATTACATTTTTTTAAAAACCTTTTATGTATAACATAAAATTTTTAACATTTTTTCTTTCTTCGTCATAATTTTTTCATAAAGGAATTTAACTTTATTTTCTTTTATTATTTAATATTACACTTAAATTATTTATTAATTTTTATAACGAGTAATTATTCTTTATAAATTCATTGCTTTTTTTTATTAATTTGTTATATTTCTTTAGTTTTCACTTAATTTGTGAAAAATTTTTTTATTAGAAAATTTTTTCTTTTACAAGTCCTCCGCCCTTAACGCGTTGAAAATCATTGAAAATTCGATTATGGCAAAGGATTTCTATTTGATATCCTTTGACAGTTAGAAACGTACAATTATTTGACAGTTATATTTTATGTTGTGTAAACGGAAATTTAGTTTTGTCATTGTTGTAAAAAAAAATGTTGCCATATCGTTTTATATTTTTGTTTTAGGGTTTGCGGTTGTTGATATGAAATGTTTTTAATAGTAATATTTAAACGTTAAAATTTTACTAATAGAAGATTAATTTATATATAAACTCGTTTATTACCAACTCCGGAAGAGCAGTCAAATTTTTTCATTACAAGCGAACTTCGTCATAAAACGGATAAAGTTCTTATACCAAAAAAATTAGACCAGAATATAAAAGAATATGAATTATAATTTTTTTAATAATCTTTATAAAAAAACTCTATAGATTTTATTTCTTAATATAAATATTTTTAAAAAAATTTAAGTTTTTATCAAAACAAAAATATTCAGATATATTTTTTATATAAAAAAAATAATTTGATTAATAGAAAAAATTTCGTTTAAATAAGTTTTTATAGAAAAGCTTTTAATTTGAATATTTTTTTATAGAAAAAATTTACTTTGAATAATTTTTTTATAGAAAAAATTTACTTTGAATAATTTTTTTATAGAAAAAAATTAATTTAAATCATTTTTTATAGAAAAAATTTAATTATAATAATTTTTTATAGAAAAAATTTACTTTGAATATTTTTTTTATAGAAAAAATTTAATTTAAATCATTTTTTTATAGAAAAATTTAATTATAATAATTTTTCTTATAGAAAAAAATTCATTTGAATAATTTTTTTATAGAAAAAATTTCATTTGATTAATTTTTTTATAGAAAAAAATTAATTTGAATAATTTATTTATAGAAAAAAATTCATTTGAATAATTTTTTATAACAAAAATTTCATTTGAATAATTTTGTATAAAAAAAATTATTTAAAAATATAAAAAATTTTCGTTTGAATAATTTTTTTATAGAAAAAATTTCGTTTGAATAATTTTTTTATAGAAAAATTTTGTTTGAATAATTTTTTTAAAGAAAAAATTTTCGTTTGAATAATTTTTTTATGGAAAAAAATTTGTTGAATAATTTTTTTATAAAAAAATTTCGTTTGAATAATTTTTTTATAGAAAAAATTTCGTTTGAATAATTTTTTTATAGAAAAAATTCGTTTGAATAATTTTTTTATAGAAAAAATTTCGTTTGAATAATTTATTTATAGAAAAAATTTCGTTTGAATAATTTTTTTATAGAAAAAATTTCGTTTGAATAATTTTTTTATAGAAAAAATTTTGTTTGAATAATTTTTTATAGAAAAATTTCATTTGAATAATTTTTTTATAGAAAAAATTTCGTTTGAATAATTTTTTTATAGAAAAAATTTTGTTTGAATAATTTTTTTATAGAAAAAATTTCGTTTGAATAATTTTTTTATAGAAAAAATTTCGTTTGATTAATTTTTTTATAGAAAAAATTTCGTTTGATTAATTTTTTATAGAAAAAATTTCGTTTGAATAATTTTTTTATAGAAAAAATTTCGTTTGAATAATTTTTTTATAGAAAAAATTTCGTTTGAATAATTTTTTTATAGAAAAAATTTCGTTTGAATATTTTTTTATAGAAAACAATTTTTGAATAATTATTAATAGAAAAACTTAATTTAAATAATTTTGAATAGAAAAAAATTCATTTGTATAATTTTTATAGAAAAAATTTCATTTGAATAATCTTTTTATAGAAAAAATTTTATTAGAATAATTTTTTATAGAAAAAATTTCGTTTGAATAATTTTTTTCTAAAAAAAATTTCGTTTGAATAATTTTTTTATAGAAAAAATTTCATTTGAACAATTATTTTATAGAAAAAAATTTAATTTGAATAATTATTTTATAGAACACATTTCGTTTGATTAATTTTTTATAGAAGAAATTTCATATAAATGAAAAATTTCATTAAAATAATTTTTTAAATAAAAAGTTTTATTTAAATAATTTTTTAATGAAAAAAAATTGTATTTAAATAATTTTTAAATGAAAAAGTTTTTAGAAAAATTTTCGTGTGAATAATTTTCGTTTGAATATTTTTTTATAAACATTTTCGTTTGAATTATTAAAAAAAAAATAAGGAAAAATTGTTTTTAACATTTTTATGAATAATTTTTTAAACAAACATATCCGTTTGAATAATTTTTTTATAAAAAAAATAGTCGCTTGAATATTTTTTATAGGAAAAGTTTGGTTTGAATAATTTTTTATAGGAAAAATTTCCAAAACAATATTAAGTTCAAGGGATATGCATCGCCCACTAATGCAAGTTCACAAATTTTTTCCAAATGTTCATATGTTACTCGTGCAAAATTTGATCATTACAGTTCGAACGATTTTCAAGATATACGCCGATTTTGTCCTTAAATATTTATATGGTTGTTAAAATTGTTCATAAAAAATTTGAGAACGCTAGCTGCCGTAGTTTCTGAAACATATGTATGCTCTGTAAAAAATTCAAGAAAATCTGTCCAGCCTTGTAAAGTCTAAACAAACACAAGTTCATTTTTATATTTAAGAAACAACAATTTATGATGAATTTGTAACCAAAACATTTATAATTTCCCTTTTAAAATCATTTCTTTAATTAAATAAATGTCTCTAACTTTTTCATACATAATACATCATATTTTTCACAGTGTAATACAATATTAATAACGTAACCATACTGGCAACCCTCTACTTGTGTAATATTCAGTTTTGTAAACAAAACAGCTGTAATTTGACATTTGTGAGTGTTTCCCACAGTTGTTGTACAACATTTCACACCTTGTTTGAATTTATCTCTGGAAACATGTTTTACAATCGTTTTTGTAGAGTATTTTTACTTTTCAGTCTTCTTTCTATACTTGTTCCGTGGAGTCGCAAAAATTCCTATAGTTGTTCGAAATAAATAACAAAAAGGCAAATAATAAAAAGAAAAAATAAATATCAGTGTAAAAATTAAAAAAAGCTAATTACCTATATCTAAAGCATTCAATTACAAAAAAGAAGTTAGTAGTTTTTGTTAAAGTTTTAGTGAAAAAAGTGAGTGTTTAATTGGTTTATTTTACAAGATTTTGTAAGAAAATTATAACAAAAAGAAGGTGATCATCATCTCTACAATAAGAAAATTTTATATATAGAAAATTTTACAAAGAAAAAGAAGTAAAGAAACCCCCTCAAACACCAACTGGAATTTTAGTTTTTATGTGAAAAAAATTTATATATTTTTTGAAATTTCTTTTAAAGAAAACAAGTGTATTTTGTGTTAATTATCAAATTTGGTATCAATTTTTAGTAAAAAAAAGTATTAAATTTGTTTAAAATTATATTTCTATTGAAAAATTTAAGTTTTTATTAAAATTATTTTGTGTTTTTTTTACTCATTCAACTTCTTTTTTCTTCTACTCTTTCAATTGTAATTTTTGTTTGTGTGTGTGTTTTAAAAAACCAGTCCCGCGGCTGTTAACATCTTTTGGAGTAACAACAATAAAAACAAAAACAACAACTTCAGCATACCCATACAAAAGCAAGGATTATAAACAAAACAAAAAACGAGAAAAAAAAACATCAACAGCAAAGACAACAACAACTTTGTAATAAAAAAAGATCTTTTTGTCAGCCCCCAAAATCAACAGGAGAATTAAATACTATTACTGCAACAACAACAACAACAGCGTTATAAAAAGTAAAAGAACAAAAACATATATAAACATCAAAACAAAACCCAAAAAAAGAAAAAGTCAATTGCAAAAACAAAAATAACAATAAGAACAAGAGAAGTAGTAATTACAGCAAATAAAAATCATTTGCTTCGTTTCGTTTTTCTGGACAATTCGTTCGGTGTGTTATTGGAAAACTTATTAGATTTATTTCTTAATTAAATTAAAGAAAAAAACAATTTAAATCACAGTTTCTACTTAAATTAGTAAAAAATCAAACAAAAGAAAAATGAATAAAACCTGTGCTCGCTGCCAAAAGGTGGTTTATCCCATTGAGGAACTTAAGTGTCTGGATAAGGTAAGTCTTAAGATGAATTCTTTGTTGTATTCTTATACCCTACAGTAAAGAGTGAAAATACAGTGAACTAGAACTGAACAATAAGAAACTCTGTGTTCTGTAACTTTTGAGTCGACTAAAAATAAGTGGAAGACTCTTATATTTCAATGTTTTTTCTTGACTCGAAAAATACAGAACACATACACTGTTATATTGTTCAGTTTATGTCAGTTCTAGTTCAGTTCTAGTTCAGTTCTAGTTCAGTTCTAGTTCAGTTCTAGTTCAGTTCTAGTTCAGTTCTAGTTCAGTTCTAGTTCAGTTCTAGTTCAGTTCTAGTTCAGTTCTAGTTCAGTTCTTAGTTCAGTTCTAGTTCAGTTCTAGTTCAGTTCTAGTTCAGTTCTAGTTCAGTTCTAGTTCAGTTCTAGTTCAGTTCTAGTTCAGTTCTAGTTCAGTTCTAGTTCAGTTCTAGTTCAGTTCTAGTTCAGTTCTAGTTCAGTTCTAGTTCAGTTCTAGTTCAGTTCTAGTTCAGTTCTAGTTCAGTTCTAGTTCAGTTCTAGTTCAGTTCTAGTTCAGTTCTAGTTCAGTTCTAGTTCAGTTCTAGTTCAGTTCTAGTTCAGTTCTAGTTCAGTTCTAGTTCAGTTCTAGTTCAGTTCTAGTTCAGTTCTAGTTCAGTTCTAGTTCAGTTCTAGTTCAGTTCTAGTTCAGTTCTAGTTCAGTTCTAGTTCAGTTCTAGTTCAGTTCTAGTTCAGTTCTAGTTCAGTTCTAGTTCAGTTCTAGTTCAGTTCTAATTCAGTTCTTTCAGTTTATGTCAGTTCTTTCAGTTTATGTCAGTTCTTTCAGTTTATGTCAGTTCTTTCAGTTTATGTCAGTTCTTTCAGTTTATGTCAGTTCTAGTTCAGTTCATTCAGTTCTAATTCAGTTCTAGTTCAGTTCTAGTTCAGTTCTAGTTCAGTTCTAGTTCAGTTCTAGTTCAGTTCTAGTTCAGTTCTAGTTCAGTTCTAGTTCAGTTCTAGTTCAGTTCTAGTTCAGTTCTAGTTCAGTTCTAGTTCAGTTCTAGTTCAGTTCTAGTTCAGTTCTAGTTCAGTTCTAGTTCAGTTCTAGTTCAGTTCTAGTTCAGTTCTAGTTCAGTTCTAGTTCAGTTCTAGTTCAGTTCTAGTTCAGTTCTAGTTCAGTTCTAGTTCAGTTCTAGTTCAGTTCTAGTTCAGTTCTAGTTCAGTTCTAGTTCAGTTCTAGTTCAGTTCTAGTTCAGTTCTAGTTCATTCTAGTTCAGTTCTAGTTCAGTTCTAGTTCAGTTCTAGTTCAGTTCTAGTTCAGTTCTAGTTCAGTTCTAGTTCAGTTCTAGTTCAGTTCTAGTTCAGTTCTAGTTCAGTTCTAGTTCAGTTCTAGTTCAGTTCTAGTTCAGTTCTAGTTCACTTCTAGTTAAGTTCTAGTTCAGTTCTAGTTCAGTTCTAGTTCAGTTCTAATTCAGTTCTAATTCAGTTCTAGTTCAGTTCTAGTTCAGTTCTAGTTCAGTTCTAGTTCAGTTCTAGTTCAGTTCTAGTTCAGTTCTAGTTCAGTTCTAGTTCAGTTCTAGTTCAGTTCTATTTCAGCTCTAGTTCAGTTCTAGTTCAGTTCTAGTTCAGTTCTAGTTCAGTTCTAGTTCAGTTCTAGTTCAGTTCTAGTTCAGTTCTAGTTCAGTTCTAGTTCAGTTCTAGTTCAGTTCTAGTTCAGTTCTAGTTCAGTTCTAGTTCAGTTCTAGTTCAGTTCTAGTTCAGTTCTAGTTCAGTTCTAGTTCAGTTCTAGTTCAGTTCTAGTTCAGCTTCTAGTTCTAGTGTCTAGTTCAGTTCTAGGTTTCAGTTTAGTTGTAGTTCTCAGTTCAGTTCTAGTTCAGTTCTAGTTCGTTCTAGTTCAGTTCTAGTTCAGTCTAGTTCAGTTCTAGTTCAGTTCTAGTTCAGTTCTAGTTCAGTGTCTAGTTCAGTTTCTAGTTTCAGTTCAGTACTATATTATTGTAAGTTATTATATGAGCGCTTTTACCGACTAATATTTGTGTGCTTGTTCTCCTTTTTTCACCCTGCTTGATTTATAAACACTTAATCTGTTGTTTTACTTTGTGTGTTTATTTATTGTTCGCATAATCTATGGAGACTTTATCAGTTTGTAAAGAAACTTTGTGGCAAAATAATAAAAAAAATTGTTTATTAACGTCAATATGAGAAATCTATTGTTTTGGATTTATGAGAGTAGCCAGATTGTTTGAAACGTTATACATGCAATCTATTGTGATGAATATATGATGCGGATCTTACCAATGGAAGTGTATTCCTATTTTCTGATATCGTCCTAATTGCTTTCTGATATGGACATGCGTCTTCCGCTGGTGCTGTGGTTCGGCATTCATTGTATTAAATGTCGATCCCTAGACCTTTTTGGTTTCCCACTTTAGAGCAATCCATGTAACAACAGAGTTGTAGTTTGCTTTAATCTTCCGCTTAATCAAGATTTCCTATCTATCTGATCAAAGTCTCCGACAAATCCGGTAAATGATCGTGTACGTTGTTGTTTGCGTATAACCGTCCAAACTATTTAGAAAGAAGTGATAGTTAAATTTTTCTTCATCCGCCTTATAGATCTGATCATGCCATGACCGACTAACATTTGCAGAACGTTCTCTCGTTTTTAAGTTATTTATCATTCTACTTTTCTCGTTAAAAAATAATTTTATATTTAAATTATTCGCAATTGTACTATTTTATTCTTCAGTTCGTGTGCTTAAATTACTAGTCATTGTACTAAGTGCAAAACTACACAAATTATAAATTGTTTTTATTATTTTATAACTTCCTACGCAATAAACAAAACCTCCACATAATAATTGAAGAATTTTTAAAAAAAATACAAATTAAAAAAACTACAATTATGTTAAAAGTATACAAAAGATTTTAAGAGACCATCTCTATATACATATACTTAGTTAAAGTTTTGAATTGTGTCGAACCTTTTAAATAAAAGAGGGCCAATTAGCAGCTGTCTTCTATAGAAAGAGCTGAGGCGTCAAGTTCGTTTAATTTTAATGATTGAAGAGCGACTGGTCGCGGTCATAATTTAGTAACCATAGCAGTGTGCCTATTAGGTCAAAGGTCATAGCTCTAGAAAATCTTAAATAACTCAAAAACTTTCTAACCGATTTTTTAATTTTTAATATATTTACAAGTCTAAATCAATGTATATAAGATAAAGAGGCATACGTTACTCGTTTCGGCCAACTCTGGTTTCTTATTTTAAGTGTAATAAATGTGCTAAAAGAAACGAACTATTTTTGTACATTTATTATGTACATATTCAAGTTATATATAAAGTAAATTATTTTTGTAGTATAATCGTATATAGAATACACACTAACAAGTGTAGCAAAACACACATATGATTTTGATAAGATCCATCCAATAATACAACTGCAATAGCTGAGTTTTGCATATTTTATACAACCACATATGAAATGGGTTGGGAAGGCTTGGAATGAAATGGAAATAGAGTAAATGGATTGAATGGACGGAATGTATGTGTTAAGAAGTAAAAGAAACCAACAAACATCACAGTTCAGTTCTAGTTCAGTTCTAGTTCAGTTTTAGTTCAGTTCTAGTTCAGTTGTAGTTCAGTTCTAGTTCAGTTCTTGTTCAATTATAGTTCAGTTCTAGTTCAATTCTTGTTCAGTTCTAGTTCAGTTCTAGTTCAGTTCTAGGTCAGTTCTAGTTCAGTTCTAGTTCAGTTCTAGTTCAGTTCTAGTTCAGTTCTATTTCAGTTCTAGTTCAGTTCTAGTTCAGTTCTAGTTCAGTTCTAGTTCAGTTCTAGTTCAGTTCTAGTTCAGTTCTAGTTCAGTTCTAGTTCAGTTCTAGTTCAGTTCTAGTTCAGTTCTAGTTCAGTTCTAGTTTAGTTCTAGTTCAGTTCTAGTTCAGTTCTAGTTCAGTTCTAGTTCAGTTCTAGTTCAGTTCTAGTTCAGTTCTAGTTCAGTTCTAGTTCAGTTCTAGTTCAGTTCTAGTTCAGTTCTAGTTCAGTTCTAGTTCAGTTCTAGTTCAGTTCTAGTTCAGTTCTAGTTCAGTTCTAGTTCTAGTTCAGTTCTAGTTCAGTTCTAGTTAGTTCAGTTCTAGTTCAGTTCTAGTTCAGTTCTAGTTCAGTTCTAGTTCAGTTCTAGTTCAGTTCTAGTTCAGTTCTAGTTCAGTTCTAGTTCAGTTCTAGTTCAGTTCTAGTTCAGTTCTAGTTCAGTTCTAGTTCAGTTCTCAGTTCTAGTTCAGTTCTAGTTCAGTTCTAGTTCAGTTCTAGTTCAGTTCTAGTTCAGTTCTAGTTCAGTTCTAGTTCAGTTCTAGTTCAGTTCTAGTTCAGTTCTAGTTCAGTTCTAGTTCAGTTCTAGTTCAGTTCTAGTTCAGTTCTAGTTCAGTTCTAGTTCAGTTCTAGTTCAGTTCTAGTTCAGTTCTAGTTCAGTTCTAGTTCAGTTTAGTTCAGTTCTAGTTCAGTTCTAGTTCAGTTCTAGTTCAGTTCTAGTTCAGTTCTAGTTCAGTTCTAGTTCAGTTCTAGTTCAGTTCTAGTTCAGTTCTAGTTCAGTTCTAGTTCAGTTCTAGTTCAGTTCTAGTTCAGTTCTAGTTCAGTTCTAGTTCAGTTCTAGTTCAGTTCTAGTTCAGTTCTAGTTCAGTTCTAGTTCAGTTCTAGTTCAGTTCTAGTTCAGTTCTAGTTCAGTTCTAGTTCAGTTCTAGTTCAGTTCTAGTTCAGTTCTAGTTCAGTTCTAGTTCAGTTCTAGTTCAGTTCTAGTTCAGTTCTAGTTCAGTTCTAGTTCAGTTCAGTTCTAGTTCAGTTCTAGTTCAGTTCTAGTTCAGTTCTAGTTCAGTTCTAGTTCAGTTCTAGTTCAGTTCTAGTTCAGTTCTGGTTCAGTTCTAGTTCAGTTCTAGTTCAGTTCTAGTTCAGTTCTAGTTCAGTTCTAGTTCAGTTCTAGTTCAGTTCTGGTTCAGTTCTAGTTCAGTTCTAGTTCAGTTCTAGTTCAGTCTAGTTCAGTT